AGTAGCTGAGGTGGTGATGATCCCAAAATCAGGAAAGAAAGACTACTCCAATCCCAGGGCCTACAGACCAATATCGCTACTGTCATGTCTTGGCAAGGGCCTAGAACGATTCATTGCGAAAAGAATTACCTGGTTTGTTGTCAAACTTGGAATTCTAGCCCCACAACATTTTGGAGCTCTACCAAAGCGCTCTGCCACTGACCTGGTAGCTGCACTCATACACGATATTAAGCAGGCCCTTGACCAAGGCCTCGTTGCAACGGTAGTCACATCAGATGTGAAAGGGGCCTTTGATGCTGCCCTAATGGGACGGCTGGTGGTTCGCATGAGAGAACAGGGCTGGCCAGGCTTTCTCATAAGATGGGTCCAGTCGTTCATGTCCGAGCGGTCCGCAAGAGTTCGGTTTGAAGGTACTGTGACCGATATAAAAGCTCTCACTTGTGGGCTCCCACAAGTCTCACCAGTCTCTCCAATCCTCTACATGCTGTATACAGAGCCAATCTGTGCCCGACTTGGCATGAAAAGAAGACGCTTTGGATATGCAGATGACCTAGCAACACTCTGCATTGGAAAGAACCTTAAAGAAATAGCTACAGAGGCTTCTAAAAACCTTTATTTACTCAATCAATGGGGACATAACAATGCTATTGAATTTGATCCCGATAAAACCGAGATCATGCACTTCTCACGGAAAAAGAACTCAGACAATCCCCCAGTTTGCCACGGAACAATGAACAAAACAGCTAAGCATTCCATGCGATGGCTAGGTGTCCTTCTGGATAGGAAACTAAACTTCAAAGACCATGTTTCTCACTGGGCCAAGAAAGCTAGTAGGGTAGCAAATCACCTTTGAGGACTATGCAACACAGTCAAAGGACTTCCAGTAAAGTCAACCAAGAGGGCTGTGAAAGCTTGTGTTATTCCTATTCTCACACATGGCCTGGAGGCCTGGTACCCAGGAATCGAGAAAGCTGGGAGCTTAGGTGAGAGATCAGCATGTCGCATTAAGGGGCTTCTTGGAACAATAGATGCCGTACTACGAACGGCGATCAGGGCTATCTTGCCAGTCTGGAAAACACACCCTGGACATATCTTACACTTTGAATCGCAGATTCCCCCAGCAAGAGTTCTTGCAGAGTCAATAAGACGACGTCACGGCCTCCGACTAGGACGAATAGATCAGAGACACCCTCTGGTTGGCAGGCTCCAAATACAAGCTCGCAAGGATCTAACAAGGCTACAAAGGAGCTTCCAGCTAGTCCCTGACTTCCAGAGACCAATACTTACCAGGCCATCATGGAAGAAGCGCCCAATCCGCAAAGACAAAGACAAAGAAACAGAGCTCTTCAAGCAATGGTTACAAGAGAGAAACATGAATACTGACCTTGTCATCTACTCAGATGGATCACAGTTGGATGACCAAGGCACAATCCGCACTGGATGGGGTTATACCATCAGGAAAGGCGGCACTACACAAGAAGTATACCGGGGAAGGGGCAGACTTCTACAAGCAGAAGTAATAGATGCTGAAGTCCATGGTGCTCTCCAAGGTCTTGCAGCAGCCAGGGCAATTGGACACGGAAAACAGCTATATGTCTGCCTGGACAACACGTCAGTGGTAGATGGGCTCAATGGGACTCCACCCGAGACATCACAAAACATTTTTCTACGATTTCAAGAACTTGCCACAGCACACACTCCTGGAGTGACCGTCAAATGGATTCCTGGACACAGAGATATTGATGGCAACGAAGCTGCCGACACACTAGCAAAAGAGGGTGCCATACTGGAAACAGACACAACAAATCTTCCTACAATCTCTTGGGTCAAGAGAGATCTCAAAAGACAGGGCAAGAAAGAGTTCAACCAATGGTAAAAAGACCAATCAGAATCTAGGTATCAAGAAGTATACTCACATGCAGTAACTGAAAGAGACCTTATATCTTTTAAGAGGAGTACTTTACACAGACTTCTAGCGGCCAGATCTGGACATGGCGACTTTGCCAGATACTATGAACGCTTTGGGCACACAGACTCAAATGATCACTACAGCTATGGTGAGAAGAAAACACCACAACACATTTTCTTTTGTAAGAGGCTGGGGAAAAATCGGCTACTGCCTAGGCATTCGCCTACGACAGCTTGTTTACAATACTTAAGGGAGAGGAGCACAGAATGGGCAAAATTCGTGGAGAAGAGCAAGTTCTTTTCAACAATCTGCCCCCGATAGATAGCCTTCCTTGAAGGACCAGATGGATGACCCCAAGGTCATACCGCCGCAACAACGGGGATGGGCCCGTGAGCAGAACTGACTGTACTTATTATCTTGAGACCTCCACAACCCTGCGATGCAGAGGCTCTGGGAGGCGTGGTTTGCACTACTGAGGAGCTACCCCACGTTAAATACAAAACAAACAAAACAAACAGCGAGACACAGGAGCAGAAATCTGAATCACAAGTTATCATCGCATCGGCACAACGTGGAACACATCCTTCGCGAGTAAGAGCAGTCTGGGTAGAACGGTACATCAGAATGTTATAAGCTGTGCATTGAGGCTTCCGCGAATCCATGGTTTCGGTGGATATCTGTCAAGATCATGCTCTCTCTTCGACCTGTTCCTCCACAATCCACCACCACTTCCTTTTCCCCCTCGGCATGAGAACCTCCCGTCAGGATCACGTATCTCATCACCCCCTTTTTTTCCGCATGCCACTGAGACTCGTGATAACCTCCAGCGACGAGCATCATATATTCACTGCAGCCGCCAAATATCAGATACATCACTACCGTCCCCCCCCATAGAAGTCGGACACCCCCACTAGTCGGACAGCCAAACCTCACCATCACCACCAAAACACCCCCTTATTCATTTATAGTGTCACGGAACAGCTGGCAGCTCAGGACGAAGATGCCCATCTATTACTCCAGATGAATAAGAATCTACTGGTGAGGAGGGAAGAAGGATCAGAACCACCAGCCAATTCTGGTGGGGGATTAGATCTTCAATCCCGCTCCACAATTATCCATAGTGAGTGCAGCGGGGCAACGCGTCCACCCCACCAGATCACCTGATGAGCGCACGTACCACCGTGAATGGATGGATGGATGTCAGGTCCATCACATATAGACGAATAAAGCCGTTCAGGTCAGAGAGATACAGCGAAATTATCATTAGAAAGCGCTAAAGCTGCTCATGCGTAATATCTAGCCGGCGCTCCAATGGCTCGCCCAGATCCTAATAGGCGAGGCTTTTATATAGCTTTTAAAATGTCTTTATTAAGGGGGTTCTTTTTCTTTTTCTTTTCGTTTTTTTGATTTAATAACTATTTTATTGGAACAGGCTTGAACGATCAATCATAATACTCGAGTATGGGGTCAAGGTCATGATGTTGCTGATGGTTGGATTGAGAGGAATCTAGCTGGACTCGAAGGTCTGGCCAAGTGCCCTCTCAATCCACTATCTTATCTTATCTAATCATACATGTGGGTCCTGGTATAGATGGTTTGCAGTCTGGAATCGCATGGATCCAACATATTTCTTTTTATATCTTTGTACATGCAGCAACGCTAATAATACTTCCATAAGATAGTATCTTTATTACCGTTTTAAACTTTCCATTAAAATTAAGGATTTTTTAGCGCTTTTTTAGCAGTAGTTGCTTTAATTCAGCCTTTAATGCCTTAATCTTCTTGTTTTTAATAATAATTTCGGTTTCATTTTATTTTAAACACGTTTGCTATTTTTTATATTTTAACTTAGTTTTTAAAGACTTATTTTTACAGGAATTGATAATCTAACAGCTCGTGGTAAGGGTTTATTAGTCTTTTAATTTAAAGGTATTAAAAGTATTAAGCTTGAATTTTTTGAATATTATCTTCAAGTGTTATAAGCACTTTCTACAGCTAATAAAATAACATCTAGTAACTCTAAAGCTCAAAAGAATGTTTTATTTATTAAAAATATAAGTTCTCGCCCTATTATAGTAGTAAATAATGTGACGGCCTGCACGGACCTTCCAACATGACAAGCCGATACTTCCCAATAAGGGAAGGATCTGACCAGAGGATCCCCTTAAAGGGGCAACCTCCCGCTGTACCTATCTCTCTCTCTCTTCCTTTCCTCTCTAGTCTTGATATTTTCGTCAATAGAGTAATAGCTGCTTGCTGCCGGCCATGTCCCAGCTCCTCAGTACGCTCGCCATGACAGCCATCATTTATAGCGTCTATTGCCTCTATGAGGTCTTTTTTAGTGTAGAAAGGAGGCATTTTTTTGTACCAAAGTCGCTATTGCTTACAGAAAAAAGGAGAAAAAAGGAATAGCAAGACTTCTATTAGATGAGAGGTAATAGTGTTGGATGGCACACAAGCCACCGTGGCGTTCAGGGAGGTGGCAGTGCACCAACAAGGCCAATAGGGCATTTTTAGGCGACCTAGCCCACAGAAGGATTTTCACAGAGACACAACACTAAAATCACAATCACCAGAATACACGTTATCAACCAGATCAACCATAATACACGCTGTTTGACAAATAGGGGGCACGGGTCCTATTACTCCTCAGATTAGGCCCAGAAGTGCTAACTTCTGACCCCCACCACGGGCCATCCTGCAGCCGCAGACCTAATAAAATCTACTTTGAAAGAAACACTAAGAAAAGACGATTATATTGCCGTACTTACGGTATCTAGGGCTTTATTGCCGCTAGAGATGTGTATAAGTGAACATTGTGATGTTGGGTGTGAAAAGTGTCCCACTTGGGGGGCTGTCCCACTTGGGGGCCCCGCCGTTACATAAGCAGGCCAAGATTTCGCTTCTGTTCGGGCTATCTCCGCCAGGCTCGGGCTCGGCCTGGGGATCATCTTTCGTTATTTCGTCAGATTGAGCGGGGGTGTTGTCCACAGTCCCGTTCAGATGGCAAGTGATGTAGACACATAGATATTCCATCGTGCTTCCAACGACAACATTGCCATTCATTTAAGTATCCCTAGTCCTCTCCCTGTCAATAGATCGAGCTCCTCGACAAGCTCGGCGGCAAGTCCTCATCCCGTGTCCCCCACTCGCTCTCTGCTGTGCCCAGCACAAACTCCAGCGTCCCCCCATAATAGAAGAAATCATGCGTGATCCAATTCCGCGTATATGGCTTCCCATTGAGCCGCACGCTCTGTATGTAGATGGGCTTGTACGTCGGGTCAAACCCGATACATTTCAGCGTCGCTCGCCCACCCGTCGGCGTCCTAATGCTGACGCTACGAAACATCGTGGGCGTGAGCAGGTACACATCCTGTCCCGCGACGGGGAAGAAGCCCATAAAGGCAAACGCCGAGAACGCGCCCATCGAGAGGTCGTCGTTCCCGGGGATCCCATTGAGGCTGCTGTTGAACTGGGACGGGATGTACTGGTGCACCCAGTACCAGCTCAGCCCGGGCCACCCGCCGTAGTGGAACTGGTACGTCGGTAGGAAGTTCGGCTCGTTGCCCATGTAGTTGATGCCCGAGGAGTGGAAGTACTCCAGCCGCTCGATGAAGGCCTGCTTGCCGCCCATCGCCGCGATCAGGCCTGCCATGTCGTGCGGGACGTAGAACGTGTAGAGCCAGGGGCTGCCCTCGTATGTGTCGTACTTCGTGTCGAAATAGCAGACGTGTTGCTGGAATATCGGGCTGCATAGCCGCGTGTTCTGTTGTCGCCACATGCCGTTCAGGTATCGCGGTTGCAAGAACCCCGTGAACTTGGTCTTTTGGACTTTACCAGCTTCGTTCCGATACAGGTCCTCCTGGTTCTCATTGTACAGATTCCGCCAGTTGTGGCTGCGCTGCAGATACTTGTTCGCGTCGCTCTTCTTTCCCAGCCCGTCGGCCATCAGCGCGATTGCAAAGTCGTCGTATGCGTATTCCACTGCGCGCGATATAGACCGACTCGATGGACCTGTGCCATTCTTGTCATCGTCGTCGTATGGTATGTAACCCAGCTTGTGCCAGCTCTCCAGGTTGCCTCGACCAGCAACAGACCAGTCTTGGGGCTCGACCTCTGCATCAGAGACGACAGCTTCGTAGCCTAGTTCCAGTCTATGCCGTCCGTGAGGTTCTTGGCGAAGGCATCGGCGAGCACCACGTCTGCATTCGAGCCACCTTGGGTATACCCCTTGCTGAAGCTCATACGGCAGTCGGGAAGCTTTCCCTCATGCTTGTAGGTGTCGATCAGCGATCGCACCATCTTCGTCTGGACCACTGGGTCTATGATGGTTAACAGTGGATGTTGTGCCCTGAAGGAGTCCCATACCATCCGACCCCCCGAACCGGCACACCCCCACTACCGGCACAGCCAAACCCCGCCACCACCACCAAAAGACACCCCTACTCACTTACACGCATTTGAGGCTGTATAGGGTCAAAAAAATCAGCAAAATTATCATTCTGTGGTGTTTTGGCTGCTCGATCGACGTATCTAGCCGGCGCCCGGATTGACCGCCCGGATCTAGTCATCTGGGCTTCTGCAACAGGGGCTTCTACAGCCTCCTCAGCGTCCGCAAGCTCCTCGTCCTCTTCACCCTCGTCTTCAACAACCTCCGACTCTGAAGAAAAAAAAGAAGACTCTATAGCAACCGGAACTAACGGATTACCACCCTGGGCTAGTATTTCTATCATTATCATGAACTTTTTGTTGGGATTTGGTATCTTTTTCCTCTTCTTGGGCCGTAATCGCTCCAGTTCAGCCTCCAGGGCCCTGAACTTCTGGTCTTTTATGGCCAGCTCCGTCTCCTGGTTCTCAAAGGCATGGGAGATCTTCCGGAACTTCAGCCGAGTGGCTGGGGAACGATTCCTCCCGAAATCCCGGATTTGCCGGCTCGTGGTAGGGGTCTGTTGGTCCTCCAGCTCCGAGTCTTCCTGTTCTTCCGGCTTGGGGGTCTTCCGCTTGTCTTCTTGGATTTCTGGATGGTCTAGACATTTTTTGCGGCTAATTGGGTAGCATCCTGTCACTCGGAAGCCCGAGCGGATATTTTTTGGCGTACATGCCATGTCCCTTGCCTTGCTATAACAGCGGATAAAGTTGATCTTGTCAACAGGGGAAGAATCAGTCAGAGAATTTACCTGGGTAAGGAATCTCTGGTAGTAGGACTTAAGGGCGTTATAAGGGCCGTTATCCAGTGGTTGCATTCCGTGGCTGGTGTGTGCTGGGAAAAAGCACAGCAAGATGTTAACAAAATAACACCACATCATAAATTCGTCCTTTTCTACAGTCAGTTGCTGTTTAAATCGGAATAAATCAAACAACCAGTAAATAAATAAATAAAAATTGGTGTACGTACGGAGGTATGGCTACCATGGCCATCTAGGATCAAAAGGACTGGTTCCCACTGCTCCTGGCCACGAATGTCATCCACTTGTGGTATGAAAACGTGCTCAAGCCACTGGCAGGCGATATCGTTACTGGTCCAGCCATTTTCCGACGTTATATAGTACCAGTCGGCTATCTTCTGGAGTTCCTCGAGGAACCACTGCACTTGGAGATCTTTTCCCTTGAAAATCAAGCCTGGTTTGAGTACTCTACCGGTAGCTGAAATGGTCTCGATGAAAGATGTCCACGAGCGGCCCTGGGGGCTCTTTAGGAAAGCTTTCCTCGTCTCAGAACTTCCCAGAACTAGGGAATCAATGCCTATAAGGGTAATTAATTAACTGTGAGGATAAGGGGCTCGAAAGAGTTACCAAAACCCGACATGATGCCGCCCTTATCGACATTGTACGTATTTTCTGGCTTCACCCAGCCATAGTCCTCCAAGATGTTAAAGAACCAGTTCACAGACTTAGGGGTAAACCCCTTAAACCGAGCAGATTCCATTCGCTTGCCGATTTTAGTCTGAATGGTAGGGTTGTGTCGTTTAAAGCTGTCCATATAGTGGTTCCCAAGTGGTGCGAAATCCCCCTTTCTTTTTAGGAGGTTACCACAATTTCCCTGACGGCTGAGTGAGAGGGGGCAAGCCCCAAAGTCTCCTGGCGCAATATCCAGGCTGCTACCTTGCTTTCTTGCTCGGGAGAAATTCTCTGCTCGGTGGTGTGAGCTTCTGTTTTAGTCCCTCTCCCCCTTATGCGTGCTGACAGCGTGCTGGCCGGGACGCCGTATTTTTGGCTGGATTTTCTCACGGATATGCCATTATCTGTGACGTCTAGGTAGGCATCCACCACATCATCCTCTGTATACGTGGGCGGAGGCATCGTGGCTGGCTTCAGGATGCTGTGGTGCATGAGGGACAGGGGCTCACAGAGAGAATTCTACAGCAAATTTGCATTTAAGGGCGGGGCACAGAGGCTGCTAAATGCCGATGCCGATGGCCAGCAATTAAATAATCTACATTAAGCTAAATACCAAGAAAAGGGCTATCTAACTATCTAAAGAACGTTTAGATACCCTCAAAAGGGGCTGTAATCCGTGTAAGTGAGTAAGGGGACTTTTGGTGGTGGTTGTGGGGTTTGGCTGTGCCGGTCGGGGGGGTGTGCCGGTTCGGGGGCTCGGATGGTATGCAGTAGAATGAATCATAATATGGCTCGCTGGACTTCCATAGGGGGTTCTCCCCGGTGTAGTCTTGAGGCGAGAGGAGGGTACGATATAGGCCCGACCAGAAGGTAAACAGTGTGACAATGCCGAAAATGAGATCCCTGAATTTGACTTCTCCGCTGTCGTGAAGGCTAGCGAGGATGCTTGGAGGGAGAAGCTATCGGTGATTTCGGTCGATCAGAGTGGTATGAGCAATGATTCACGCCTGTTCCTCTGAGATGAACGATAGACCAACTCGGGCCATGATTTGATTCTTCGGTGGACGAGCGAAGTGGATCCAGGTCCCGGCAGACCCAGGCGGGATGGAAGTGCCGCTTCCCAAGGAATCGAGCGCCTGTTGCTCGTCGGTAGCGTTCAGGTTCAGGAACGTGCCCGTGTTGTGTATTTCAGCCCCCCTGAAGTCCGCACAGAAGTGAGCTGTGTACTCGCCGCGTCCGAAAGAGGGTCGGAAAGTCCCGCTACCTTTCATCCTTCCCGATCTTGGGTTCACTGAGACCTCACCTCCCGATCTGCTATACCCCAGGTCCATCAGGTCGATGAGGATCAATGGACTACTTGGCACCATGAAGCCACTGGAATATACTTCCGCCGTGGATGGGAAGTTGAATCGGAACAATGAAGCGTGCATGGTGGAGGTCATCTCGGCGTACACCGAGTTGTTCAGCCCGATGGAAAAGTACCCCGGCCGAGCTGTTGCCGTGCCGTTGATTCTCGGGGTAGCCCTCTGCTCCGAGGTGTAATTGCACTTGGTGTAGTCATCTTCCGGGCAACCCGGATGCACGAAAAGTGGAAAGTTCCCTAGGGACGGTGACTGAATCTTGTCAGAGAAGCTCAGGTGTTAGACTGCCATGACTTACCCCTCCCGTACCTACAATATTACATCAGTGATAGATTCTTCAAACGTGCAAGTTATCGCTTACCCGAGTCGTGCAGGCTAGAGAACCCCTGGATTTGTGAGTTATCAGAGACGAAGCCAGCCGCATCCTCGCCGTATGTAGTTGCGTCCGCGACAGGTATTGCCATTCCTGTCTCGTCCATCAGTATATTTCGCTCGAATGTCATCCACGGCTGATTTACCATATGGTAAGCTCGCACCAGGAAACACATGACCTGTCAGAGTATCAGCCTTGGGCTCCAGTCCCTAATACCGTCACGGTGACGGTGGAAATGTACCTCCATTGACGGTTCCGATGAGAGGATCGACGTATCTCAAAACGTCGCCGTTAGGTTTGACCAAAGCTTCCGTGAGGCCCAGCAAAACTTTCCTCGGCCGGTTGAGCCCTTCAATCGGTAGCAGAGTCCAGACCAAAAGCGCGAATACTGGTATGGTGAGGGCCCTTCGCCGACGGGGTTCATAAACGACAACATCATGTCGATGCAGAGCTTGGGGCTGAACCGTAGGCGACGTTCTCGTGCAGCTGATTGAATGTTCACGCTGTGATGAGCGGCACGGGGGAGGTACGAAAGCTCAATTCGAGGTCCATCGACGCTATGTGTCAGTGTCCAGGAGCAAAGCGAGTCAAGATGCAACAGGAAATGGCCGCCACCCTCTCAACAAGACCCGTCGAATCTCTGAATCAAGGCCCAAGGTCAAATCTTCGCAGTCCCAACGATTCGGTGACATTCAAACGAATTGTCATATGGAAAAGGTGCAAGCCCTGCGCTGGTGTGAGACTTAGAGATTGACCAGCTTACTTGTCTGGGCAAGTGCAGCAAGAGGGCGCCGAGTCACACGCCCTTTACTTCATGACCCAAAAGGACATCTGTCAACACTGTTGATGACATTATGTAGGAGCTGAGCCTGAGCCCCACAGGGTTCTACGATCCTGCTACAGGGCAACCCTGTTATTCCACCCGTTGTACCGATGCATATTCACCGGTGATCCTTGCCCTTATTATATAAGTTCTAGTGCGCAAGGTATAGGCGAACGAGTCTTTTGTCTCGCGAGGTCCAACCAGGGGCGTATCGATCCAGTCTTGGCACTTTGCGGGATCCGGCTGAATGCATCAAGAGGGACGGTAACATCGGCAGTTCTATGCCTTTCCCCATTAGGAACTTTGGTCAACTAGGTGCAGCGGCTGAATTTAGGAAATTGTGGCTGGTTCCAGATTATCTTCGAGAGTTGTGCAGTTTAGAATCTTGACCGGCAGAGACTATGTCCTCTCTTGCTCTAGGTACGACGTGACTTGGCTCGGAAATGATTTTCCCCGGCTCAGCGACCAGAAGTCGCAAAGATGTCTTGACTCCAGGACCTGAACGTGTCATTGGACTTGTCGCATTCGTCTACTGCTCGTGGTGTCGTCTCGTGCATGTGCTCCTCAGTGCGTCATAGGGCTGTCCTCCAGGATCTCGGTACCTACCGGCGGGCAACGACCCAAGTCCAGGTGCTGGTGACTGCCTTCCTTCCCAGAAGATGTGCGGGTTCTTATACCTCGTTACGATGAGAACATATGAGGCACAAGTGACAGATGGTAGGTTGAACTACGAGTACTTCCGGATAGGGATCTTTGGATGTGTAAATTCAGTCTTATGGTGTCCAGAAAGTTCAGGTCTGCAATAGTTGTTGAGAATCATAGCTCTGGACATGGCGACTTTGCTAGATATCACGAACGTTTTGGGCATACTGACTCGAATGACCACTGCAGCTGTGGTGAGAAGAAAACATCACAACACATTTTCTTTTGTAAGAGGCTTGGGAAAAACCGGCTGCTGCCCAGGTACTCGCCTAGGGCAGCCTGTTTACAATACTTGGGGGAGAGGAGCGCGGAATGGGCAAGATTTGTTGAGAAGAGCAAGTTCTTTTCATCAATCTGCCCCCGATATATAGCTGTTCTTGAAAGACCAGATGGATGACCCCAAAGTCATACAGCCGCAACAACGGGGATGGGCTCGTGAGCGGGACTGACTGTACTTATTATCTTGATACCTCCACAACCCTGCAATGCAGAGGCTCTGGGAGGCGTGGTTTGCACTACTGAGGAGCGATCCCCCACGTTAAATACAATCAATCAATCAATCAATCAATCATAGCTCTGGTCGCGGTATACCACCCATCAATTGTGCGCAATCCCTGCTGCTCTCCGTACCACCAGCACCATGTCGTTACTTCATACCGACTCCGGAGGCTGCGTAACCTTCGTCAAATGGTCCCTGCATCGATGTAAGACTTCCCACACACCACCCACCAGGTCCGCTTGAACGTATAACGTACCCATTCAATTTCTTGATGAGCTTTCCAAGCCCTTCGTGAGAGTAGTCCTTCTCATTCCACATGTCCTTGTGGTAAACCACCTTCTCATCGGGTTCCTTGCCCTCAAGCCTCAGACTGACGAGACTGTCGGCTGTCTTGGAGGCATGGATCCCGGCGAAGGTGTATCTCTGGCGCTGCTTCCACACCAGCTCATGCTCCGTCGACGATACGATCTCCGTGGCCAGGGTCTCGGACTTGGAGAATAGCTTGGGGATGCCGTACCACTGGCCTGCTATTTTATATCTAAGGCCAGTCAGCCACTCGATACACTGCAAGCCTTGTCGTGCTTGGTTGTTTCTAGTACCTTGTGTCACAGTAGCTGAAGGGGTCGTCGTAGATGGCCTGTTCGGCGTAGACCTTCATGTCCTCCTCCGAAGCACTACCACAGTAGAGATTGAGAATCTTCTGCTGGATCGTCTTGCGCGACGGCGAGACATCTATGAGCTTTTCGGGGTGAGGGACGTAGTCGACCTCACTGTCCACGTTCCGGGGCCGTTCAGGATGCGGCTCGACGCCTCGCTGGTCGGGATGCGGTGAAGTAGAAGAAGGCATTTCGGAGGCAAGATGATTCACGAAATTGATTAGATGATCTCAAGTCTGAAGGTATTCCTAGTAAGCATATTTGCGATATCAAGCTCACGTTGCCACTCCCTAGCGTCGGGTGTGCTACCAAAGCATGACATCATGACTGTATCAAGGCGCCGACACGCCAAACCTCAGAGGGACTTCATCTCACACCCAATCCAGTGCCTGATCCAGACTTTCGTTTACAGACCAAATCGACTGCCATATTGGAATCTGTTTGTGCCCTCCGCCCGCTACACTATGTGCTCTGGCTTCTTGCGACTGAACCTGGCCCTCAGGTATCTCGAGACGAACCAGCCTCCGAGCAGTACAGTCACCTATGCAGTATGTCTATCAGCCTTGGGATACCCTACCATAGTAACCTAGGGTCATACTTACTAGGGGAAGCGCGATCGCGAAGTACCTGGAAGGAGGTGAGTCAGTCATCTAAGTCATGCACTTGTACTCCGGAAGAAATTCTCTGAGCTCCCAGGAAAAACACACCATTTCCACTGTGGATTGTTCTCGATAATATCCACATTCATACCAAACAGCCCAGATACGAACATCAGGGGAAGGAAGATGAAGTTGACCCAGCTCAGCCTCCAGAGGCTCTCGTTGAGGTTGAGGGACAAGCGCGCATCGCGAATGGCAACCCGTTTGTAAACCTGTACGTCGACCAAATTAGCTTATGACGGCCTTATGAAAGAGTAGAGGGGAAGCTTGCCATGTCAAGCATGTTCGCCGTTGGGTTAATCAGCCCTTGGACGATCTGGAGCTGACTTGCTTTGAGAGACGCGATTGTAGTATCAGATACCGATCCATCTGGACCCTTAGTCCATTCAGTAAACCCTGCATTCATAGGGCCAGTCTCTGAAAAATTCTGCAAAACATGTTGTAGGGCTTCAGGCACGTTGGTTTTCACTCTGTGTTCCATCATCTGAATATGTGAGGAGATCGTCCGATTCATGATAAGCCAGGACTTGGAGCACTCCCAAAGACGCTGTGTCCACGTGTCATAATCCTCATCATCATAAATGGTGGTTTCCTGCATGCTCAAGTCAGCATTGTGCCCTTGAAAATGGCTGCAGCATCGTACCAAATTCTTAACTCTGGAATCCGCTGCATTCAACAGCACCGTCCAGTGTTCATCCAGGTGCCTTCCCAAACAGCATACATGCATCACCATGTGTTGGTAGCCCCGTTGCTAATTTGTTTCAAGCTCTGGGTGTGCCCAACCAATGCCACGAGTAAGTGGAAACGTGGACTCTCTGTAGCCAGAGACTTCTGAGATGACGACTCCGAATAAAGGGTTATTGCTGAAGGATGTGGCTTTGTTCTTGGACGCCTTTGGATACCTACCAGCCTGGAAGCCCATTGTGATATTAGCAGGGGCCGCGGAGCATGCGCTTGGGCAATCCTGGCTACACGCGTTGATAGTTACAACCCCTGTGGCGGGTTGCTGGCTGGTTCGAGTCGAGTTGGCCGGGGCGTGAACAGCGTGAAAATCAAATGACAGATTATACTTATAGATTAAATAGTCTCTCATTAACCCATGGACTCGTATCTCACCATCTAACCAAGCTGGATGTAAACTGCAGGTTTGAAGCTTGTGTTCGCGCTCGCGATAGTCGTGTACCGGATCCTTTTTGAACATGTTGAGAACATCAAAGACCCAAGGCGCATTCAGAGCACGTCTGTCAGGGTTTTTTGTAAGTTAGCATATTGTACGGCCGGTTATGTACCCCGTTGGGGGCTTACATGTATCTGGATGCAGTCACCCTTTCGCATGGCTTGGTGTCGAGGATCAGCGATTCGTTTCGATTACCTTGTACGACTTCAATTACCTCTGACAAGTGTGCTGCTAGACTCTCAGGCGTTCTGAAGGTCTTCTCGTTCAGGCTGTAGTGCTGCCAGGCTTCACCAAGGGTTTTACCAAATACTGTAGCCGCGTGGGCATCCTCGCAGAGGTCCGCCACACGAACGCATTTGTCATACCGACAGGTATCTTTCGACGCTGTCTATCCACTGGTCAGCTATCACGACCGTCACATGGGACGAGGTAGATTTGAGGCTCGCCTTGACATACCTCTTTCGAGTCGGGAGAGCCCCAAGCCTCCAGCAACGGATCAGTGCCCTTTTCCGTCTGCATCGCAAATATATGAGTAAAGGTGGTCCCCTCTAGCTCTATAATGAAACAACCTGATGACTCCCAGTTGCTTCGCATCTTTTCAGGGTCGGAGCCGCTGACTTAAGTAACAGTTGCGTTACCCATGATTGTCGTACAGTGGCACATGCACTGTCACTCGGCATCGCGCGTTGTGACACCTGGCGTCCCACAGCATAAGTACGTGCTGCTTGATCTCGAAGAGTCGTTGGACCCTTAAGTTACCAACATTTCTCCAATAGCGTTGTTCCACCTTGAACACGGGCTGGCCACATGCTCCGATGTGACATCGCATGAACTCCAGCTAGACTTCACCAATGGTTCGGCGGTTACGTGAACACATATCCGGTAATCGGCGTCACAGGTAAGTATTGATGTCCAGCCAAATGGCATCTTGCCTTGATATCTGGAGACGTCCTAGGTGAGGTGCCGTGGATGATGGCCCAAGTGGTCGCAGACGTGGACCGGCGTGCCTCCTTTCTCTCCTGCCGGCTCCCAGGACGGACACCGGCATGAGTACGACACGGCCGCCCACCAGCCTCCCCGAGGGCCAAGATCCTTGGTGTCCTGATGAACCTACTACCACACTGCGATTTAAGCTTGTTCAGCTGCTTCGCAAACCGTGGAAACGAACCGCACTACGTGTTCAACCCTTGGGACGGAAAGTGCGAAACCACCGCAGCCGCATTTGAGGGGTTGCAATCGCAAGTCGTGCGTCAATGTCTGTGCCAAGTTAGCGCAAGGGCTCATGGAAATGTTTGCTTTGTGATGGTTACGCAACGTAGCCTCACCTGTCGTCTCGCCAGTCACAGAACGCAAACATACATGACCGCAAGAGGGCCGACATCGCCTGCCGGAAAACAAACCAAGGGCTCACGGATGCCGAGCACAGGTCTTCTCACGGACGTGTAACTCATTCGTGCAATATCCTGCGGGGTTCAGTCGTGTAAGGAGTGCCTGAGCCTCTACTCCCCGATATAGGCCTAATGGTGTCACAGGATTTCGGGGTACAAGGCGGGTATAGCACCACCTCCGTTTCCATTTTAGCAAAACGGGGTCTTCAAACTCCACCCCTATTATGGACTTTACTTGATAGCAAGAAGCTCCGTACACTCCATGCCTTCGTACATGGGGGAAGGGTATCGGGGGTAGACCTCGTTGTCGAACCCTTGGTAGCTGTTTACCATCTCAGGCTGGTAGCCCGGGGCCTGAGTGGCGTATACCCCGTCGGGGTTGCTCTCTCGGAATCTTTGGCCACCTTCAGGTCGTCTCGAGCGACCAGGTGGAGGCTCAACGCTACAAGAAGTAAGCTTTGTGGCGCACCAATACAGGGAGGGAGCCTACCGGTCGCGGAGGGCTTGGTGGATCGCATTGTAGTACAGATCCTGAAGACGATACCCGAACGTCGGCTTCTCCTGCAATTTCAGAGCTAAAATATTGACGTGTGATATTAGCTATCCTTGTTCCGATACAACGGAATTTGGGCGGGATGGATAAACTCGGGCTTACTGATGGCGAGGCATTGCTCATAGGTCGAGATGCCTTCTTCACGAATGTAGCGGTCGACTGGGAGCTCAGCCTGAGCCATGAGAGGGACGTGGTTGTGGCGGCCTAGAGGGCAGGTCAGCTTCAAGCTCCTGGCAGCCTTGCGGTTAAGCTTCTTACCGCGATCGAAGTCGAACAGCCTAGGATGAGGTCAGCGAGAACAAATGCAATAATGCATGCTCGGGTCTCGGCAGCCCAGAGCACCTGGTAGCGAGCGCCTGGCAACCGCCGCCTCGGCAAGCGAAGCTGCGGGAGTGATGGAAGGACAATTGCAGCAACACCGCAGTGGTGGCGATGCCATCAGACAGGGAACAGACGCAACGGGAGAGGACTATTTTGGGTGGATGAAGGAATCATGACGGGCAGTGAAAGACAACGGCAGTTTTGCAGGAGAGGAGGGAGCATGGGACAGCGTGGATGGGTAAACAAGAAGGTTACTACTTACGGGACGCCGGAGCTCGTGATGGTCACTGTACGTGAGTCTCGTTGGTGGGTTGCCGTTCAAGAGTCTCGTTGGCGGCTTTGAGATGGAGGATGTTGACGTGGGTGAACATCTCACCACTGCCCAGTTTGGATCGCATCACAGCCAGGTCTTGTCGGGATTGAACTTGGGCTCGCAACCTGGGGGTCATCAGCGCCAGGGCCAGCAGCACATACAAGATGAAGCGTTTCTCCAGTAGCGTTAGAGCTGTTTCTTGAGGGTGGTGAGGGAAAAGAAAAGTCACCGTACGAATGGAGGGTGGGTGACCCGTCGCCTAGGTATCAGTGTTGGCAGCCCAAGGCACGATCAATTTCATGTGCACCAAGGTGGTCCCTTTCAGTTGGACCAATGGCAACGTTTAGAATGTAGGGATGTATGCCTTGTCGGCTGGGGCAACGACTCGGGAGAGTTCAGAGGGGAACAGGGCTTACCGCCATCGGGTAAAGAGTTTTTTATTATTTTATTTGTTTCTTGGTGCAACATTAGGGTGTGTGCCCAAGACTTTCACAATACCGTACAGAAGCATTTTGCATTCGCAACACGATGCTGGTGTCGAGGTCTTCAAGAAGCCTGCCTATTACTGCATATATTATTACACTTCTCGGTCACCATTTGATGACCTTGAAATCTTTCACAAGCGACTCCAAATTGTGCCCCGGAAAGTGTGAAGTCCCACAGGAGTTGACGGGTAAATGAAAGACTTGATCAAGCACGTTCGTCCACGTTTCTTGAGGAGACAGATCCCAGACCGCCAGTGCGACCCTGGCTTCTTCTACCCGGCGTCTGATGTACGAGAGGTCAGTGTGCAGCCTGTTAAGTTTTACCTGTGCGAGGGTATGCTGTTGAATGGCCACTTCGAGCAGATATGTGGAATTGACCGCATGGGGTTAGGAAAGGAGAGGGTGGTAAGCTCTCCAGGGGTACTCGTCACTGACTGGCAGGGCGTAGCTGATGAGTGCCTGGCCGGCCAGGGCAGCATTTGTATCTCGCCGGTCGTCGCATAAAAGGAAAGCATGCTTTGCGGGACCGTAGTCATCTCTGCGTGCGATCAGAGTTGTGACATGGCAGAGGAAATCGAGTAGTGTTTCTTGGCTCTTCAGAGCCAAGCAGACCTGTCCGAGTGGATACGCTGCAGAACAGCGAGCGATTTGCTTGTTGTATGGGACCAAGTCTCCAAAAGTCGGTGATCTTATCTCGGCATATAACAGAGTGAACGGTGGATCTAGGGAGATCCCAATGTGGATTTCGGGGTTTATACTCCCCTCAAGGTCAAACATAGTCCATCGCGATATGATATAGTGAGTGCGGAAATGGAGCAACCGCCCCAAAGCAGTTGAGGAAGCCGAAATATATTATACAGCCGGGTGCAAGCCCCGGCAGGCGCTAGATGTCTTGTACTGAGCAATGCATGAGTCGAGGAGTCTGCGAAAACTGATCACCATATCCGAACCTAGAAGTTTGTTTGTTAACCGACCTTTTTGAAAGCGATTGGTACCACCTGCCAGGATAGGTAGGGGTCGCGATGATTCAGGGGTAATGTAATGTAACGCAAGCAAACCACCTACCTACAAGCACGTGCCGCACAGCACCCATCCTTAAATTATGTCATCGGCAACAAACTGATAATCTGTCACCAGTAAAAGGCAGACTTCAGAAGAAAAGCAAGAAAAGCAAGAGAAAGGCCCTGAAAACTTCCACCCAATCATTCGTGCTTTTGCGCGCTTCATGTACTCTATCCACCAGACTAAACACAACAAGGAGACTCATACAACTCGTCACACGGGTCATATCCCCATATCCCATCATCCCATTCAGGCTTCATCCATCCATCCGACACCACAATTTGCTTGTCATCATCTGATCGAATTTAACCAGACAGAGACCCTCCAGCGGCCCGAACGCCGCAACGCCCTGCCCTATCTGCAACAAACCGACCATCTACCACCGCCGACCATAAACCGAGCTCTCCTGGCTCGCCCGTCCCGCAGAGGAGCCCTTCCCGTTCCCGCGACTACTGCTGGCGGTCGAGATCCTCGAAACATCGCTTCCACCAACCAGGCTATTATCCGCGTCGTCGGGGTCACCACCCCGGCCACGGCCAACGGGCTTGAACAGGTCGAGCATCTCGTTGAGGCCGAGCTTGAGCCCCTCCTTGCGGGCGCCCGTCTCGATGGCCGTCTGCGCGAGCAGGCGCTTCTTCTCCTGCAGCTCCAAAATGCGCTCCTCGACGCTGCCCTCGATCGTCAGCTTGTAGACCACCACGTCGACCGTCTGCGTCAGCCGGTGCACGCGGTCGATGGCCTGCTCCTCGACGAACGGGTTCCAGAACGGCTCGAGGATCACCACGCGGCTGGCCGCCGTCAGGTTCAGCCCCAGCGCGCCGCACCGCAGCGAGCAGAGCAGCACGCGCGTGTGCTTGTCGTTGCGGAGCCGGTTGAGCGACGCCTCGCGCGCGTCGTTCTTCATGCTGCCGTCGTACCGCGTGTACTTGATGCCCTCCTTGCGGAAGAAGGGCTCGACGAGGTCGAGCATACTGGTGAACTGGGAGAAGACGATGAACTTGTGCTCGTTGACCTCCTCGTGCAAAAGGGTGATGAGCTGGCGAATCTTGGCAGATGCCAAAACGTGTGCCCCATTCCCCTTCGTCTTTTGAGCGTGGAAAGAGGTGTCCTCTTCGGAATCTGAACCGTCGATGTCTGATTCGGAGATGCCCGTGTCGCTCTCGGAGTCGGATTCCGACTCGGAGTCTGCATCTTCTCCGTCGTCGCGGGCAGCGGCGGCTTGCGACTTTCTCTGCTTGATCTGCGACCCTATAGCAGAAAGAGAATCGAGATCATCTTCAGAATCCGACTCTTCCAAAGCTCGCTGGATGTCCTCGGGCTTGGTGTCCGTGCCATCATCGACGACGAAGCTGTCCAGCCGAGAACCCCCTTGCGAATCTTCCTCCTCGGAATCGTCGGAGTTGATAGTCTCGCCCTCGCCCTCAGCATTCTCATCGTCGGTACCACCAGCCTTGCCGAGACGTAGTGGTCCTTGCTCATCGCCAGAAACGATCCAGCTAGCCTCTGCCTCTTCGTCATCACTGTCGATGATGGCACGTCGGTTTCTGGGCTTTCGCTTGTTCACAATACTCTTCGTCTCAACCTCTTGCCGGACAACCTTCTTCACCTTGCTCGTCGTCTTTTGCTTCGTTTTCGTCTTGGAGGCCTTGAGTTCACCGCCATCCTCGTGGTGCTTGAAGTACTCCAAGTCCTCGAAGCAAGCTTTGCATTTGTCCGATCCAGACAGGCGATTCTCTTGGTCCAGTTCCCAGCCGCAGATTTCACAGTGCGATGCCCCTACATCGAGCCCCCCGAGCAGGTCTGCGAGAGCATCGACGTCTGTATCGGCCTTCTTCGGTCGTCCTTCTTCAGAAAGCGCATCCTTGTCTTTCTCGAGCTTGCCTTCCACGAGTTTTGGATGATTACAGGCCTGTCTTAACCGCAGAAGGAGAACCAAGGCGCTGGCGTAGTTGACCTTGCCACGCATCATCGCCTCGAGACTCTTGTCAGTCCGCTGTTCTAGTCGGTCGTAGAATCGTTTCTCTGCGGGGGAGAACTGAGCCTTCATTGCGACAACCTTTCGCTCAGTGACCTTGAAGCTCGACGTGGCGCTCTTCTCGCCATCTTTGGGCCCTTTTCCTCCAGTGTCGAGAGCACCAGCTTTCTTCAATACGTCCTTCGTCCTGCGCTTCATGAAGCACGCGAGAAGACTGTGAAGTCGCTTGAACGCTACGTGGCCCTTTCCCTGCTTCATGGGCAGATCAAAGTGATCCTTCCACTCCCGGAGGTCGTCGTAAGGCTTGATTCTCAAGAACCTGACAAGACTTTGCAGTTCTTCCAGGTTGTTCTGCATTGGAGTACCACTGAGACACCAGCGATACACACTTCGCAGTTCATAGCACGCTTTGGAGGCCTTGGCATTCCTGTTCTTGATCGTGTGTGCCTCGTCCAGAATGACACGGTACCAATGCAGGCCGAAACATCCGGCCTTTAGAGATTCCGTAGTATGATTATGCTCGGACACGAGAATCTGGTAGGTGGTAATGACCACATCGTATCGACGAAGGTCTTCGAATCGCTTGGTGCGCTGAGGTCCGTGGTGGACGAGGACCTTTAACCTATGAGAGGCAGTGACTTTCTCCTTGATTTCTGCCTCCCATTGACGGATGAGGGCCAGAGGCGCAACGACCAATGTTGTCTTCTCTACTACTGGGTGCTTGTCTGCCGGCTTGGGGTTGCTGAGGATCAGCGAGATGGATTGAAGTGTCTTTCCCAGTCCCATGTCGTCGGCGAGAAGACCACCCTTGGGTACCTTGCCTTTCTTGACAGGTCCTAGCTCTCTGCCCTTCATCCATGTAACACCCTCGACCTGATGTGGTAGTAGACGGACATTGAGCCCTTCCACCTGTGACTTGGCTTCGTCCTCGTCATCTTTCATAGTATTTTCCTCCCCATCCTCCTCCCCATCCTCCTCCTCGTCCTCGATAGCGCCTTCTAACAAGGCCTTGATATCGGCCGCAGCCTTTTTCGGATCGACGTATTCGGAGAAAACGCCAGGCGTGCTGTATTTGGAGATTGGCGGGGCATCGACGACAGAGATTGGGTTACTAGCCGATCCTACCGCGCCAGGTATGGTATTGAACATAGGAGCGGGTGCAGGCCTCTTGTCCTTAGCCGTAGGCTGCAATGGTCCGTTTATGCGTTGTGGTCGGTGATGCTCTGGTCGGTTCTTGGGTTGGATGAAAAGGTTGGCATATTTGTCCTCCATATTTCCTCCCCGAAAGCCGCTAGCCTTAATGGCAGGTCGTGGGGTATGATCTCCTGCCGAAAAAACAGGATTGACGCTTGTTGGGGCGGCTGCAGGTCGCGAGGTAGGCTGGGTACTCGAGAAGGTGGGGTTGACGTTTATAAAGCCAGGTGTGTTTGCGCTCATGAAGCCTCTTGGCTTCTCGTTCTGTTGGCTGGGTTGGCCATATATACTGCCATTTGTTTCGTTGGTACCCAAGGGCCGCAATGGCGCCTTGGGGGGAGCTTGCTCTTTCACCATGGTGACGGAAACAAGGATGAGGTGGGGTGTCTCGGTTGCCTGGTATCCTGTCGCCGCGAGTTGCAACGGCTTCTCAAAGGGGTTCCTAGACTCCTGGTTATTGTCCTTGTGCTTGCCAAAATTCGGTGTCTTGCTTGATCTGAGGTTGTTCTTAAGTTGGAACCCAAAGTTGTCGCCAGGCTTTCTGTCGCAAAGGTTGATCAGTTGATGATATCTGGCGACGCGGTTCCCGCGCTTGATTTGGGCTTACCGCATGAATCCTTCAGTTCAATAGCTCAGATATCAATATGGAGAAGGGTTTAGGTATTGGGTTACCAAGTTCAAGCACCTATCGGCATGTTGAGAGGGGATGTGTGCAGTCAAAGAGGTCCGCCATCTCGGTGTTGTTGGTACCTTATCGATGCATGTGTGTTTACAAATGACATGATTTGCCGGGCCAACTAACATCACCTGCGCCACCTCCAGGCAGCACAGCTGTGGCGTACAAGCACGTTCAGTCAAGCCTCATCCTGACCCCGCACACAGTATGTGGCGCTGTCATACTGTACATGTCATACTGTACATGTCATACTGTACATGTCATACTGTACATGTACCGAAGGATCAGATTATTCGACTCAGCCCTTCCCCACACTGTCAGACTGGCCGCGGGTACGGAAAGTTCCAAATTTCTGCAGAAAACAAGCCCTCCTCAAAATAGACCCCCACCGCCCACCGCCATCACAGCTGGAGGCCAATGCTATGATGACCAGTCAATGCAATGCAATGCGATGCAACGCGCTCGCCTGCGTCATAAGTTGTGAAGTTATGAAGCTGCAAGTGCCGATGCTTGGTTCCCAACTTCTCGATGTGGCCATTCACGTCGCCTCAGACCAGCCACAAGTCTCAAGATCATCTGCTGCCGGGTCGAAAGGGTTAAGACGGCCCCTTGACTGCTCTATCCCTGACGAGCATCTCTTTATTCCTCGGCTCATTGCAGACCCCTGCCATGCCTGCGAACAGGCGCTGACGGGATGCCGACGACCACGGATTACCTATCATCACTGAGAAGTCAGTGTCCTCTCCCCGCGGGCGAGTTGTCAGGGTGTCCAGCCAGCCTAGGAGCGTCCCATCGTACGCCTCATCGTACACCGGAGCTATGATCAGATGGACGAGGGGAGTGAGACCTGAGACACCGCAGGTCAGGCCCGGGCAGGTTCGGGTGCTATTTTGCCTTCCTGGTCAGGTACTGGTTCTCTCTCTCCCTCTCCCGCTCCCGCTGCCGCCTCCGCGTCTTCAGCTGATACCTATTCTGAGGAGTGGGCGGGCGGCACAGCCAGCAGCAGTCATTAATGGCCTATCATTCAGCAGGTACATCCTACCTCACGACCCTCCTTCCTGTGTCCAGGTACCCTTACGTACGAGTGTGCGGGCGTCGGGACATGTTGCGTTGCGTCGCGCAGGGCAAGCAGGCTTCCGTGGAAGGAAGGGGCTGAGAATTCCGGATGCTGATAGGATGCGGATGAACAATGGGGAAAGTTTAAAGCCTTCGCCCGTCGGAGCGATCGACCTCCCCGGCTCCCCAAGTGGTGGTGATGGTGTGGTGGCACCCAGCATTTCTAGATTGATTGATTGATGACCGATATCCATCCACCTGCAGCGTCCATGTCGCAGGATCGCCCTCTCCCCTCGCCCGCCCAGACGTCGCCAACCACAAGCTTGTCTCTGCTTGTGCTACCTTGCCGGGCTTGCCTCTCCATCGTAAGCGATGGAGAAACTCTCCTATACCCATCTTTCTCCAATCAAGCCATGGAAAAGAGGTAATATTCACTCTCCAGTGTCCTGCACAGCCGCCAACACTCGCCGTCCCGTGAGCATACCATCGCGACACTACTCTTTGTCACCGTAACAGCAAATTCATAGTACCATTCCATCCTCGCTTATTTCCCTTTGCTTGTGGTGTCATCCCCAGTCTTGAGCTGGCTGCCTGCGCACCGCAGCGCCCAGTCGATTCCAGCACTCCCCCTTCCATCTCCAGCAGCATGAGTGCACCTCGTCCTGGCAATGGCTGGGCGACCGCCGACGACTGGGCCGCCCACAGGCCCTTCATCACGTCGCTGTACAGAGACCAGAACAAGACATTGAAAGAGACTATGCAGGTTATGCAGGACAAACATGACTTCTTCGCAACGTGAGTCTCAAGCACTACTGACAGTCAGCCTCGTGTCTAACAATCCCTTCTCAAGCGTGAGGATGTACAAAGCCCGCTTCCAACAATGGGGCATCGAGAAGAAGATCAAAGCCGAAGACGCCGTCGAGATCTTCCGCCAACAGACGGCGCGAGCCAAGGCGGGAAAGTCGTCGGTGGCCTATGTCCGGGGCAGGCGGATCAACCCCGACCGACTCCAACGCTACCGATATCGCGCCGCCGCCGTCGTATCCGAGCAGATCCTACTCGTCGAGAGGGAGTCGTCCGAGTCATCACCCGAGGCCCAGCCGGTCCAGACCTCCTCGCACATCATCTGCCGGACGCCGTCGCCGGGCCCATGCGATACCCCGTCCATCTCCCCGCGACTCGAAGACCCGCCGGATCTGAAGGTGCCGCAGGAGTGTATGCAGATACTTGGGAATTATATAGCAGGGTCGTTCGAGGCGGGAGTATGGCAGCAGACGGACCCTGACAAGGCCGAGGTGAACGATGCATTCACTTGGGCGCATTTCCTGGCAACGTCGCAGGGGCTGATAGCCCATAATCGGACCAAGGAGGGCTTTTTCTTGCTTGGCATCTGTTTCGACCAGTACAAGTCACACCTACAACACCCGGACTCGTTCTTTTGGCTGGCGACGTACAAAGCCGTCATGCTTCTGGCGCATCGGGACCGAAAGCTCGGCGAGACGTTCATCAACTACGCTTCGAAGCTCACCTCCCTGATGTTACCGCGCGACCACCCATTCAACCATGTCTGGTCACGGATCATGATCACCGGTTTGCCAGGTCTGCAGCAGCATGCAGCAGCCTTGTTCGAGTCCTATCTGGATACGTGGAGACACCACATCACGTCCATAAACGCCGACGAGAACAGCATTGTGCAGATGGCCTTCGTGTTCATCCAGCTCCATTGCAGCGGCATGATAACCCACGCCTTCCTGCGGGACATCATTGAGATGATGATGGGTCTGCTTTCCGGCTCCCCCATCGCAAGCCAATATCTGCTCCAAGAGGCCAAGTTCAGGATGGCCTGCCTATTCCTCGAGAAGCGCAAGCTCAACAAAGCCGAGACCGTCATCGAGGAGATTGTGTTCTGGCTCGACTCGCAGCCGTACGTCGAGTACATCCACCTGCGCGTGAAGTGCATGTGGGCGCTCTTCGAGATCAAGGATCACAAAGGCATGCGCGTGGAGGCACTACAGATCGGATATGACCTCATTAAGCTGTGTCAGGAAACCTATGGCATGGTGCACCTGCAGACCTTGGATGCCATGTCTGCGGTGGAGGAGTTCCTGCACCGAACGGGCAATAAGGCGGTCGCGCAGATGATGACCGACGACTTTGAGAACCGGTGGGCTGCCTTTAGCGACTCGGCGCGTGCTCGCAAGGGGTTTCCGCATCCCATTGAGAAGCCGTGGTTCCACCGATGCATCGAGATGGAGGAGGATTCGGCTTCTATTCAGGAGTCGATCGACTTGTTTGAACGAAGCTCTTGGCTCAAGGATACGTGAGTTCTGTGCCAAGTCTCGTGGCATAAGGAATGATGGACCGAGTCATAAGCAGCTCCGAGTTGCTATACACTCGGTGCTTCAGTTGAAGACGGACCGCCCAAAGTGGACTGCGCCCTCGCCAGTTAAAGAGCATACCGCGGGTGATCTATGGGCACCCAAGGCGGCGCATGCGTCCTCAATCCTGGTCAAGATGACACGTCGAGGTTATTGTCCGCCGGTGTTTGACTCCCCAGCCGCGGTTGGACTGAGAGCAACACAGCGAGCCAGAGCCGCCAGGATCGAGCACAAGGCATATCGAATTGTCTATGGTTTTGAGGGAAAGGGTACCGAGCTGGATGATGAACAAGACTAATCTAATCAGACTAATCTAATCAGGACAACCACATGTCTCTAGACGTAGTAGAAGTACGCCGTGGATCTATCCCGGGCACGCATGTCTTCAGAAGTCAGTTGGAGCTGGGAGCGACGTGGTAATTGCCATATTGAAAAGATGCATCTATACGTACCTATGACTCAATACATATACCCACGGCTCTTGAGGCAAAATCAAATCTCTTTACGAACCGATCACGCGCCTGTTGTCTTTCTCACGCATGTAGATTGTGACCATACTTTGCACATGGGCACGTGTAAATTTGCGTGGCCTGGGAATTTAGGTCGACGTAAGTTGCGTTTGCTAAAGAGACGCCTTATCCCAAGAAATAACTCGTGAAAAGCAAAGATTGAGGTTTGATTTGAGTATTGATACTTGCACCTTACCCAAACCCTTGATTGCATCCCAGTGGGTAAGGCAGTAGTGAAGAGCTATGTACAGGTACGCACTTATGTGCCTTGTGGTAGCGGTATCCAGAATAAGGACCAGGGTCACGAATGGTTGCTATTGCTCTGTATTCTGGAAGTTGCTTGATTGAAAGAAGGGATGGGTGGTGTCCCCATCCCAGAAGTAGCTATCATCCCAGTTGGGTACAAATCAGGTACAAACGGGTACCCGTTGGGCTCCAAGGTACCTTGTATCCTGGTCCGTGACTCATCCGTCATTGTGGCTGGAAAATGGGTTGAGTAGCCACACTTATATCAATCCCACAGTAGCCATCAATCAGTTCAAACAGTGAACCCATCAAGACTTCTTCCCAGGTTTTCTCTTCTTCGCAGCAGGCTTAGTATCTGCATCTTCAACCCCATCGCCCGCAGCTTCAGTCTTACTTTTCGTTGTTCTCCCGCCACCCCGACCAGTCAATATCCTCCGCGTCTTCGTCCCAGCTAACTGAGCCGTACCGCTTCGTCGCATCTCTCCCCTCCTCCGCCAACCACCCAGCAGCAATAGCGCCAGTCTTCCGCCGCATGACCTCAGAAGAGTCCTTCCCCTTCCAGGCCATACCGTGGTCGGCATCTCGCACCTGCACGAACCAGCACGACGCTTTCATCCGCACCGCTACCTCGGCGAGGTGTTCGGCGTCGCACATGCTATCCCGAGTACCTGTGATGAACAACACATCGATGCCGGCCGGTATGTCGAGCAAGATCTGCTCGCGGGAGTCCTTGTTCTTCGCGCCGACCAGGGGGAAGCTGACCAGCACCAACGCCTTCGTTTTCGTTTTCGTCGTCTTCCTGTCTCTGTCTCTGTCTTCTTCATGAATCGCAGTCGCGCAGATAGCAGCAGCACGAGCCCCCATACTCCTGCCCCCCAACGCGGGAGCAGGATCGAAGTCGAGGTATTCGGTCACAGCCCGGTACGTCTTGACCCGCGACTGCAGGTTCATGGCCCCCTTGAACGTAACGATGTCCCCGACTTCTGCGAACCCGTCGGCGAAGTCTTTGGTTGCTGGGCCTAAACCAGGGTCAGCGATAGATATAAATTTAGCATATATCCCAGACATATATTCTTCTTCGGCAGATCTCAGATGTCTTAGATAATAGACGGCCGGCCTCCAGGGATTGTTGGGTTCTACCCATAAGTAGGTAGGTATACGCACTGGTGATACCTCCCCCCGCGCCGTGGGTGAAGATGAGAGACAGCTTTTCATCGCCTTCCTTTCCGCCGCGACGTTCGCATACGATCGACTTGTTGTCGAACGGGATGTTAAAGTGCTGCACGCAGCCGTTGTCGTTATCGGCTTCGTCGCCATCTTCTTCTCTGCAGTCGTTCCCTTTCATGCCGGCATCGACGTGCGCTCCTCCCTCCGTGGTGGCCTGCTCGTGGTCCGGGTTGTCGGGCTCCGGTCTTGCTTTTCTCTTACGTGGCATCTCGGGGTCCTGGTGTCCTGCTTGTAGAATGAATGTCACATGTTGGCCTTGAAGGAGCGTGAAGGACTATAGGAGGAGAGGGGAGAGACGTTGGATGTGGCGTACAAAAATATGCCATGATTAGTCAGCGAAACACGGGAGTTAGCTACTGAAGTTCTTCGTGTGTATTTCGTCCCCGCCGGCAGGTACCAAAGGCCAGCCAATATACATGTATATCACGATAGCCTTATCAACCTAGAGACGCAGTACACGGTGAACTGCCACCACAGCTCGGACGATCAGACGTTTATCATTATCAACATCTTCCCAGTGCATTTAAAAGATATAATACAAAATTGCATTTACTATGTAACAGGCGCCAAGATGACACAGTGGGATATAGAAAACCAATCGTTCGCCAGCTGGTTGTCTCGTTCATGCACACACCTCATTGCTACATTACAGTCATTCCCTCTCGCAAGTCTCCACATACAATGATATGCTCCGTGTATGCATCGTTCTCATGCGTCCACCTTGGGAAGGGCAATCAGTAGCTTGGCATTCCTTCTTTTGGCTAGGCTCGGAGACCTCCGCCATCCATCCATTCATGATTAGTACGCGGCACTCTGTCTGTAAAAGTCCTGCGGTGCGCTCGGTTCGTTGCCTGGCGGTACGTAGGCCTTATACTGCGGCTGCTGAGGGGGCTGTTGAGACGGCTGCTGGGGAGGTTGCTGAGGCGGTTGTTCTTGATGACTCGCTTGACTTGGCAGTGAGTGCCGCGCGTCGTAGTGTGGGCCACCAGGCTGCAGGGGAAGTGGCGCAAATTCGTGGGGTGGTAGGCCATGTGGGATAGAAGGTGCTGCTCCAGTGGGTTGCGGAGACGGTTGCGATGGTGCGTCATAGGAGTTCTGATGTTGGGGAGGGTAGGGATTATAAGCAGTGTATTGAGGCTGTGATGGTGCTGACGGCGCTGATGGCCCAGCAGGACGAGATGTGATGGCTAGAGGGGTCGGGACACCATCGGAGGCACCCGGAGGTGCTGGGGGAGGAGCTGAAGGCGCGGATGGCGCAGTATTCGGGCTGGTGGCGAAATAATCTTCTTGGGAGTAGACAGATGCCGAGTACGGATCAGCTCCGCCAGCGTGATGGGTCGCGACGGGTGAATCATATGCGGATGTGGCCAACTCTTGAGGATTGCCATAGGTACTCTGAGGTCGTTGACCGGCTTGAGGAGGCGGTTGGGAATAAGGTTGGTACGTTTGTTGCGGAGGCGGACTTGAAGTCTGAATAGGGGTAGGCTGCTTTCCAGCCGCTACCCGTGAAGGCTGGTCTCGAGGAGCATAGTGCTGGGTGGGCGGTGGACCAGCTTGGGGAGGAACTTCTGCGCCATGAAGGTAGAACGGGGCAGGTCCCGGAGTGTTTCGTTGGAAGTTAGGAGGCGGTGATGTAGCCTGGTATTGGTTCTGCTCTACACACGCGTGAGCCTAATTTACGCAAGATAGGTTGTGTTGGACATACCTTGCGGAGGAGGTCCCTGGGGCCCAGGGGTGTAGTATCTCTGCGGGTCTTGGTGTTGCTGTATGGGTGGAGGTCCTTGGGGCGCAAAGCTGCCTGGACCTGGCGTACCCCCTGGGACTGGGTAGCCTTGTGGCATAGGTCTCGGCGCATACTGGTGGTAGTTGGGTTGAGGCGGGTGAGACATCGAAGACTCCAACAAGGATTCGTAGTCTCTCCTCGCCTTGATGAACTTTTCGTTCAGCTGAGTAAAGTCGTCCTTCTTCTGCGAGTACTTCTCAATCAGCTTGATCAGCTTCGGCCTGATTGCCAGGGTCTGGTGGTATAATTTCTGGTCTTGTTAGCAGCCATTCTCGCGTAAATTCGAGGATCAGGGCCTTACAGATATTTCCTCATTATCCTCTTCCCGCGGCGCCATGTTCGATGTGCTCAAAAGAGTCAGGAGCTTCTCGACGTTCTTGATCTCGGCAAACACCTCGGCCTCCATCTGCGCCTCGCGATGTAGCTCGTCGGGCGTCGGGTCCGTAAGCTTCTCGACGTAGTTCAGGGGGAAGATGCCCGTTTTGCCTTTCAGAGATCCTCGCCACCAGTCCTTGTAGACGGATTCCAGCACCGCGATGACGTCGCCCTTCTTGAATTCCAGCTCGCCGGGCTCGGAAGGCACAAAATCATACTGTGCTCGAACTCGTGATACCGTAGCAGCAGTTGTGCCGGTCGGGTGTGATGGCGCCGCCTGCGCGGACCCGGACCCCGAACCAGAACCAGCACCACCAGACCCTGCGCCAGCTCCTGTGCTTGGTCCCGCAGCTGAGGAGCCGCCCGCAGGGGCTGGTCGCTTCTTCTCTTCCTCCTGCAGAGACAGCTGCAACGCCATCTGCAGCTCGTCCTCTTCCTTCCGACGATCCACATCGGTGAGACCGGTCTTCTGGGGCGCGGATGGCGGCTGCAGCGTCGGGTTGCTCTGCTTTAGGCGGAAGTAGGCATCGTACATGATGCCGAGGTCGGCGTCTTTGCTGAACATGTCGGACCACTCCTTCATGCGCTCGAGGATCTTGGCCTTGACTTGTTGGTGGGTATTCCGGTCGTTCGCGAGCTTGAGCATGGCGTCGGTGAAGGAGCGGCTGGCGAGCTCACGGTGGATGGGCTTGCCGCAGTTCTGGGAGAGCGCATTGCCGAGCTAATGTAACCACAGTCAGTTTGGTCATGCTTCCTTCTGAATAGTCCTCGCACGGGGAGAAGGGAGTGAGTAATGCACCTCGAGAGTGTAAAGCTGGACATTGGCATTGCGATGCGCAAGTCGCTTGATCAGGCCCTGGACGGCTTGGTTGGGGCCATTTGGATCGCTCGAGACCTTGTCGCAGACCTCGATGATAGCTCCCCAGTCCTCGGACGTAAGGTTCTCGTCGGTCGCCTTGGCTGTAGCAGAGCGATGTCAGTATGGTGGCTCTTCCGGAAGCATGCCTCCTCTGGCAGCAGCAGACAGCGGGAGTGGGATGACGTTACCGATCGGCTCGTCGTACGGGCTCGCAACAGCACCGCGAAACATGTTGGCTGATGTGAGAGGATAGCAGTGTCGGGTGTTGCGATTCTCGGACGCTTGATCGAGTCTTGTCAATTGTACTGTACGTGTATGAATGCGGACGGCTCAAGACCCGAGGTTGGAAGAGGTGGAGGTGGTGGTAGTGAGGTCGATTATTAGTCCAGCTGGTTGATAGGTAAACTGCAGCCTGGGCGTGGACGCGGGCGCTGGGATGACCTAACGCAAGCCGATTACGTCTTGATCTCCAGGGGCTGTCAGCTGCCACCAGCAGGGTTGCAAAATACGATACTTAGTATCGTATTTAGGTTATACGATACATGTATCAGTGTATCTTGTTGAATGGGAGCCGGAGATAGACACCGGAAGATCTCCAGTGGGGCAGAGACGCACAGGGCATCTGACCCACCAAGAAGACAGATGATCAATCTCTGCACGCAGAAGAAGAACACAATCAATAGAATCAATCAACATCCGTGTATTCAACATATCTGGCCCGATGCCAGTCGCATATGCTGAGGATATGTGAAATTACTAAACAGTGGGGCAACCCTAGGCCAGGTCTTGGCAGGTCTTGGCCATCGCGGAGCTTTTTTTCACCACCGCCGAGGTGCGTCCCGCTTTGTGGGGCAGTTTGGCCGGTAGCTCAGGTCTCAGGCGCAAACCCGCAAATAGCCTGAACAACCAGTCATTACGCCCAAGATGATGGAACTCAAGCTTCCATCGTCGGGCATTGCTGCGTCCGGGAACGCGCAATGAGGCGACTGCTAGGCCCTTCGCAGTTTGACTCCGCCACATCTGGGAGACGACTTCACAATCAAGTTCGCTCGATTGTCTCGGTCGATTCTCGCCTGTGGACGGCTAGGTACACCCGCTACCTTATTAGTGACTCGACATCAATTCCGACTCAAGTCCCAGAAAAGGGGTCGGCATTAATTTAATCAATAGGAGATAGTAATAAGGCACCCGTCGTCTAATAGCTTCAATTCGAATCTGTCTTTCAAGCTCACTATATTCTTCTATCTCAGCATCTAGGTACAACCCAAACAACCTTCGCCCTCCAATAAGGCGGCACGGTCTATACAGCTCCCAGTTCCCAAACCCCCCATGGAGGAACTCGAACAAGGGAAAAGAGGCCTCATATGTAAATGGCCACGAAGGCCTCCCTGAGATAAACCAGGTAGTCTTCATCGAGCGATTAATAACACACACACAATGCCCACCAACCGCTCTGGACTCCGGCCCCCCAACGTCGGTCATGAGAGGTCGTAATCCTGTGCCCCTGAACGCCTCTTTGAACGATGATTCTCGTAGCCAGAAAATCCAAAAGGCTGACAATTTGTAATCGTGGATTTCTCCTCACGTCGTCGCACACTGATCACCTCCGAGTCGGGGTCGTATCCTACGTCAACATCCAACAACATAAGTCTAGGGGTCTATGTCGTAGAATATGTGCAGCCACTTCGCCTTAGAGGTTGCATCGAGGTTGGTTGCGACCGGGTCATCACCAACGACGACTTCCGCGAGCCGAGTCATAACCACCTCGATCGCCACCAGATCCCGTACTTCCACCACCTCGTCCCTCCTCTAGGCTGCGCCGTGACTGGTCACGATTGATCTCTGACATGTCAAAGAGCAAAGGTTCGTCCTCGGCTTCGTCAGTGGAAGCGCCCGTTACACCTAGGCCCGTTGTGCCGCCCCGGGAATATCCACGGCCATATCTGCCGCTCGACCCCACAAGGCTGCCACTCCCAGAGTGCGGTGGCGTGACACCACGGCCGGCACTGCTGCCATAACGTCGCCCGTAGGGTGAACTTGATAGCCCCGAGAAGAGACCCCCAGGAGGCCTGATCTCGCGCTCGACGGAAGATGACCCTTGACCATCTGTGTCTGCCAAGCCGGACTCTCTAATGTCGGCCGGCGGCTGGAGAACTGGCAACTCTGCCGCCGCATTCGCCTCCGCTTCAATCCCCCGTCCTAGCAGTACACTGAGACTGGGAGCCTCACGTTCCTCTGCTCCAAGGCTGAGACTGCGGTGGGCATCGGGATCGTCATCGTCGGCAGACACGCGCGGTTGATGCGCCACAGAACTGGATCGCCTATCATGCGTGTACGGCCTAGGCGACATTGGAATGTCAATAGCCGTGGTCCTCTCAAACGCCGCGGGAATACTGGCTGGCGGTCCCTCTTGATGGTCCGTGTCGTAGCGCGCTCGAGACGCGGCCCGCATAGGCGCTGCGTAGTCAACACTTGAGTTCTCGCTTAGACGGGACGGAATAGCCGGCGTGTGCGGTGTATGAGGCGACAGAGGTTTGCCGGGGGATGAAGAGATCGACATGCCTGGCACGTTGGCTAGTTGCCGGCTAGAGGAGCTAGAGGAGCGTTGTAGTTGCATGGAAGAGTTCATCGATTCCGTAAGCGCGTTATTAGACTCGCGCATGAGATGAAATTTGGACAATTGCGCTGCCGTTTTCTTGGTTGCCGACTCGCCCTTCTTGGACGGTTCAAAGCTCTGAAGGGTCCGTTTACTTTCGAGAGCCTTCAAGAAATCTTGAATGTTGTCATCGTCGGTCTGGAAGGAACCGGAGCTTCCTCCCGCACCAGCTTCATTCAGTAGGCCAAAACCAGGCTGGGCCACAGATGATGACATGCTTTGCTTCCCGCTGCTGTTTTGGTCATCGTCTCCCTTGCTGGCACCGCCAAAAGACTGGCGGTTACGGCGATGGGTAAAGCTACTACTGAACCGATTTGAGACTGACGGCCTAGGTGATCCCACCACAGTAGTTTCAGTTGCAGGTGGTGGCCCGCCTCGCAACGACGCAGGCATTCCAGCAGTCAGGGATGATCGGTTCCGGACATGTGTCAGTGTATTGAGGCCAGATGCTCGAGGAGATGGCGGCACATCATAGTCTTGCATGCGAGGTACCGGCGAGCCAGACAATGACCCTTGTTTAAACGGCGACGACTGGAAAGAGACCGAGGGGCGCCGACCCGAGCCATCTGCCGTTCTAAGGGATGGCCGTCGTGCAAGACCTGTGATCGGCAGGGAGTGTGGAGGAGCTTCAACACTCGCGGGCGTGGATCCGGGAGGCGAACTGTTATCGGACCCGGGTGCCTTGACGGCTTTCAAGGCAGAAATGGGACTTGTTCCGAGTGGACCCTCACCATGAAATGTTGACAGGCTACCGTACCGCTGTTGGTTCTCTGTAATGTCCTGGGTATGCCGATGATATGGCAAAGATCCAATCTCGGGAGCATGAGATTCGCGGCGACCCTGCCCCCGGTGCGGTAATGATGGCTTGAACATGTCATCAGAGATGGCCATACCGATACGGGAGCTCAGAAGGGACTCAGTTTCAACCACTTGGAAATTGCAGTGATTTCGATATGAGACAGACACGTAGAAGCGGCCCACGGGCACCTCTAGATCACCAAACATGCAATCGGTGGAGACATCCCCCCTCCCCTCGAACAATGGAGTCCTCAGAGTATCGGATCCATAGCTTCGCGAATCACCCGAAGAGACCCGGCAGCGTATTGACAAGGCAGGATGCATCCCCTTCGTCTTGGAGTTCCTGGCTAGTCTCCAGGCTGGTAAGATACCGGTGATGCTGTATAGAGATCGCATCAAGACGATGGCCTTCTTGTATATTGTCGGGAGGAGAAGACCGAAGTCTTCGGGATCATCCGGTATAGCTCCCTTCAGCTCGACTCGCCAGCGCTCCAAGACGACGTGCGTGTTTGGCTTGCCCTGCCGGCCAGAGCTGCTGTCACTCGACTGGTCGGACGAGTTCAGGGCCTCGACGACATCCCAACGTTTGCCGTTTTCGTCCAGTATCACCAGACTCTGGCCCCCTTTTAGTCGTGATGCATCGAGATAGGTCTCGATGACCAGCGGAGGGGGTCGGTTGTCGAAACCACCACATTGTTTCCAAACTCGAAACTCTTCTCTAAAGTCGTCGATGTCGTCGGTATCGAGTTGGAACTATGCGTGGGTTGTGTGAGACAAGCAAAGACTTCTTTAGTGGCTCCTGACAAGATCCTGACTTACCCATCTGCTGGTTCTCCTCTCCAGGGTCCTACCCACTAGTATAGGGGATACCTTCATTCGTTCCTGCAGGATCAAGGTACCGGCTTTCGAGTAGATATTCTAGAAGGCACACTCAGCAGGAGCACTCTAAAGGATACTTGCATGATCATGACAGGAAACCAACCTGGATGATCTGATCCAGCTTCTTGATAGAATCCCGACTCGGGCGTCCATCAGTGCGGTCTGTAGGTTTCCCTGTGCCCGTCGAGATCTCGGGAGCCAGGCCATCTTCGCCTGATGGCGACCGGGCAGCAGGGCTCCCGGGATCTCTATGGTTGTTCGTCCTCGTGGGATTTGTTTGCGGCGAGGCGGGGGAGGAAGTACGAGGTGTGGGGCGGGGTGTTTGATGCATGTTGATTTCGGACTGTGATGCACGCAGACAGGGACGCTGTCGGTTCTCAATTCAAGTCGGTATGCTGTCGGCGGGTGCAGCCCAAGCTACGCAGGCTGGGAAGGTTCCCGTCGGCCGTAGGCCAGCAGTCCGCTCCGTAGAATCGGCGGTGCCGTTGGAGACTAGTCGGAGATGGCGGTGTCGATCTGATGGTGCCACCGGACTTTGGCATCCATTGTTCGGGAAGTCGGGATGGAACAGACGACAAGGTGGTCGTTGTTTGTCTCGTCACGAAGAGGGTTGTCACAAGTCACAAGTGACGATAGGCAGACGCTCGATGTCAAGACTCAATGGGCTTGTTCAAGGCGGCTCTGCTAACTGTATGCGGACAGCTGCTGCAGGGTCGGGGCAGCTGAGTGCTGAACCTGGGCTAGGCAATTTGCGATTGCAACATGTTGACGGTGTGCCTGTTAATGCTTCTTCAAGGTTGCTTCGTCAACAGCGAGACCGGTGAGTCTGCGAGACTGGGTGTGACGATGTTGGAGTCAAAGAAGTGGCCGGTGCAGGCACAGGTACAGGTTCAGGTGTAAGTGCAAGTCAGACGATTGTTGCTCCTCGTGATCGGTAGCAACCTTTTGCCATCCGTCATCGGTCCGGACCGCGCTAAGATTGGGAAGCAAGTCGGGGACTATCTGGAGCTTCCAGTGGATGGGGGGAGGAGTGGGAACAACACAAAGATAGGCCGGGCGACTTATCGACCGATAAGAACGGCACAATGACGAATAGATTGCTTTCAACACGAAAGAAGAGACGAAGGTCAAGTACACAATTCCATACACGTGATAAGAAAGGACGAGACAAGAAAGAAACCAATAGTTGTGTCTGGTGTTCTGTCAACCAGAGACAGAGACTGGGTCTGAGAAGGAGGTGGAGGGTTGGATGGAAATGGCAAGTTGACGTCTCGGGACTGTTGTCTTGTCCCGTCTCGTCTCTCTCGTCTCGTCTCGTCCCGTTTGGTCTCGCCTTCAGCGTGCCAGGCACAATGAACGGGTGAACATTGAACAGGTCCATCAATCAAAGCCTTTCTTCTCATCAAGGCAAGCCGGCGCCCGATCGCAGACGCGGAGCAGAAACACAGCAGCGGAAGCAGGCTCGCTGGCTCGCAGCTCCTTCCCCACATTGGAACACAAGGGGAAAAGCCCCCCTTTGTCTGACCTTCGAAGACATACCTTATCATTGGCTGGGCACACCCCTCAAGCTGCGATTGGGTTCAACCTGTCAACGTTCAAAGCGCCACTGCCTCTGGAGGGCTTTGTGAGCTGTCAGAGTTTGTGTGAGTGGACACCGATAAGTCGATAAACACAGTGCCAATATCCATCATCTTTCCATAGTCGCGTGCCCTGTTTTATCATCTCGGCATACTATAAATCGTAGACCGCTCAGCCGCTCACACTCTCTTGTCAACTTTCATACAGTATGTCTCCATATTCGTACTATCGGACGCGGCGATCTACAGTATGTGGTTGGTACCTTACCCTTCGCCGCAGGAGTCATTTGTTGGGTCGCATCCAGCCGAGCTCATTTGATCGAGTGCATGTGCTGGTATTAGCGATTAGCTAACGAGCTGACCGTTATCCGCTGACGACCACTACCCTTGTTTCTCACTATAAAAAAACCCCTGAAATTGCCGATGTTAATAAGTATAATGCCGTAATTAACGGTTTTTATATAAGTTGATATTAAAAATAGTTCTTGAAATTGTTTATTTTTAAGCTTTAATTTATAAGTAGTGTTATTAATTCTTATCGTTATTTATAATCGTTCTAATAATGATTTAATTAAATATGTCATTATTAATTAATGAATTTAAATAATAACGACGTTGAGTTTATTATTATTAATATAAATTTTAACACGCAAGTTGTTAAAGCTGTTAAAAAGACTTATTATAAGCGTTTAAAAAAGCCGTTAAAAATATTACAAGCGCGTATACTTTCAAGTAAACGGAGTGGAAAGAGTTTCATATTTAAACTTTGGATACAATCTTTAATTTCAATTTTTTATGAAACTTTAATTAATAAAGAAAACCGGTTTTAAAAATTTCAAAAATAAAAGCAAGTAATTTTTATTTATATAAAAAGTTTTTAAATAAAAGGTTAAAACTGTGTAGCCTTTTATTATTAGTAAAAACAAAAAAGCGGCTACTATAATAAACGTAATAGTTTTTACGGCAAAAATCGAAAAGATTTTACCTTTGCTAATAGGGAAAATAAAGAAAATATTATTAGAATATAATATAACTTATTTCGAGTATAAACAAAAATTGTATAAGAATTATAAAAAGAATGAAAGGCTTAAAACCTTGATAATTTATTACGGTTTAAAAGCGTAGCTTCTAAGTTGTTATATTAAAGCATATTTTGTAATACTTAAGATTTAAAGCGCGCCGAGCTTATATATTACAGTATTAATATTTTTAAAAACGTATATACGTTAAGTTAAATGGTTCATTATATAAGGTATATGTAGTGTCACGGCGAGCATACTGGTGAGATGGGACATGGCCTGCAGCAAACAACTATTACTCTATTAACGAGAATATCAAGACTAGAGAGGAAAGAAAGAGAGAGAGAGATAGGTACAGTGGGAGGTTGCCCCTTTAAGGGGATCCTCTGGTCAGATCCTTCCCCTATTGGGAAGTATCGGCTTGTCATGTGGGAAGGTCTGTGCAGGCCGTCACAAGGCTAGCTATGGCATTTCTAAACGTTTAAAAAGTGAAACCTTATTGCTAGTTTCCTTATTGGATTTATTATAACTTTATAAAGTTAAGTGAAAGACTGTTATTGTTGGAACAGACTTGAACAATCAATCATAATACTCGAGTATGGGGTCAAGGTCATGATGTTGCTGATGGTTGGATTGGGAGGTCTAGCTGGACCTGAAGGTCTGGCTAAGTAACCTCGCAATCCGGTATCTATCTCTTATCTAATCATACATGTGGGTCTTGGTATAGATGGTTTGCAGGCTGGAATTGCATAGATCCAACAGTTATAAAGTTAAGTAAAGTGTGACGAGCCGTCTAACCTATAAGGCTGAAGGGTTCTATAGGGTTTATGTTCTGAGGTAAGTCAACACAAAAGACAATAGAGGCTTCTGTCAACTAGGCTACATTCAGATGCTGGGGTTTGGTCTGAACTGGGTTTACTGCGTAGTCGAGTCGTCAGGAGATTTCTCCTATCTTAGGGTTGGCTTAGATGCTTAGATTGATCACTGAGATAGAGACTGACTATCTATCTAATTGGGAAATGTCTGTCCTTATATACCCAATCTCTCCCTCACTGATGGAGTAGGATCACCTTGTCCCAGAGTGATGCTCACTGGCTCACTCCGTGATCCAGTGATCCGTCACGTGACCTTTGTTATGTAATCCGTAATACCTATTGTTCTGTTCTTGGCTTCTGATTCCATTGGTTCTTGGTGTACTCCCTTTAGCCCTCTGACAGGCTATGGTATTTGTTGGTTCGTAACATAAATAGCCGTACTTTTAATTTATTCAAGGCTATTAAATTTTTATTTTTTTTAAATTGTACAACTTTTCACTTTTAGAATTATATAGTAAAAATAACTTCAATATGTTCTACGTTTAAACTTGAACGTCAATATTTTCATAACATTTAATATAACTTTATAAAAATTAAATACGGCCGAGTATTATTTAATTATTAAAGATTAATTATTAACTATTTAACCTAAAAAGGCCGTTACAATTTATACTTAATATAAAGGCTTTATTTTTTAACCAAATGAAGAGTTTTGAAGTTTAATATAAATGATTTGAGTAATTTGAATAATTTGAATAATTTAAATAGCGGGAATTTTTTAAAACGAGGCGTTATAAGAAAGTAAGAGCTTGGTTTAATTAAATAGCTTTTTACATTTTATAAAAATATTATACCGTTATTCTTATAAGGCATTTAACCGTTATAAGTGCGTTGATTAATAAATTTAAAAAGCCTTAGATTTCTTAAATATTTTTAATGTGCATTGAAATTTACTGGCTAGGAAGTTGTTATGTTAACTTGCTCTTTATGTATATATATGTTTATTTGAATATTTATTTATATTTCATTTTTACTTATCGTTGAAATTTATAAATAGTCATAATTGCAAGCGCTTATCGTAATTAATTAATCAAGTGTTATTATAAAGCGTTGTAAACTTATTAACTGCGTAGTTCAAGGATGTACTGTTTTAATAGCTGACGAAAATAGCGGGGTTAGCAGCTGATCAGCCACTTAATTCCGTCGCTAGTATCGTTTTGATAAGGCTCATCAGTGACCACACTATAGGTTGGATTCTTTCGTTATTCATTGGATTTGGTGCTGTTCCTGCGCTAGCCAGAGAGAGCCCTAGAAGACGGTCCCTTAAGGCGTCTTTGAACTGAGTGAAGTGGTCCAGTCCCGGAGCAGAGAGAAGCCTCTCCGAGGAACCAGCCGTCTCGGTCGTTTGCTGTTTGCTGGTAAGGCCTCGTGGACTGACATCCCCTCTCACGGTACGGAACCGCCTTCGGCGGCACCAAAGAAGGCTGGTACACCAACACAGCCGCACAAACACAGTACAAAGCCTACATCGAAGCCGTGGTGTTGCTGGAGGCTAGATGTACTCATCTGGGTGTGATGGCCACCACCAGACTAAAGGGTCGGGGGGTCCCCCTTTTGGTTACTTACCTAGTCTAAAATCGACATTAGGCCCAGACGAGGTGCTATTCTTTAATTGTCCGGAGAAATTGACTGTACACGTTGCAGATATTCGGCGAAGGCGAGAGTAGTGAGATCCTGTGCGGACCGCGCTTCGACGGACTTGCAAAGGGGTAGAAAGAGGCAGACTGCTATTCGCTATACTCGAACTACCTACCTAGGCGAATGAGATATGTCTCGCTACCATTATCTAAAACAAACGCTGCTGGAACTCATGCTGCCGTTGTCTAGGCATGCGCTGCTCTCCAAATGCTTCTATAACCCAGACAATAAACAGCAGAAACGCAACGTGAAAAGCTAACAATGACTCGGACTCTATTTCCTTGTCGAAGTCTGGGTCCCACCCGATCAGTCTCTCCAACCAAGGCAAGCGCGTTAGTACAGGGCAGACCACCTTGCCTCTTCCCGAGAGTGACCTCTAGCACTACTGAAATCTCGTAGCCAGCAGCTCTGGCTTCCTGTCCTTCAGATCAAGCAGCATCTCACCAAACAGCCCGTTCGCCCACGAGAACCACTGGCGCGTCCAGTCGGACTGGTTGAAGGTGTTGATCGACTCGTGGATCAGCCCGAGCCCGTCCGTCGACGAGACAAGCGTCTGCAAGCCTTCGACGATCTCGCTGTCGTCGTCTGAAGTGAGCAGTGCCGTGATGATGGACATTGGCCAGGCCCTGCCGGGGCCAGCATGTGGACCACCAGTTCTGTATTCACACGTCAGTCAAACACTTGCGGCATGTCACTACCCTTGGAAGGACTTGGGGAGACTGACCCATTAATCACCGGGCCGTGCATGTAGTACGGGTTCCATGTCGAGAGCACGAACTTCCGCGTGTTCTGGTACGTCTCATCGCTCGCATTCAGGAAGTCCAGGATGGGCGCGCTCAGCAGGCTCGGCACATTGGCATCGTCCATAAGGTTACTGGACCCGAAGCCGTCGATTTCATAGGCGTAGATCTGGCCGAACTCCGCATGCATGACCTTGCCGTACGTGTCAATCCCCTTCCGCACGCTGGTCGAGAAGAGGCTCATCTTCTGCGCGACGTCGGCATCGACCGTCTTCATGATCTCCGCACACCGGCCGAGGTAGCTCGAAAACTGCATGTTGGCGGGTATGAAGAGCTGGTAGATGGTGGCGTCGTCCGAGGGCCGGAAAGCGCTGCGTACGAGGCCTGTGCCGGCCCGGACGGGGTTGCCGATACCCTTGTTGGCGAGCGTCTCAGTAGCAGCGGTACTTTCGCGCTGGAAGGTGTACGGGGACGTGTTGACGGAGCCGTCGGCGGCGTACGTGCCGACGAGGAGGCCTTGGGTCATGTTCAGGATCGTCCGCACGGCGCTGGCCCACTGGAACTTGCCGAAGAAGGCGGCATCCAGCGTCATGTCGTAGTAGTCCCACGACAGCTGCAGGAAGGCCGAGATGGAGTCTAGCTCGTACTTGCACTCGAAGACGAAGTCTGGGTCGAACGGCGGCGTCACCTGGTCCGTCTCCGCGTAGCCGTTGCTCTCTGGCGGCAGGCCCGACTCGGTTGGCGCTTGGAATGCGTTGCAGTATGGGTTCTTGAGAATGTAGCGCGCTTGGAGGTTGATGACGCCGCGGAACAGGGACGCCAACGACTCGCTGGACTCGTTGGCCATCAGGAGTGATTTGTAGCTGCGCATCTGGTTCGCGCTGTCGCGCAGCCACATGGCAACAATGTCTCCCGTCGTGACGAAGGTGAGCTGTGAATGGTCAGCCACTGTATGTCTTAATGAAACAGAAGAGTCTGGCTTTCGTACTTCTTCCTCTGAGTTATTGCTGGCAAATCCCTTCCATGTGACTGTGGTGTCCAGTGTGTTTGGAAAGGCATTTTCGAAGAGCCGGAAAAGGTCTGGATCCTTGACCACAGTTTTCATGTCCTGAATGGTGGCTTCGACCTCCGTAAGGTTGAATTTCCGGCATGCTGCAATCGGTCTCTGGTATGACAGCTGGTACATCCCCTTTGAGAGAGGCTCATGCTTCGTAGTCGAGTAAGTAGTATAATCCGGACACTGCGCCAGGACCACGTCCACGGCGATGGCGACAGAAGTCAGCAATATCGATGAAAGATGCATCTTGACGATATTCTCCAAACACACCCAGGGTCTGAGGAATGTAGACGACGGAGAGACGAGCCAACGATAGTATTGCTTTCCAATAACGAGAGATGGTGTAACAACAGCTCAGTTTCCGAAGCATACTAAGCGTATACCTTATGGAGCAAGTGTTGAAAGTAAACAATGGTAAGGTAGTGAAGAGAGGGGTGTCGAAGAGACAAGCTCTGTCGTCAAGTTTGAGTACTGGACCAGCTCACGAACCTGTCAATCGCCTCCACCCCAAGGGCGCCCTTGCCTCGCGGGCAGGTTGCTCTGCAGGTGATCTTGAGCATATGACGTGAATCTTGGGGTTTTCCGGGAAGGAACGATGAATAGAGCCGAGATGGGCTGACGAGATTGCGGGGAAGTCGAGGCAGAGCTGGGCAACTGGGGTAGCGAGCAATACACCGCTGCCCACCTGCACGTTGTGCAGCTCGAAATGCAGCCTTGGAGCTTCCTAAAAGGCTTTTAGGTTTGGCGTTCCCCGCTCTTGAGGCGGCTCATGATCACCTGCATTCAGGGCAGTCGGGGAAGACATAGAGTCGTGGTGGGTGAGACGACGAGGAGAACGACGGCACCCCTTGTCACCCGACTCACCCATTAATACTTCTACCCTTTTTAACCCAGTCCCTGCCCTGATGGTAAGAATACAGTAGTTATAGCGCAATCGCACACGTGACTACGGTAGCTGCGCGCACTAGGCATAATGACTATCGCGCACCATTCTTACTTGTACTAAACTGAGGTAGTTTATATGACCGTGGAACTGGGTGAATGGCGTTTGGAGTCTTGACCTTTTTCTTCTTTTCTATTCCCCTAGGTACTTCAGCATCAGTACTGCGTTTAAACGGTCCCATGTACAGGCCACTTACATACGCTCCAACACTTCTCGGCTCTCTAGGTTACCTTCCTTGTTTACCAATACCCAAACATGCCTCAACGAGCAACGATGCTCATGCTTCTCACAACCACGCTCACCGCTGCACAGTCCAACCTAACAGCCCAAGTACCGGCTCAGGACACCTACCAACTTCCCCGATCGTTCAACAGCAGCTTCGACAACCATACCAGTGCTGCATCACAAGCCATCGCTGCAGCCCGCAATGCGAGTTTCGTTTCGTACGACGAAGACTTCCTCCGCATCGTTGGCGACGATTCCAAAGTGAGGCTTCTAGCAACGAGCAGCAACGAGAAAGTTTCTTTCGCCTTTGAAGGCGGCATCTGGGTGCCAGAGACGAATCAAGTCTGGTTTACTGCCTACCTTGACCCGACTCCAGGATACCTGTCGATCCTCGATCTGAACGGTTCGTCGGTTTTTCGACCGAACATTACACCTGCTGGGATCCTACCAAACCCCAATGGTGGCTATTACTTTTGACGAAAAAGTCTATGTGACCACCTTTGGTGACCCCGATACCACCCCGGCGATCGTGGCTATCAACCCGCATACCTACCATGCCGAGGAAGTGGTCAACTCATACTTCGGACTTCCGCTGAACGGACCGGACGATGTGACCGTCGCAGTGTCCCGTGCTACGGGCGAGCAATGCGTATTCTTCACCGACTTCTTCCTCAACGAAGAAGGTCTCGGTGTGGCCACCTACCCTGGCCCCTCCAAGCTGCCGTACTTCGTGTGGCGGTACACGTCCCACGACTAGAATCTCAGGCCCGTGATTGGCACTCTGGAGATCCAGGATCCGAATGGCCTCGCCGTCGACAAGGCGAACTCTCTGCTGTACGTCACAGACGGCCCGCATTCAGCTGTCTTCCAGAGCGGACCGAATCACACTCTACCGAGCTTTGCTGGCATCTATCAGTACGACCTCGGCGGTGCGGACGGGTGCACGCCGCTCAACAAGCGACTGTTCGCCTTCGCGCGGCAGGGCTTCGCAAACGGCATCAAGGTGGATGATGCCGGGAGAGTGTGGACTGCAGAGTACGAAGGCGTAGTGGTGCGTAACGGCACGAGCGGGAAGGTGTTGGGTGTATTCAACGCCGTGGACATCATCATGGCGAATAGCGAGAATCCGGTGAACGTGAGGGATGTGGCTCCTTTGGCCAACTTTGCACTCGTGGGAGACGAGTTGGTAATACTGGCGTTCGACCGGATATTTGGCGTGAAGCTGGCGGAGATGGTGATTGATCCAGAGAGATATAACATTCGCTAGACGTCTCTAGCCTCATGCTTTTAGCACTCCGAGTATGCCAACAAACTCAAACTCTTCTGGATCCCAGCCACTGGATCCAGCCACCAGTACATTATCGGATCTCCTGTTATCCAGGGCGTTCTACGATAAGGTTACATGGGATGGCTGCCCCAGGTGACAAGTACCAACCCACTGTAATTTAGGTATTTAGATACGTCTCGGATGGGATCTCTTCCCATCCGAACTTAACTAAGCACCAACCAGAATACATATCATCCCAGCCAAGACTTGTGATAGATCTCTGTTCTGGTTCCGCTACCACAAAGGCACACTCTCATCTTTTGCAGTAACTTTAAATAAAATTGGGCGCGCTCCCTAAATTTTTTTTTGGCGCGATTGACCAATCACAACGCACACATCCAGCCGCTGCAGCCAATCACATCAACACTACCGGGCTCCATTACCACCATTACCACTATTACCACCGCAGCATTACCACTACGGTGCATATAAGGACACATTTATTGTTGGATTAAAGGTACGCCTAGAAGGCACCTTTACAGGTAGACAACGGAACCTAGTTGTTCCGTCCCAATCCAGCCTCTTCTAGCACAAAACGGCCACGGTTGCACAAGGTCACTCTAAACAGAGAAAGAACACACACACACACTTCACTCTGACAATTGGCTCAAATCTGACATTTATAGATGTGCGGCTCGCACCGCCCCTTGCACCCCCGGCTAACCTTAACTAATAACCCTAACCTTAACCACGTCGATTATCAGGCGACTCTATATTAAATCCTTTTAATTTAATACAAAATCTATATAAATTAAAGTACTTAAGATATAATAAGCAGTATACGTTTAATTAAATAACGAGATAACTTTCAAATCGTGTTTAACGCTTGATTTATATAAAGTTCTAACATATTTTATTAATTGCTTAACTTTATATATAAATATAATATATAATATAATGTTGAACTAATATCGGTATATTATTATATTAATATTAAAATATTAAAATAAAGCTTTGATTTTTATTATATGTAAGCAGTCGGGTGGCTCACAGGTGTGCTGTAGCACGCTTCTAGGGGTGACAAGGCTGACAAGGCTGACAGCAGCACTGAAAGGAAGGAACAGCCTGGAAGCGGGCTTTGAGCCTTAGTGTATCTGGGACAAGGGATCTTTACCCTCCGGATCAAAGGCTGGGCATTGCTTTGAAGTTGGTATGTGTATTTAGTACCTGAACAGGTCCCAAGACCCAAGGGTAGATCCGCACCCAGAATGTAAGCAACATGATGACCTGAACCACTGAACCGATCTTTTCCATATTATATATATAATTTATTACTCTTTAAAACGAGAATTTGCTGCTGGTCCCGCCGGATTTGTTGGATGGCGTCGCCATTTTTTACCGCTTCAGCAGTGATTGTTGGAGTCAGAATGTGTGTACCAGTCAAATCATATATACTTTACTTGGCTCTCGGCGCGCCCAAACATGCCATCTTGTCTTGTGCGTGTTCTTGGCTTGGCACATAGCCATTTCTGGCTCCAGTCCGTCCGTCCCATTTCCTGAACACTTACTCTGGTTCTCTCCCTTTGCCACACTTACACACCTACTCTGGATCTCAGGACCAGGAACCACCCAGGATGGCAGCATTGACTCATAAATGACTGCGTTGCCATCTTTCTCGCTTCTTTCAATCTGAACAATAGTCATTCAAAGTGCTTGCCTCCTTGTCATCATGACCACTCCAACTTCACGTACCTACACAGACCAAAATGCGGATTTCCTCAAGCGCTTCTCCTCATTCAAAAAAAAGAAAAGGTACCAGCCAAAGTCTTTGTCGCTTGAGGAGCACGCTGAGTTCTACAAGCATACAAAGTCTGTAAAGTACGTCAGACTAAAGCTATTGGAGGGGACAGAGATCAACATTGGCGGGATACTGGGTAAGTGGAAATGGTGTGCCCACAAAACCCCTCACTTTTCGTTTTTAGCTGATCCGCATTTCAGTTTCTGTGAAGAGCTTTTGAAGACAAAAGAATGGCGGACGGTCATCAAGACGATAGAGGTCTCGATTATTATGGATTTCTGCCTACATATATACAAATCTAACAGAGTAAAGGCTCAAAAATCATTAAAACAGTATTTCCAGCAATTCTAACAGTTATATACTCTAGAAACCGGGAACTACATGGACCGTAATGATTGTCGCTTGGTCTACACAGTTAGCAATCATATCAACCCAGAGCATGCTCTTATGACTGACTAGTTGATAGTATATGTATGCCGTTCTTGTTCCATTGTACCGCCTTCGTCCTCCCAATACCAACAGACCAGTGCTAGGAATGGACACACTACGTTGTATCCTGACTTTTAACGTTGCTTATGACCCCGCCATTCAGCCTCTCGAAAGACAGTTTGTCTAACTATCAGACTGCTACTAACTCCTTTGTTACACAGGCGTGCATCCGGCTGAGCTCGTCTGTAACGAGTGAAAAAAACCCAAAGACGGCACGGCGGAGGAAATCTTCGGTGTTAACAGCGTTTCGTCCATTTGCACTAATTCTCGCCTCATAGACAGCGCTGGGCACGGGGGAGTTGACGAGAGCTGTGACGGCTGCACAGACCTTCCTACATGACAAGCGGATACTTCCCAATAGGGGAAGGATCAGACCAGAGGATCCCCTTAAAGGGGCAACGTCCCACTGTACCTATCTCTCTCTCTCTCTTCCTTTCCTCTCTAGTCTTGATATTCTCGTCAATAGAGTAATAGCTGCTTGCTGCAGGCCATGTCCCAGCTCCTCAGTATGCTCGCCGTGACACTCACACTTGCCACTATGATGCTGTTCATGGCACGGGTGTTAGGGCTGGGTGTGGTTTTCTCCTGAGAGGGTGCCGCTAGTACCGGGGCTAGGCTTTAAGGAGCTGGTGGGTTCCTTATAGCGTTTACCTCATTGTAGAGCTTTAGACATGCCTTCCTGAGCTTCTTCTTTTCCTGGTTCGAGGGGTGGACCAACTGGCCTCCTATTTTTTTAGGTCTGGCTGGGCAGTTTGCATATGTTGATATTTTGGGCCCCATGCAGTTAGCACATTAAGAAGGGAGCATGCATAGAGATATGTGCCTTTTGTCTTCCGGTTTCCCATATCTCTCACAGCGGCTAGGGCGGGCATACCGCCGTGCAGGGTGCCAACCTTGGCATCCTGGGTTATGTTACAAGGGATTTTTTTTTTTTTGATAAGCCTAGACCTTGAATAGAGGCCAAAGATTCTAAATATTCTTACTTTCTCGGTGAACGAAACTAGCCATGTGACTTGACCGGACTTGTTAAGACCGTTTTTTGATATGCGTGTATTAACCGGGCGGCGGCCGGTCTGGAATTTGCATTCATCTAAGGTCATTTCTGATGTGATCTCCATGTCTTCAAGTTCCATGTTGGTAAGTCTAGTTGGATAGTTCGGGAGGGCATAAGTGTGCCATTTGACGGGTAGTTCTGCTGTAGAGGCTTTTATGAACTGAGTTAGTTTTATCTTTTATGTTAGGATCCTTCCTTGTGTAGTTTTATCCCTTAATTGAAAAGATAAGCCGGTAGGGATTTTGTGTGCATCTGCCACATCGGGGGCCACGAGGTTTAGCTCCTTGGTGATAGTTTTCCGAAAGGCGTATGTACTGATAATTCTCGACCAGCCGAGCTGGTCTTTTAGAAGCCTTATGAAGATACGGAGGTCTTCTTTCTACGTCAGCGGTCTGGTCCTGGCGTGTTTCTTAGGGCCGTTTCCAGCTGCCTAGGGCTGGATGCCATTTGCAGTGACCCTTGCATATGTGGGTCATACGGGGGTTATTTGTGGTCTTTGTTGAGTCTGTGGTGGGGTGCGCTTGGGCACCTCTTTTGCTGCGCAGGGGTTCTGTTCCTGCTGGCTCCTGTTATTCGCTGTTGGCGAGTACGTTCGTGCAGAGGAACTGGGAAAAGATGGTGGCTATCTATTGGGCGTAAGCCAGCTGTTCTGGGTCCTTTGCCACGATTGCGATGACTGTGTCAAGGGATCTGGCGACGAGTTCCAGGATATCCGTTTGAATTTTCTCCTTACGGCGTCGTTCATTTACTGCTTGGTGCAGGGCTTGTAGGGCCGAGCTTTGTGCCTGGGTAGCATGTATGGAGGCACTGAGACCATCAGGCTTTGTGAAGAGGCTGATAGGGGTAGAGACTGTTCCGGAGACAGCGTTATTCTTGTCCTTGTTATCCTTCTTAAAAGCACTGTCGGGATTGTTGCCCATCGTGTTAAAGTTCTCCAAGTGTGGAGCGATCTCAGACACCCGGCTTAGCTGAGGGGCGGGGGGTGCCGCTGCGCTGCGCTGTCCCCCAAGGGAGGAGTCGCAGGGACAGCGGCAGCTAATGGCTGGTGAGCCATAGCGAGGATCGTGAGATCCGGGGTTTGGTGTTTTGGCCAGATGGAGGCGTCTGTTAGCGTAATGGCTGGCTGGGGTAGGCTACCCACTAACAGTGGGCGCCAAGAAAATTAATTTTAAAAAGAAGGTGTAGTAGTGGACGTTGCCAAAGCCTCGTCCATGCAAACGATGCACATCGGGTCCGGTAATGCTGACTATCTACTAATCAAGATCTCTGATATGCTGCATCGAGATAGACTGGAGACAGCCTGCCTTAGGTTGGTCCAGGCACATCCCATCCTGCGAACTGCATTTATGGTTCGCAGCCGCCAGCTCTATCAGACAGTGCTCCGATCATTCCACCCGGAGTTCATCCAACACCAACGCCCAAGCTGGGGGCTTGGTGCTTTGGCTGAGAAGTCTGTCCAAGCCGATCGACTACACCCATTCGATTTCCGCTAGCCCGTTACCAAATTCTGGTATTTCTATGCCAAAAGACACTCCACTGTCGTGATACGTTTATCCAAGACTCAGTACGACCGCGATTCACTGCCGGCGCTTGTCAGAGACCTTTCGTACCTTTATTATACAAGCGAAGATACACCCTTTTGCCCAGGCTTGTGCGAAGTATTCAGGGCTTCACAGACGATGATCAACCCCTGTGCTAGAGACTACTGGCGTGATTTACTTGACGGTGCAGCACCGACGCACGTTATTGCCCAGCCGTCACCTGCGAGCGCCAGTTCCCAACTGAAGAGAGTCCACCAAAGGGTCGCAACGGAATCGCTGTTGCATGTAACCGTACCATTCGAAACCATGTTAAATGGCGCATGGTCCATCCATGGTCTTGTCAAATTTGTTAGGTCTTGACTTGTTTGTATATCGACAAATTTCCGGCCTTCCTAGATATAGTACTGAAGTCCACCACATACCGTCTGGTTCACTTTCTACAAGCTGATCTTCACCATTAGGCAGAATCGAATGGTCGTAACCTCTAGACTCGATTGACAAGCTCTCGAAGAGGCCAGCGGCAGTGAGGAGCGTAAAACCAGGCGCTTTGAAATTTAGGCAAGCTAGGCCCGCGAGCCGACGCCTGGGTCATGGGAGGCCGGGCACAGCATAATGCAAAACGTGCAAGCTAATTTACATCGGTTAATCCAACTCAGAACCCGAAGACCAGGGAAGATGGGTAAGTACAGAGTCTTCCCCATCAAGTTCAGAGAGTCCCTCGCGTGTCTCCATGGTTTCCACCGGCTTCATCAATGGAGCCCAATCTTCGTTATTAGCCGATTCCTCACTAAGCTCAGCATCTCCCTTGTGTTTCCAATGTTTCTCCACCAACAACCTCATCGGTTCTTCCGAAGCTTCGATGTTAACCAACGCATCCTCAATAAGACGGGCCACAGCGGTCTCTGGGTGAACGTGTCTGCTTCTTTGAAATTGTCGCAAGATATCATCTCGGTTATCCTGTATCGCGTAGTGAAGTGCAAGAAACCCGCAGATATCTGTCGCGTGAATATCAATATTCACCTGCTGGAGTAGATGGAAAACAACTGTGTTTTGCTCATGGTAGCGGCTAATCTCGTCCGACCATGATTGCTGACTATCACGGTGAAGTTGTCGGGTGTCGCATGCAATGTGCAGAGCGGTTCGTCCGAACATGTCCCTTGCATTGATATCGATAACGGGGTGCAGTAAACTTGTGACTGATCGAATGGTCGACAAACAGTAAGCTCTTGTCGCAGTGTGTAGTAAGGTTCTACCGAGACTATCTCGGCCTTGGCCCGACGATGCGCTATTGACAAATCTGTGTAAGAACGGTTTCTTGAAGCTTGTTGGTATCTCGGATGTGTTGGGTTCTTGTGCACAGAATCTGTGTATATTTCCCCAAAAGGTAGCCAGTATGTCGTTGTACTCCTCTTGGTCGAGCTGTGAATATTGATCTGCGTGTCTGCCGGAGGATGTAGCGATCAACCTTTGCATATCTAGCGCGGCTACTAGATCTCCCGAGGCGACCAGGCGGTCCACGAGTGTAGGCTCTCCAGAATCCCCCACAAGCCTACTCAGTGAATATAGTTCAACATTCCAGTCGGGTTCTCGCACCTCGCAGGTAGCTGTCCGGAAAAGAAGATGAGCGATTTCTACGCACATACTCCCTCTCGAATTATCGTTTAGAAGTCTGAGCCGATCTCGAACAAGGTCTTCGATAATTCGTAGAGCATCACCAAGTTCCTCGGTAGAGCGTAGAAGCGCAAATGTGCCCACTTGCCAACTATCTGCGCGCTGTTGTAAAGCTTCTCTCATGTGGCTAGCGGCATAGAAAGCACGTTTAAGCATTTTCAGCCAACTTAATCCGTGCAAGCTTGAAGATATCAGTGATATAAGCGGTTCTGGTCAGTCAAAAGAACATACCAATGCTCGATCTTGGGATCATTTGCTAGCTCCGAGGTTGAGACCAAAGAACCAAGCTGGGTTGATATTGGCCGTTCTGGTCTTTCCTTACGGGTTGATTTCTGACTTTCAGAACATGCCAACCCCATTTCTGAACAACGAATGCATTTCTGGTCGGGGTCTCTATTTTCAGGTTCACACTAGAATTGTTAACAAGTTCACCTAAGAGGGAATGATATTTGCCGTCCAAGAGTGCCATATATCTCTGTCCAAAATAAACGCTAGCCTAAGAACTAGTAGACAACTTATAGCCTTGACTGGTGCTAACTTAAAAGACGATTATCACCTCGGCGAGGAATATATCAAGACTCACCTTTTTTTTATCCTGCCTGCAGCGCGCACACTTGAGGTAGGAATACCGAGGTCGCTTTCTCTGGGGTACAATATCATGCTTAGGTAAGCATAAGTGTACGGGTTTCAGAGGCTCAGCTTGGCCGGCGGGTGTGTCGGGCGCTTGCAAGCCACCCATTGGAGGCGACTGGTCAGTAGTTGTGCGGACTGGCTTCTCCATCGGTCTGTCCTGGTGGATGGAGTGGTGGCCGTTGGTACATTGATGATGGGGATAGAGGAAGCGGCCTGGCATTAGCGGTCCGCAAACCGAGGACGTTTAAACACTGGGGGTCTTGCTTCCCGGTGCTGACGGTGGGTAATGAACGGATATTAGTGCGGTATTTCCATTGCGGAACGAATGTAAGTGAAGCTGCTTTGAGTTGGAGCCGACTCTGGTGGGTTGAAACGATTGACTGGAAGCGGTAGTCAAGAGCGCACATGGCTTTGCTGATAGCGTTGCCTGAGGAGCACCCATACCTTTATATTATGAAATGGTCGGCGACCATGGATCGGCAACCATTAATCAGTAAGGTGCAGACCTTTTCACCGGCGAATGCGACCAGGGGGGCTGCACGTCCAGGGGGGCTGCTGCCTGACCAGGGGACTGGATTGCGATGGATTGCGATCACTGGCGATGCTGCAATATCTAATCCCTTTGCAGAGCAGCCACCGCCACGACACACATGACAACACGAGGGCAGAGGCGCAGGCACGTCTGCCCCTTCCATCTCAATCTTTGATTGTAAGACTGGAGGCAGGCACGCAGGCTGCAGTCTGCAGGACAGGTTGCGACGCATTGCGACGATCATCAGGATTGACGTATGAGCACAGTCGCGACATTGCGATGGCCAACCACCACCCGGCAAGGCAACAATCTTGTTTGCGTCTGCAATTCCCACCAGCTCGGGGGCGTTATGGTTGAACGAGGTTCGAATGGATGTTCCTGGGAACGAATGATCGGTCCAGTAAGACCTTGCGGTGAGGTATGGTAACCTTGAAGTAGGCATGTGCGTCTGTGTATTTGCGACACATTGCGACACATTGCGAACCGTCGAAACTCCTCGCGGCCAGTTATGACGGTGCTAATATCTGCACGTGACCTGAAATGGGTTGACATTCACAAGGAGTTTGTAAACAGGATTCCCTGGCGAAGTTTTGGGTCTCTGCAGGTCCGTTACTGTACAAAGTTGAACGGTATGTAGGCAGGCAGGTAGGTAAATGATGATCTGCTGTGGGGAGGCCGAGTACGTATACCATTGAGACCCCATGTCTTTTACTACACTCTGTTAGAAAGCAAAATTAGGCTTGAATCCTAGGGCCTTTGGCAAAAGAGCTAGGCGGTGACAATATGGAGATGTTGATTAGGGGCTATAAACAGACACAGGGAATCGTAGGAGGCGTGCTGAGAGAAGCGCACAGGGCATTTGACCCACACAGAGAACAGACATCATAATCATCCATCATCCGACACATGCCGACCTGAGCATCTAGGAGCATCTACGTAGGACTACAGATTGATATTAGTTGTGCTGTCCCGGTACTAGCAGTGACTTGTATGTAAGTGAGGAAGTGAGGTTGGATGTGAGTCACCCGCAGATACCACGCCAAAAAGGTCCACCTAGATTAACATTGAACGACGGCCAACACAGAGACAGGTGGATTGGAATTAAGACTAGTGGTTCGCATTTCGAACATTATTTTTCTTATGCATCAAGGTTCCTGATGAGCTTGCAGGTTAACAACGATGGTAAGGCCAGCACGACCCCCTGTATAAAACCGTTAGATCTAAGGTGTCTGTACGAGATGGTCCAGTTATGGCTTTTTGCAAAGGTTAGAGAATTATGGTTGGCTCGGGGCGGTCTAGGCTTCGTCCGATAGGTCCTTGTCCAGGGCGTAGGCCTCCCCAGTTCTCCGCGTATCGGCTCTTCCTACTGCTCTCTACGTGGCGCTGCCGGGCACCCTTTGTGATCCGCTGAGAATGGGTCATAGCAGTTCGCGCACTTTGGTGCGGCCTCACAGGTCCCTTCCGGGTGCTTATCTAGCCGTTCTCCGCAGCGCCGGCATTTAGGCACCCTTTGATACCGCCTGCCGGTGCAGTACCCTTGGCATCCTGTTTGTTTGTTTTGTTTGTTTGTGTTGGATCCATGCGATTCCAGACTGCAAACCATTTATACCAGGACCCACATGTATGATTAGATAAGATAAGATAGTGGATTGAGAGGGCACTTGGCCAGACCTTCGAGTCCAGCTAGATTCCTCTCAATCCAACCATCAGCAACATCATGACCTTGACCCCATACTCAAGTATTATGATTGATCGTTCAAGCCTGTTCCAACAGTTTGTTTGTTTTGTATTTAACGTGGGGGGTAGCTCCTCAGTAGTGCAAACCACGCCTCCCAGAGCCTCTGCATCGCAGGGTTGTGGAGGTCTCAAGAAAATAAGTACAGTCAGTCCCGCTCACAGGCCCATTCCCGTTGTTGCGGAGGTATGACCTTGGGGTCATCCATCTGGTCCTTCAAGAAAAGCTATCTATCGGGGGCAGATTATTGAAAAGAACTTGCTCTTCTCCACGAATTTTGCCTATTCTATGCTTCTCTCCTTTAAGTATTGTAAAGAAGCTGTCTTAGGCGAGTACCTGGACAGCAGCCGGTTTTTCCCCAGCCTCTTACAAAAGAAAATATGTTGTGGTGTTTTCTTCTCACCACAGCTGCAGTGATCATTCGAGTCTATATGCCCAAAGCGTTCATGGTATCTGGCAAAGTCGCTATGTCCAGATCTGGCCGCTAGAAGTCTGTGTAAAGTACTTCTCTTAAAAGATATAAGGTCTTTTTTAGTTACTGTATGTGAGTATACTTCTTGATATCTAGGTTCTGATTGGTCTTTTCACCATTGGTTGAACTCTTTCTTGCCCTTTTTTTTGAGATCTCTCTTGACCCAAGAGATTGTAGGAAGGTTTATTGTGTCTGTTTTTAGCATGGTACCCTCTTTTGTTAGTGTGTCGGCAGCTTCGTTGCCATCAATATCTCTGTGTTCAAGAAACCACTTGACGGTCACTCCAGGAGTGTGTGCTGTGGCAAGTTCTTGAAATCGTAGAAAAATGTTCTGTGATGTCTCGGGTGGAGTCCCATTGAGCCCGTCTACCACTGACGTGTTGTCCAGGCAGATATATAGCTGTTTTCCGTGTCCAATTGCCCTGGCTGTTGCAAGACCTTGGAGAGCACCATGGACTTTAGTATTTACTACTTCTGCTTGGAGAAGTCTGCCCTTTCCCCGGTATACTTCTTGTGTAGTGCCGCCTTTCCTGATAGTATAATCCCATCCAGTGCGGATTGTGCCTTGGTCGTCCAATTGTGATCCATCTGAATAGATAACAAGGTCAGTATTCACGTTTCTCTCCTATAGCCATTGCTTAAAGAGCTCTATTTCTTTGTCTTTGTCTTTACAAATTGGGGGCTTCTTCTATGATGGCTTGGTAAGTATTAGTTTCTGGAAGTCAGGGACTAGCTAAAAGCTCCTTTGTAGCCTTGTTAGATTCTTGCGAGCTTGTATTTGGAGCCTGCCAACAAGAGGGTGTCTCTGGTCTATTCGTCCTAGTCGGAGGCCGTGACGTCGTCTTATTGATTCTGCAAGAACTCTTGCTGGGGGAATCTGCGATTTAAAGTATAGGATATATCCAGGGTGTGTTTTCCAGACTGGCAAGATAGCCCTGATTGCCGTTTGTAGTACGGCATCTATTGTTCCAATAAGCCCCTTAATGCGACATGCTGATGTCCCACCTAAGCTCCCAACTTTCTTGATTCCTGGGTATCAGGCCTCTAGGCCGTGTGTAAGAATAGGAATAACACAAGCTTTCATAGCTCTCTTGGTTGACTTTACTAGAAGTCCTTTGACTGTGTTGCATAGTCCTCGAAGGTGATTTGCTACCTTATTAGCTTTCTTGGCCCAGTAGGAAACGTGATTTTTAAAGTTTAGTTTTCTATCCAGGAAGACACCCAGCCATCGCATAGAGTCCTTTGCTGTTCTGTTCATTGTCCCGTGGCGGACTGGAGGGTTGTCTGAGTTCTTTTTCCGTAAGAAGTGCATGATCTCGGTTTTGTCAGGGTCAAATTCAATAACGTTGTTATGTCCTTATTAATTAAGCAAATAAAGATTTTCAAAAGCCTCTATAGCTGTTTCTTTAAGGTTCTTTCCAATGCAGAGAGTTGCTAGGTCGTCTGCATATCCAAAGCGTCTTCATTTCATGCCAAGTCGGGCACAGATTGGCTTTGTATACAGCATGTAAAGGATTGGAGAGGCTGGTGAGCCTTGCGGTAGCCCACAAGTGAGAGCTTTTATATCGGTTTTGCCGGGTTCAATGTCGATTTTTTGGTCATATGTGCGCTGTTAGGGTAGTTTCCTGACTTCTGAGAAGACGTCGATGAGATTGTGGTATTCAGGAGGCAACCTTGCTCTGATGTCTTGAACGGCGACAGACTCTTTATTCCTTAGGTATTTATTGATATTATCTTATGTGACCTTGTTTAAGGGGTCGTACAAATCATCAGAGAACTCGTGATACCTGACGTCCACTGGTGCCTTGTGCATATCTTTGTTCCCCCCGCCATCAGTCTCTCAATTTAGCGTGTGTTCGGTGGTCAAGGGGGATTCGAGGTCAAGTAGGTCTGCGTAGCGTCCGAGATGGTCGAGTCTAAAACAATGACCCCAAGCATACTACGAGCACCAAACATGCGAATGAAAGCCTGTCGAGCCAATACCTCGCTAGAAAATAACTCGTGAATTCATTGTAGATGTCCTCCCACGGTAGCCGTTTCATGTCTTTCAGTTGAACGAGTAGTTCTTCTTCGGCTCTTGAAAACCTTGAGATTTCTTTTGCGCAGCTGTGAGCCTTTGTCTCAGTTTATACTACTTGGTTGTATTTCCTGGCTCTCACAAAAATTGTAATTAGAAGGTCGTTATACCGCCCACCCCTACGCGCTTGAGTAGCGCGTTCTTCAGTGGCCATTTTTTGAACAATGCTGCAGACGATTGATTAATAGATCCTGTGTCAGATGTATCATCGGATAGAAGCGGATTCGGATCAATCTCTCTGTCTTTGTTGTTGGTAATAGCTGACTGTGATAAATAGTCTAGGTTCCGACTATTATTATCTAATGATTCATTACCCATGTCGAAACGTGGCGTCGCACCATTTTCAGATACTCCAAAATTCGTACAGTCTAAGAGGGCGTTTTCTGAATAAGAACCAGGAGGCATACATATACAGTCTCGCTTTTTACAGTGCTCCTTAGTAGAACCAGTCCCTGACCCTTGGTGTGGTAACTGAATCGCGTCAGGCATTACATTTGGGAATGAAGAAAATATCGCGCTGTTTGGCAGTGGCGACTAAGGCAGAGGGAATTGTACCGACTCGGATACGGTCTTAGCTACCACGCTCGTCTGGCCAGCGTGGCTTTCAGTGCTTTGAGAATGATCTGTGTAGTCCTTCATAAAGCGTGGCAGATCTCGTTGCATTTCATACGGTTCCGTCAGTGAAGGAACAAAGCAGCCCTGTGCCACAACTACCTCAGAAGTGAGTGACGCAGAGTAAGCTGTGTCATTTGCGGTCCCACTAGCAGTCTTTTCTGAGATAGAATGTCCGTCGCTGGACAGCGGGCGTGATCCAGAAGGCAGGCTTGAGCCTCGCTGACCATGGCTCTCTTCGGTCCCGTTCAAACTGGGATATCGGATATGACCGTCTGAGCCTGAGCACGTGGACTCGTGGAAACACGGTTTTCTCACAGAATCAGATTTCGGTGAAACAATTATCAGTACTCCGCCATAAACAACTTACACATATCAGAACAGAGAAGCAGTAGCAACATGCTCATTCGCGACTCTGTACTTGGGGAGCGTATAGAAATTGACATAACTAAGATCGACCGATTGTCGCTAGACTGTCAAGAGCAACAAACAAGTTGTTGAGTTGGCTTTAGAGCAGAATCCTCTAGAACACAAGAATATTGACTTTTTAACTGGCTCGAGACGTAGAGCTGAGCAGAACGGGTATTGACAGGGCCCAAATCAATTACATTACATCCACGAAGCCACGGATTCGCGTGGATGTAAGGATTTACACCAAATCCACGAAATAGTGGTCCACTGAAGCCCCAAATGGATGTAATTGATGGTGGATGTACATATTTTTGGTGGTAAAGCTGAATTCCTCATCTGGGATGGCCCTGACACCCCCATATTCGTGCTAAAGCTGTAATATTTGTCCCTTTGCCCGAAAGGGTGTAATAGCCTCTCGTTCAACTGCTAGCAGTATTCTTCGTCGTCTGCTTCACGTGTCCTTTTGCTAACTGCTATCCACGCAGTTGCCCACTTTGCGAGCTCGTCAGAGGACATCCTTTCGACGTAATCAACTTCATCCTTCTCGTCGGGTGACAGCAATACGGGGTCTAACTCGTGTATAACACCAGCTCGTAGCCACGAACGCAGTACCTGGCAGAGACTGATGATCATAGCATCTAGGGCGCCGCGAAGGCTAGTCGTCATCCGCCCTGCTGCCGAAAAAACCCTCTCACATTCGGCAGACATCGGTTGAACTGTGAGGATGTCAAGCGCCATTTGTGAGAGACGAGGGTATTGGTGACGTCATTCGTGCCAGTAGGCTAAAGGATCGAATATTGCGTTATTCACAGTCTCGTGAGACTGCCAGATCTTGTATTCGTCTCCCAGAGTGGGTGAAATCGGGGCCGAGCTTGCTTGTTGATGGATGAATTCCTCGAGAGGGTTCAGATCGATTTTACGGCGCTTTTGGGCAGGCTCGTCGTCATTAAGGGTGTTCTGTATCTCGAGATCACGGTATTCGGTATCCCACAGCTCTTGGACCAAATCTTTTGCCTTCTGAATCCATTCGGGCTGATCATTCCATTTCTGTTCGAACCAGTGCCATTGGAATCGGGGGTGAAGGGCTATAGCCGCGTAATAGAGGGGGGTCTCGTCGAGCTTCTGATAATATTCGTCTAGCTTCATCCAACCAAGGTTGATATTAGCTACGAAGTGTTCACTGTTAGGAAGCTTGTTAGCAGTAATTTATAACCCTCAAGCTTGCTAAGAAGGAATTCAAATCCAAAGATAACATCCCAGATGTTACCATACGAACCGGTCCATCCTTTCCGCTTGCGTTGCATGCCATCCCTTTCGAGTAATTTCACGGTGTGTTCATAGTCAGTAAGGATAGCGGCAGTGTGCTCAAGAACGGTCCAATCGTGATCATTTAGATGATTCTCTTCTTTGAGGATTTGGGGCCGCCTTGCCATGGCCCTGCCACTAACAAGGCCAGTCCTCTTGGATCTGTGTTGGTCTTCCCATTCCTGATTAAATTGGGCTATCATTCGAGGGAGATACGGGCGAAGCTTGATGAGACGGCGGATCATATATAACTGTGAAAGCCATCTAGTGTCGTTATCGAGGATGACACACAGTGCCCTGGTGTGAGGAACTGTGAAATTGAGGACATCTTGCCGTTGGACGTCGAGAAGGATGTAATGCAAGCGGTCAGATCGCCAGATATCAACGACGAGGTTGTGAGCCTTGCCAACAGGGCCTAATCGGTGATACAACGCGTGTTCAGCAACCGAAAGAGATTCGACCTTGCTGATCTCTGTTTCGAATGCTTCAACATCAGTACCAAACAATAAGGATTTGGCAGAGAGATTCAACTGATGCCCGAAGCACCGGCCACGCCGTTTCTTGCCCTCGAAGCCTAGGGCTAGCCCTATCTCGGTTGATGCCGTATCCATATTGGCAGCGTTATCGAGAATAAGAAAGCCGATCTTATGGTCAATACCAAACATCTTCAAGACTTTGACGATTTGCGTGGCAATATTTTGATCTGTGTGACGAATGGAGACCTCGGGGATGCCGAGAACTAGCTTGTAAGGCTTATTGTATTCATCTCTGAAAAAGATGACTACGCCATACAAAGCGCAATGATTACCTGACCGCCAGCCATCAAAGGATACGTGTATCTTGCCAGGTGAAGCCCTTAACGCCTCGATGATGGCTCCCTTGTGCCGTTGGAATTTGCGTATGATTTTTTTGCGTAGCCCGGTCGAGGAGATGTGCTCGCTTTGGTCTGTGATACACGGGTTGAGGTATTCGTGTGCAAGGCGTAATTTGGGATGATTCATAGTAGCAAAAGGAAGGTTCTCTTCGACGATCCATTCCATAAGGAGGCGGTGAAAGGTATCTCGATCGAAGTTCTTCAGCATGCTATTAGTTATTGCTTGGTCTTGAGGGTTCTCTGGGTTGACGGAGAGATATCGGTGAAGCCGTTGTTGGCTCGTATCGTTGATTGTTTCGGCTCGTAATTGTGCCTTGGATCTGGTCTTTTCACCCCCAGGGGCAGAGATCGATTCGACTAGATACAGGTGCTGTATGGCGTTCTGAAGGCCTGCAGATGTGAAAGAATCGGGTACGGGATTGCGGCGAGTGATACAGTATCGGCACACCCATTTGAAGGTCCTACCCTTCTGGATATCATATCCGTGATCCCAGGCCCAGGAGTTGAGACCTCGCTTCCACTGAGCCCACGTGTAGCCACGAAAACACGCAAAAAGAAAGGCTTCGTCGCCCTGAGAGATGCCATGGCGGAGGGATTCTCGTCGAGATGATTGGGGTGCTGGCGAGGGGGTTGCGGACAAAGGGACGTCGTTGGGAGGCTTGGAGCCACCGTGTATCGAGGATTCGGGTGTACCGGCCATGGTGAAGCGTGCTGAGGGTACTGCTTGCAATTCGAGGCGAAAAAATTGAATGAACAGGTGAGTTCGAGTAGTTGGGTCGTATTCGAGTGAATCTGAATGATTTGCCTGCTTTGGAGTGGTTTGCGTGGTCTGAATGTTATTTGTGCCATTTGGTGGCTGCATTCAGAATTTGTATGCTAGCTAGCTAGGTGGTTGAAATCATATGTCAATGTTTCTACCAGTGATATAATGCCCAACTCTTGATTAAATGCGCATCATCTTGGTATAGTGGTATGGTAGCGTAAAGTTTGCCTTGCGGAAAAGGCTACGTTCAGATCCTATAGAAAGCTCGGGAATTTTTTTTTTTAAAAACGGGGCTCTTAGATTTTTGGACCAATCAGAGCCCATATTTCATCCACTGTCATACACTCGTCCATTACGTCAATTACACTAAGCCTTGAATGTAATGGATGACCCCTTCAGCTCCAGTGGATGTACGCCAAAGTGCTCCACTAGCGTGTACACCAGTGGACTAGCGTGTAATTGATTTGACCCTTGGGTATTGATCGTCAGCCAAAACGGGATATAAGCAGTCACACCTAAATCAAGTGGATAATCTGCCAGAGCGTGAATATCACGAGCACTGAACATCATCGTGCCGTTGATCACTACCGCCAAGAGATATCACCAGATCACACTGATCCGCCGCGATCGTTACCAGCCCATAGTTCCCCCCACGGTCATACGATTCTCGGAGTTGCCGCGACAGAGTATGAGAGCACCTGCCTCATTCAGCCAACTCGGAGGTCTCTAGTGACGATCAAGGGTCAAGGTTTGTCAGCTGATGTATTCCGTTCATTCACATAAAACGGCTGGGTTATCGCAACAGTCCAATTGCATGGGCGAGAAAGAAATATGTGGAGGGCCGTAACGCCTCGCTCGGTCCTTGTTCGGGCTTCCACGGCGAATTCTGGAACCATCCGCAAGGACTGATTGCTACTTGCCGTCGAGGACCTGTTTTGCGCATGCTGCAGACTATGAAAGGATGGGTATACTCCCCCCCGGGCGTAGTCCCCTGAGCACTCCGCACAGCGTCCAGTACCTGATGAAATTATCTGGCCGAGTTTGGGCCCCTATCTAGACATTCCGAGCTCTACGGCTTGGGCAGAGAGGTATTCAAACTCCAGCAAACGATGGATGATAATCGACAGCCGAGGTGGCGAAAGCCACTATACGGGTGTCGAGGTGGATGTCGAGATGGGTGTCGAGGTGGGCAGCTTCACAGATTCCCAAAGTAGCTAAAGTCGTTCTCAGAGTCAGCTGTGAGTCAAACGTCTAGGCAACAGCAGGTGGTGTGGAACTGAACGGCTGTGAAATAAGATCTACAGGACCAAGGGTGGGAGTGAAAGGAGGGAATGTAAAGAGTACCTAGAAAGGAATGTCAGGGGTACCGTCCATACTTATAAGATGCGGCGGACTGGACTGTGCATATGCGCGAGCTTGAACAGGGCAGATGAGACGCCATACTGAATCGGGCGTGCCGCTAAACCCGGCGGAGCAGGCAGCGACTTCTCCATTACACATATAATATAAAGTTCATACCTGTGTAATAATTAGTTATATATTGTGACGGCCTGCACAGACCTTCCCACATGACAAGCCGATACTTCCCAATAAGGGAAGGATCTGACCAGAGGATCCCCTTAAAGGGACAACCTCCCGCTGTACCTATCTCTCTCCCTCTTCTCTTCCTCTCTAGTCTTGATATTCTTGTCAATAGAGTAATAGCTGCTTGCTGTAGGCCATGTCCCAGCTCCCCAGTATGCTCGCCGTGACAACGGTCTTTCTGATGTGATCTCTTAAGTCTCTGATCATCTCCTCCTGCTCCTTGTATTCCTTCTTCTCTCGTTCGTAGATGTTTGAGAATTGCAGGTAGACCCGTTGATTATTAGCGGTCAAGTCGGCGTACTAATCGATCCCCGCCTGCATGCTCTCGAAGGTTGGTGCTACTGCATGCACCTTAAGCGGCAAAGGATTCGGGTTTTTGGGGTCGATACACCTCTAGAGAGAGAGAGGTAAGATACTAACGAAGTCCTTGTACCAGATATCCCAGTCCCTCTGTTTATTGAGGATCTTCTTTTGGTTTGGCGTTGCGGTAGCCATCTTGTTGCTAGAATAGGCGCTGTTTTTGGCATCTTTCGCGCAGGTATGGGTCTGAACTGACGGAAAATGGGTTGTTTTGATTGAGAATAATTGCAAAATATTTTTCAGTCAGAGGATCACTTGCTAGTCCGGGCTCATAACTGTTAAACAGCGTGTATTATGGTTGATCTGGTTGATAACGTGTATTCTGGTGATTCTGGTTAGAGTGTTGTGTCTCTGTGAAAATCCTTCTTTGGGCTAGGTAGCCTAAAAATGCCCTACTGGCCTTGTTGGTGCACTGCCACCTCCATGAACGCCACGGTGGCTTGTACGCCATTCAACAATATACCGCCAATGAAGTGTTATGCCAAAGTGTAGTACCAAGACACATCACACCATCAGAGATCGAAAATGGTAGTTGCATATGTCGACATATTAATTTCTTATGTAGTCTTGATGCTATGCATGCTCTATACCCCAACCTCTTATTACGCCGATGATGCCAATCCGCTCAATATGTGCCAATCCGCTCACTATATACCAACCATCCATATAAACAAGGTAGGCTCTCTACTCAACCAAGCCAAAAGGTTTGCATTTTTAACAATACCAACGTCTAACAATACCGACGTGTCATTACCCTATTACCCTCTCCCATCCATCATCTACGTACTCCATCCCCTTCCCCTTCCCCTTTCCCTTCTACCCACGCCCCCTCCTCTATTTTTTATTAGCCTTGTTAGCCTTCTTAGCCTTCATATTCGTCAAGAACCCCTTCAGCGGGTGCCTCCCCCGGAACCTTAGAAACGTCGCCACGTAAACAACAAAGTAATTAAACACGATGAACCCGCACACGATGCCAAAGTCGCGCCAGATGTGGCTGTAGTAGACGCTAAACTGCCGCCCGAACTGGTCGCCGTTCGCGTACTGGCAGAACTCGCACAGCCCGTCGGCGCCCGTTGTCACGTTGCCGCCGGCCTGGCTGATGTACGCGCCGACGTATGTGTCGCACGTCTGGCCCGGCGGCGCCAAGAAGCGCGCGAACTCGCCCGCGTCGCAGCGCACAGGCTGGTTGTGAATCGCCGTCGCCAGGAAGGCTTCCAACAGGTAGTGGAAGGGCGTGAGGTAGTACATCCACTCGCGCCAGAAGTTCGGCAGCTGGGCGGGCGGCACGACGACGCCGCAGAAGGACACCACGAACAGGAAGAAGATGGGCACCAGCAGACTCGCCAGCAGCTCGTTGGGGCTGAAGGACGCGATGGCCTGCCCGAAGCCCACGTAGTACAGCTCAAATAAGATGACGCACAGGAAGGTGAAGCCCGACGGGAAGCCCTGCATGTGCCAGCCCGAGATGCCCCACCACCAGCAGTTGAAATAGATGGCGCCCGCGACGATGGAGTAGGGGATCTCGACCACGACAGCGGCCGTCGTCCACGCGAACCACGAGTAGATCTTGGCGTTGTTCTCGCGCGACTGGAAGATGACGCGCGACTTGAGGAAGACAGGCTGCAGCTGTTGGATCAGCGGCGGCGAAATTGTCAGGACCATGAAGATGGAGAAGAGCCGCGACTGCATGTCGATGCTCGAGTAGCCCAGCCGGTAGAAGGTGAAGCAGTTGAAGAGACCCGTGAAGATGTGGAGGATCATCTTGCCCAGGATGTAGTTCGGCGTTCTCCAATAGGCGACGAAGGAGCGGCGGACGACGGCACTCGTCTGCGTCCACAGCGGCATCGCGTACTCGCGGTCGTCCTGGACGTTCTTGGAGTGCTCGACGTTGCGGCGCTTCTCGATCATCTGCCCCATCTCTTGTCTCTGATGCTGGTAGTCCTTGGACTGCTGCCAGGTGTCGCCCCAGTCCTGGCCCTTGTAGTCTGGGTTGCCGGCACCGATCACCTCGAGCATCCACTCGGCCGGGTTGGCATCCGGGGGACACTTGTGACCACCATTGCCTTCGAAGTATCCGATCAGTTTCTGGCTGTCCTTGCCGAGCTCACCGGCATAGACAACACGGCCTCCAGACTTGAGCAGGATAAGCTCGTCGAAGTTCTCGAAGAGAACGGCGGAGGGTTGATGAATAGTACACAAAATCGCTTGACCAGAATCAGCCAACTTGCGCAGGAATCTGACGATGTTGAAAGCAGCGCCGGAATCGAGACCGGATGTAGGCTCGTCCAAGAACATTAGCAGCTCGGGCTTGGACGCAAGTTCCACGCCGATGGTGAGTCTCTTTCGCTGTTCCGCGTTCAGGCCTTCCCCGACCTTTCCGATTGTAGCGCCGGCGATGTCTTGCATTTCCAGAAGCTCAATGATGGTCTCGCAATACGCGTACTTTTCTTCCTTGGAGACCTCCCTTGGCTGGCGGAGAAGCGCCGAAAACTGCAAGGCCTCCCGCACAGTTGCAGTGGGCTCGTGGATGTCCTGTTGCTCAGCAAAGCCGGTCATACGCTGGAATGACTTCGGAAGAGGTCGGCCGTCGACTAGGAAGTCGCCAGTGACGACACCAGTCGTGATTCTGTTGTGTAATAATTAGCCGCATGCACTGATCCGAGTAAATATTGGTAGATCTCACCTTTGAGCCAGTGTGTTCAACAGTGTAGTCTTTCCGGCACCAGAAGCCCCCATGAGGGCAGTCAACTTTCCGGGCCTGACAATACCCTGCACGTTTTGCAGGAGCTTCCTCTCGCCGCCTTGCCACGGAATAGTGTAGTTGACGTCCTGGAAGGTGAACACAATCTCATTCTTTGCCACGTTCTGCATGGCCTTCTTGTCCTTGCCCTGCTGGGAATCATTTTCTCCCCCCGAGGGAATGACCTTTTCGTTGCTAGCACCCGCTTCTTCGTCTTTTCCGCTGCCCTTTCGGCCGCCGGTCTCGATTGATTTCTGGACGCTTTTCGGGACCTGGCCGCGCTTGAAAACCGTCACAGCAGCGCCGCCAGCATTGGGCTTCATCAGCTCCATACCAATCATGGCAATAGCCAGGAAGAAGAAGAAAAAGGCCCACAGGAAACCAAAGTTGCGCCAGAGGTGGGCGCGCGTGTAAGTGAAAGACGCCTGGATATAGGCAGAGCCAGAAACCGTGGTCGATCCAGGCTGGGACCCTGCCAACGAGCATGACTGATACTGCAGCGACGTGCCTGGGCCCGCAGGAACAAGGAATGGTTCCACACAGTCCATTTGCAGGTTATAGAACTCGTTGGACATGAGACACTCGAACCCGTACTGAATCCAGTTGATCCACCGCAGCCAGCCGAACCACGGGTGCATCTTCGAAGGAGGGATCAGGTAGCCTGTGTATACCACCAGAATCTGAATGGCGACTCCGGTGACCTTGGTGGCATCGTCCAGTGTCTTGAAGACCGCCGAGATGGCTCTGAAGAACGAATACGTTGTCATTGTGACCAGCCACAAGATGAGGATTGAGATGAAGAACTGCGAGGCCGTTGCGGACAGTCCGGCCATCCAGTAGATGATGACATCGAACAGCACCACCTGGATGAGGACCGCGGGGATGTCCACGACAGTCTGCGCCAGTGCGTATGCGGAAGGCCGGTAGAAGGAGAAATTCTTGTGCTTCAGCAGGATGGGCTTGGATTCGAAAGCGGCGGTCTGCTCGGCAAGCGCCAGCAGGGCATTGAACAACAGGATGAAGAAGAGTACACCACCTCTGGTGAAGGCGCCTGCTACGGTGTCGGGGAGGTTGAAGAACAGACTACCCACAATGAGACCCTGAAATACGATGCCACCCCATTTCCCAAAGAGACTGGGTTTATCTCCGAGCATCACAAGCATCTGGCGCTTAGTCAAAGCCATGACCTGTTGGTGGAAAGGAATCGTGTAGTTCTTCTTCTTGGTCTGCTTTGATGTGTTCTCGGCCCGCACACGTGTCTGCTCCTCGAGGTGGGTTTCGTACTCCCGAATGTCGTCGAGATTGCGCTGGTAAGCCTCGCTCTTCCGGAAGACTTGGGCGAAATCTTGTGCTGATCGCGGAATACGATCTTCCCAGCCCGGCCGTATACTGCGTCCGTGAGGATCTGTCACACTTGTGAGGAAATCGGCTGTGGTCCATCGGTCCGGGCAGTCAAAGCCCAGGTCGAGGAAGTATAGCTTGGCTCGATCGGATGACCCGTAGTATAGACACTGACCCTCGTCGATCAGCAGTACCTTATCAACCAGGTCGTATAGTGACTCGCCAGCCTGGTACAGCGACACAGCAGTCGAGGTCTCGGCCATGTTGGTCATCGCTCGCAATGATTGGACGTACTCCACTGCTGTCGACGCATCGAGTCCCTTACTCGAGTTGTCCCAGCCCTGGACGCTGGCTCGCGTGATAAGAGCCTCGGCGATACTCACACGTTTGCGCTCTCCGCCAGAGACTCCACGAATGTATTCGTTTCCGACTTTCGTGTCCATGGTGTGCTCGATCCACAGTAACTTGGTCGCCACTCTAAGGAACTCGTTGACATAGTCCTGTTTGCTCTCGCCTTCCATCCGAGACTCCTTGCCGGGGGTTCGTGTCTGGAGGGCGAATTTTAGGGTTCGTCTGACCGTCAGGGTGGCGTAGTGCAGGTCGTCTTCGGGGTTGTAGATGACCTCGCCCCTGAAATTCTTGGCCATAGTCTCCGAGTCGGTGCCGCCATACGTCACGGATCCTCGTACCTCCTCGTAACCCGCACGCTGATTGCAGAACACCTTCAGGAATGTCGAGCATCCAGAGCCCGGTCGGCCAAGGACGAGGAGCATCTCAGCGGGCCGCACACAGCCGTCGAAGCTACTAAGGAGCTCTCGCACGGGCGGCTTTCCGGTCGCGGCCTTGGGTCCCTTGGTTAATAGGTTCTTCAAGAACCGCGGGAGGCCCAGAAAGATATCGCCAACCGTGGGTTGTAGACTCGCGCCGAGTCCGGCACCCATAACGGTTAGGTCGCGGAATATGACGCCGGAGTGTCTGGTCTTCTCCTCCTCGCTCTGCTGCTGGCGCTTCTGGCCGAACATGCGTGACATCAGCCGCGCGATCTCGTCATGGTCCTCCTGAGATTCGGCTTTGGAGCCGGCGCTACTTCGACGGCGGGAAAGGGCGCGGAATAGGTCGTCTTCGTTTCTGGCGCTGCTCTTACTCCGGTCCATGGGTGGCTGTTCCGCCGCCGGCTTGATAGGCTCGAAGACAGGCTCTGTCGGGACTTCGGTTGACTCCGAATGCTCGGAGGACATTCGGTCTGCAGCTGGCCGGGCTGAATCTTCCTGCATCTGGCCATATTCGAGCCCGTGGGTTAACGAGGTGGCACTTGGGTCCTCGAGGGAGCGCGGATGATCATCGGTGTGCCATGGCGGCACGACACCTGGTAGACCAGTGTTACCAGATGTGCTCACCGGCGCAGAACCTCCCATAGCGTTAAGTGGGAACTCATTTTTGGGAGTAGATTGGTGAACCGGAAGTGAGGCGGGTGTCTCAGGGAAGCCACCAGGCACGTCGGTGTCAGCTGGAGTCGGCTTATCACGGTCCATGTTGGCAGCGACGCGGGCTGGACACGCGTCTGCCAGGAAGAGAAGCGAAGCAGTTAGGTATTACTATGGAAGTATGAAGTGACATCAAAGGTAATAATTGTTAAAAAGTGTAGAATAGAACATGCTCTGGAACCCCGAGGTAGACAGATGGGACAAACCTAGTGAATGTGACGACACCTGGAGGGACGGGCAGGGAGCGGGTGGACGGGATGATGATGATAATAAACAGTCTCGGGCCCGGGGAATGCGCTGATCGATCTCGCGTGGAGTTAGGAGACACCGTCTTGGCCAACGCAATTGAATAATATCCCAGAGAAACGGTCAAGAGAAAAGATGCTACTCAGACCAGCGCGGCGGGACTGCTAGACAGGAGCTAAGTTGACTAACAGAAGCGAGAGCGATCCCGACCGAAACCAATCGGTACTATATCTCGATAGCGTCAGACGCGCTCCGGCAATCGGGCGGCCTGCCCAAATGATTTGCAGCTGACAAAACAAACTGTCTCTAGTAAGATGTGCAAATTATTATGTCGCCCCCCATCTCCCGGTCATCTGTTGACGTGACGATGCGACAAGCATAAGTCGTCGACGTCCTGCACCGCCGTCCAAGCCATGTGGGGAGCTGCGTAAAGTGGTGATGACATCCATCCCCCACCCATCCGCTTGGAATCGCAAAGCCAGGACTGCCCAGGTGGACAACGTGGTGGCCCAGGCCTGGGAAGGTAGGTTAGGCCTAGAGGCTAGGACTCTGGGAGTGCCCGAGCCTAGTAAGATCTATCTGCTAACGGACTGTTGATGTTTTCCGATGCCGAATAGCTTACGAATCGTGAATCGTTCATCAACTAATTCCAGTTGAAACTCCCGAGGTCCTTCTCGGCCGGTTCTGCTTGCTGTGTTCATTATTCAGGAATCAGGGTCGATTTATTTGCCTGCGAGTAATAAGCCCTTCAAGATGTGAGACACCGATCAGTTACTTACGTCATGATGTGCATTCAGTCTTACTAACAGTAGGTCGTATAGATGAGACAAGGCCCGTGTTATATAACATAGCACCCACGGCTTTTCACAATTCAATGCCTCTTATGAATGGACATTTAATAAAACTATACAACCCCGGATAGAGAACCAGAGCCCTGAGGGAACTTTATAACTAGGATAGGGGTTGCTGGCTGCTAGTATTACATGGTGGCACACACCGCAATACGGCTTATAAACCGACCAGCCCACATGATCGGCCACAGGCACGCACTGCATGTGCATACCATAGCGATCGTGGGCCCAAAGGTTGATAGAAAAATCTCGAGAAAAATACTACTAGCATACTCGACCTCTTTTCTATATACCTTCTCATTAGCGACGTTGTCGGTTAGTTAATCGTGGTGTTATTACGACACAGAATGAAGGCCTTGTGGTGGGGATATGGGTTAGTATTGCACAGTAAAAGGGAAGGCATTCAGGTCTGATTCTGTTGTTATTGTTGCCAGCAGAAGATGTGTGCGCAGCACACTGATAGAAGTGGATAATACTAGCTACTAGTAGTTACCTAGCCACGCAACACACCCTCGTTAGCCACTAAAACGTGCTAAAAATGAAGCTATTACAGCTGTTTGTAGGCTTTTAAAACTTATATATTGTGATATTTTAGATCTGTTGGATTAAAGGTACGCCTAAAAGGCACTTTGACAGGTAGACAATAGAACCTAGTTGTTCCGTCCTGATCCAGCCGCCTCTGGCACAAAACTGTCACGGTTGCACAAGGACACTATAGACAGAAAAAATACACACACATACTTCACTCTTACGATTGGCTCAAATATGACAAGATCTGCTTTAATAATAAGATAGCATATACCTATAAATAACTTTTAAAAGCTTGAAATCGGTTAAAATATTTGAAATAATTATAAAATAGTCTTAACTATTATTTATAAACCTTTAAACCTATTTAATATTTTAATATTGAATATTTTTTTAATTTAAAAGGTTTGCTGAGTTATTAACTATTATGTCTTTTATATTAATTTACGTAATACGAAATATATATTTTAAATACGCTTAACTATTGAATTATAACGATTATTAATATACCAAGTATACATTATATTAAAAAGGTTAAAAATATTTACTTTTACGTTTATTAAATTTAGATAAATAATTATTAGGTTTAATTATTAATAGCTTAATTTTGAAAAAGTTTAGTAATTTAAATAATTATGAATCTAATAAGAATTAATTTAGTAAATTTAGCTTTAATAATATTAATTATAACTAATCATTGAAATTTTTTTTTCTTATAGTAAATTATTATATATACATGCCTTACGCGTTTTATGAATTTTTGTAATTCTAATATATTTATAAACGTAATATTTGTTTAAATATTGATTTTAAGATTGTTGATAAGATATTTATCATTTAAGGTGATTCTTGTCACGAAGCGTAAATATAGAGTGGACGTAACAGTTCTGCTTTCGCTACGTACGTGTAAGAATCTCTCGGTGAAGAGGGAAAGAAGGATCTGGCCCACCAGCTAATCTAGTAGCAGTTAAGGCAACACGTCCTGTACGCCAGGTCACCTGATACAGCGCACTGACCACTGCAAATGGGGTGTCAGACCTGATGGGAGGTCAGACCATCACAATTCTAAATAAAGTAAAAAATATTAAAGATCGTTACAGATATTTAAGATATCTTAAATAAACATTATTAAAATTAAAATTAATTTTATTAAATAAGTTAATGGTTTTAACGATATTAAGGCGTAGTTTTATAATAACGTAGTTAAAAGAGCTGATTCACTTTAAATAACGCTTTTAAAAAAGCTTAAAGATAGGCTTTTAAATATTAACGATTATAATATCTATTTCTTAAAAACTTATAGTTTTTTTAACAGTTTTTCACTGTATCTAAAACCGATTTTTAGAATATATTTTTCTTAATCGTAAAATACCAGGTTTAAATCGTGCTTTTATCGTATTTAAAATCTTGCAATCATGAAAATCTTTTTTTATCATTTTAAGCTTAAAATAAGTTCTTATAATATTATAAATATAGTTCATATTTTTGAAAATAAAATTTATAACGAGCATGTTATTTACGTATATTAAAAGGAGTATTTTAAGAGTCTTATATTTAAACAAGGTTATTTTAATTGGTAATAACACGGATTTACGTTTTCTATAACTTTTTAAAAGGTTTGAAACTATTAAAAAGGCGTTTACAAAGGTTATATAATGTTTAAAAGAGTTTTAAAGCTTTTTTCATACTATGAAAATAGCTTTAAGGTTATATATAGTAAATTTTATATTTAGAAGAGATTTTACTATGAAAAAAGGCTATAATTATATTGTGAAAAAGGTTAATAAGGCTTAATATCTTTATTAAGATAAAAAAGACGCGTATTAATATTGACGTAAAGTACGATAATATATATATTAAATTAATTAGTTCTTTTTGAAAAAGTTATTGTTATTTTTAAAGTTATCATATATAATTAAGTAAGTTTTATGCTACAAACCAACAAATACCATGGCATGTTATGGGGCCAAGGGGAGTACACCAAGAACCAATGGAATCAGAAGCCAGGAACGGAAAAATGGGTATTACGAATTACATAATGAAGGTCACGTGACGGATCACTGGATCAGGGAGTGAGCCAGTGAGCATTACTCTGGGACAAGGTGATCCTACTTCATCAGTGAGGGAGAGATTGGATATATGAGGACAGACATTTCCCAACTAGATAGATAGACAGTCTCTATCTCAGTGATCAATCTAAGCATCTTAGCCAACCCTAAGATGGGAGAAATCTCCTGACAACTCGACTACACATTGAACCCAGTTTAGACCAAGCCCCAGCATCTAAGTGTCTTCTAATTGACAGAAGCCTCTATTGTCTTTTGTGTTGACTTACCTCAGAACATAAACCCTATAAAATCCTTTAGCCTTATAGGTTAGACGGCTCGTCACATTTTATTGCGAAATAACTTTTTAATAAATTCAAACCGTTAATTATTTATTTATTTAATTAAAAGAGCGTTTGTATTTTTTAATCAGTTAGCGAAAGTATATACTTTTTAATCTAATAGAAAAGTTTACTTATAAATTAAGTATACGTTTTTATGAAACCTACAAAACAAGGTTTAATTTTATATATTTATAAGATTCCGTTATAATAAAAGCTACAAATATTGTTATAATTTTATTAACTTTAACTGTGAATAAATAATATTTTTTATAGTTGTTATATTCAATATTTATTATAATAAAAATGAAGGGAAATATTATATATTTAGCTATGAGACGTGTAAAAAGTATTTTTTATATTATTTTAAAGTTGTTATATGTTAAGAATTCCTTGTTAAGTATGATTATATGTTTGAAATGTCGATTATACTTTTAAATAGGTTGTTAGGTGCAATACCCATTGTTCCGTTCTTGGCTTCTGATTACATTGGTTTTTAATGTGCTCTCCTTGGCCCTCAAACAGACCGTGATATTTGTTGGTCCGTAACAATATTGTAGTTCTAAAGAAATATGCCTTGTTTAAGTTTAAAGGTTTTAAATTAATAGAAGAGTTAAGAAATTAATTATATTAAAAATTTAAGAATATTTTATTTAATAGCTTTTATAAATGGGTAAAATGATCGTTATATTAATTTAAACCTGTTATGATTCGTTGGTTTTTAATAGAAGCGATTACGTATATTATTGATATTAAGATATAAACTTAATTTAAAGAAAATCTAATATTAGTTTCTAGTTTAATAATAATTTGTAATATAGCTTTATTTACAGTATATTTCTAACTATCAAAGTGTTAAAAATAATAATAACTAATATATTTTTATAATTCAAAGTTATTTTTATTTCATAGTATTAACGTATATATATAAAAAGATTATATTTTCTTTCTTCTTTTTAAAAATTAGTAAATCCAAGCTATATGTATAGTCATAACGTGCGACAATGTTGGATCCATGCGATTCCAGACTGCACACCATCTATACCAGGACCCACATGTATGATTAGATAAGATAAGATAGTGGATTGAGAGGGCACTTGGCCAGACCTTCGAGTCCAGCTAGATTCCTCTCAATCCAACCATCAGTAACATCATGACCTTGACCCCATACTCGAGTATTATGATTGATCGTTCAAGCCTGTTCTAAAAAACAACATATTAAAAAAAATCTTAAGAAATTTATATTTAAAGCGGTATTATAAGGGATTTTAAGTAAGAATTAGCTTATTTTACAATACAAGATAAGTATGCTTTTAATAAAGGTTTTAATAAATATATTTAAAATTAGCTTATATTTAAAAAAAGCTTAAATCTTTTATTGTCTTTTGTCACAATACAGGACTATATCATGGGGTCAAGAATGGAGTGTATTGGTTGCGTGATCTAACTTCGGTCCGTAAGACGAATCTGAGTACTAAATACAGTGCAATCTTGAAAGACTGGCCTATCTTTAAATCTGACTGTCAACGACTCCTTGTCTATCACCCTTGAAAGCCCCTGAATGGGGACTTTCCATCCCTGAATAGGGGCTTTCTGCTCTTTTCTTCTTTTGACCAGCTATTCTGGTCCATTCCAGCTGCCGCGCAGCTGGCGCCGCACCTGCACGACACCTGCACAACACATGTATGCTAAGATTTTCTTAAAAGCATTTAAAAATAAAAATATTGGTAATATTTAATTATTAATAACGATAATATTTGTTTATATATTATTATTTAATTTTTAAGGTAGTTATAAGTTAGCCATGATTAGATTTACGCGTTTTAGCCGTAAAATAGATCGAAATAGCTTTAAAATAAGTGTTGAATAAATTTATAATTAACTTCAAAATATGTTAATAAGTGCTTTAATAATACGCGCGTTGTAATTATAAAAGACGAAGTATAACAATTTTATTGATTAGTTATTCTAAGGTTGATTTTGCCGTATTTAGACGAGAATTAAAGCAAATAAAATAATAAAATAATAAAATAATAAAATAATAAAATAATAAAATAATAAAATAATAAAATAATAAAATAATAAAATAATAAAATAATAAAATAATAAAATAATAAAATAATAAAATAATAAAATAATAAAATAATAAAATAATAAAATAATAAAATAATAAAATAATAAAATAATAAAATAATAAAATAATAAAATAATAAAATAATAAAATAATAAAATAATAAAATAATAAAATAATAAAATAATAAAATAATAAAATAATAAAATAATAAAATAATAAAATAATAAAATAATAAAATAATAAAATAATAAAATAATAAAATAATAAAATAATAAAATAATAAAATAATAAAATAATAAAATAATAAAATAATAAAATAATAAAATAATAAAATAATAAAAAAAGCAAATTAAAGGCTTATAACTTATTATATAGTAAGAAGAAAGATATTTAGGTCTGAATTTATTGTTATTGTTGCTAGCAGAAGATGTGTGCGTAGCACACTAATAGTAGTGGATAATACTAGCCACTAGTGGTCACCTGACTACGCAACAGTTAGGTGGGCGAGTGGTCGGTTTATTCTCTCTACCCCGTGGTTGGTACTAGTCAACAGTCATCTTTGACATTCAGACAGATAGAGGCGGAAGCGGGAGACGCTGTCCCACCCTTTGTTCTGTAAACTCGCCCTTCCCCTCATCAATCATCATGTCTAAGTACTTACTTGCTCGTCATCTGTAAAGCTACACGCGTTGTGAACCCCCATGACCAGGCATACAATCCTCGACATCACGAAACGAAGCCGAATAACTAAACAGGTCACTGAATATATCTGTCAATTCTGATTGGACCAGAAAGAGACTGAACTTCCATTCAGTACTCAATGCTCGAGACCTATCTTGATACGCCCTACTTCTCGCAGCCAGGTCTACACACACGCTCGTGGTCTAGACGACGAAGCCCTATCCATCGTCGAGTTCCACTGCGTATTCGACCGCTGCAACTAGCTTCCATCCATCTTGCTTGTGTCGCAAGGGGGCCAGTTCTTGGCCTCTCTCTTAGATCCCGTCTACAACCATAGGTGCTTTCTAGGCGCTATCCTCTGTGATGAGCTTGGTAATCTTGCCGATGGCAATGGTTTGTCCCTGGGCACATGTTAGTAGTCGAACTTCAAGAGGCAGTACGATATATCACACCTGGTCGCGCAAGGTGAAGCGCCCCATTTGCGGGTAATCCTCAAACGTTTCTACACAGACCGAGGCACCTTGGAGCTCCATGCGGGCAATGATGCTATCACCCTTCTTCGCGTGCGTCGGCGGCGCCTTGCTCTTTCTGCCAGTGCCCTTCTGCAGCTTGTGTAGTAAAGAGGCAAACGTCACTTCTTCGACGGCCGAGTGAACATGAATGACACAATTGAAGCCGGCACTGAGGATGCTCTTCAGTTCCAAGATTCGGATCTGCGCCTCGAAAGCTGATACGTTGTGTACCAGACGCTTGGGCGAGCAGAGGACAAAACCGGGCGAGATGTCATCTTCCTCAATGCCCCGAAGACGCATTCGAACCTGGTCACCACATTGGGCAATCTGGATTTCCTCCTCGGTTTCGCCATAGATGGCCGCAATATCGACCTTTTCCTTGTTCGGCATCATGATCACCGACATACCCTTCTTGCAAACACCTGCTTCGATCTTGCCCTCGACCATGGTACCCATATCCCTGTACTTGCCGCTGATTGCCATCATGAACGGGGCATTGGTCTTTCTCTCCAATGCTTTCATGTTGTCGAGGTATTCGAGGAGAGATGGCCCATCATACCAAGGGCAAGTGCCTTGCGGGATACGGTCCTTGATACCCATCGTCTGCTGTGCAGCAATGGGCATGAAGAACACATCCGTCTTCAGGTTGTACCCGGTTCCCTTCAGGAATTGCGCCAATTTCGTTGTGCACTCCTTGTACCTGTCCTCCGACCAGTTGACGGTGGGGTCGTCCATCTTGTTGATAGCCACGACCAACTTGTTGACACCTTGAGTTTTGGCAAGCATCGCATGCTCGCGTGTCTGGCCGCCTTTCTCGAACCCCGTCTCGTATTCTCCCTTGCGCGCACTGATGACCAGAATGCCGACATCTGCTTGGGAGGCACCACCGATCATACTTGGCACATACGTCTTGTGGCCTGGAGCATCGAGAATACTGTATCGACGTGTCTCGGTTTCAAAAAAACCTCTGCCGACTTCGACTGTCTTGCCCTTTGACCGCTCCTCCTTGGTCAAATCCAAAGCCCAGGACAGATACCACTGTAGAACCTCGCGTTAGTACTATTTCAGTCCTTTCAACGTTTTGGGCAGCTGTGAAGTAAAATCCACCTGAACATAGTCCATCGATAGTCCCGGCAGGTAAATCGAGTCATGATAGGACTAGAGGAGGAAAACATGTTGGGGGGGCGTTGAAGATGCTTACAGTCTCTCGGCCCAGATCCTTCGCTTCCTTTTTGTACTTCTCCATCGTCCGCGGGTCTACCATACCTGTCGCGTACAGAATGGAACCGCCCAGCGTACTCTTGCCAGCATCAACGTGACCGATGAAAATGATGTTGACATGCTCCTTGCCGTATATCTCTTTCAAGGTGTCCTCGTCTACGTCGGCAGCCTGCTCGCTAGCAACCGCATCAGCGTCCCGTGCGGCAGCTTTCGCGCCTCTCGAAGGGCTGGACCGCCCAGACGATGGCGTGGGCGACGTCTTTCCACTGGAACTCTTCGCCTTGGTGGTCTCGCCGGTCTTCTCGATAGCCTTCGCTGCGGTCACCTTGGTCCCATTATCGCCGGATGCTTCCTTGTCTGCCGTTTCCTTCGTTGGCTCATCCTTCGGCGCTGCTGGAACACCGATAGACATAACTTTGGCGGCCTTGGGTTTTGGCGGATCTCCTCCTATGCTCAGGACCTTCGTGCCTCCCTCCTTAGTCGCTACAGGCTTGTTCAAGTCGGAAGCCGCTGGGGCAGCAGCGTTGTCATCGGGACGTTTGGCGATGGTTGGAACTGCCTGAGGTTGTGCTTGTTGAGCTTGTTGCCGTGGCTGCTGCTGTGACTGGGGTTGCTGCTGGTACTGCGCATACTGTTGGCCTTGGCCGATTCAGGTCAGCACTTGCGGTGGCGATGAGCGGGGACATGTCTTGCAATACCGTAGTAGGTGTTCCCGCCCTGTTGTCCGTAGACTCCTCCATAGCCCTGGCCGTACTGCTGCTCATAGCCGCCTTGTCCTTGACCTTGTCCTTGCGCACCTCCGTACTGCGGATAGTAGTTTTGGCCACCGTAATAGCCCTGCTGGTACTGATTTCCGTACCCGCCGCCATAGGCTTGGCCGGGCTGGAAGGCCTGGGCTCCAGGTTGAAACGAGGCAGCTCCCGGTTGGAATGAGCCAGCTCCGGGCTGGAAAGTTTGCGCATGTCCACCCTGCTGCTGCTGTTGGTTATTCAGGTTCATCTGCTGAGCCTGTCTTGACAGGTTGTCATCCTGAGCGGCAGGGTCGTCTTCCCACGAGTTGAGATCAGCCATGATGACGGTGTTTGGGTGCTTCGGGACTGGATCGGACTCGGAATTGGAATTGGAGCCGGTGGTCTGGTGGTCGGATGCGGTGAAAATTTAGGAGTTCGTGGAGTTCGGTTTGGTATTTGTGCGACCGATGTGCGACTAACGCTCGGGGGAGGTTGGAAGGCTGGCAGGGTCGGTCGCAAGTGAATGAGGATGACTGCAGGTGAGTCACGGATATGCAGGTGCCACTGCCTAAAGTCGAGCGGGTTTTGGGTAGAGTTGAGTCGGGCGATGGCAAGTCGATCTATGTAGGTAGCCCAATGGAAGGATTCTTTCTCCTTGAAATGTCGACTGGCCTGACAAGTTTGGAGGCGGTGGCATAACTCGTAGCGGGGTTAGGTACTGAGCCATTTGCTCTGCCCCTCCAATGACGGCACACCGCGGGGCCCAGCTGTACAGTGTCATTGTGCACTGTCTTTCACCCACTCTGCCCCCATTTGGCGGATGGAAAGGGCAGTCTGGTGCCCCGCAGGTCCCCCCACGCCGAGTAACAAGTGGTCTCTTCGCACTGGACATCTCACATGCTGGTTGAAGCTCATTGTGCACAGCCCTTCATATCCATCCAATATGATTCACTGTCAAGGTTGAATAATCCCACCAACTCGGTACAGCGCCAGCCAAAAGAGTCTCTTTATTTGCATCCCCGTGTACGAAACAGAAGAGACATCGTTTCCGCCCATATCCATACTTGATACTTCATGCCCGTAACCACACCTTCAGGTATGAGAGCAGCCAGGTAGCTGTTGCCATGGATGTGTTCCTGGCCAAGCTGTCTTACCATGCCACCAGCTATGCCATCAGGACAGGAATTGCTCTCACTTCAACATACGTCATACAACAGGGCTCACGGCTCCTGAAGGTAAGGTGCGAGCCTTGCAACTTTGGTCCTCATAATATTCACTGATTATTTTACAGACTGTTGATGATGACCCCTTGCGTCGCGAGCTCAGCCAACTGCAACGCCGTTTGGCTCGCAAAATCGAGGTAGGTCTCGCACCCCAAACATGTGCATGGGATATTGATATGCTCCGACTCGGTCATGTTGGTACTACCCTAGTAGCAGGTTACTGACCAGCCCTCCAGCTGATCTCTCCAATCTTGGAATCCATCGAGCTTCGTTACACCCGAGGGGATTCGGCCCTAGAAACCGTGGTGCGGACAGCACGGGCACTACGGGAAGACATCGACTCGCTTGGGAAACGCCTCAAGAATGTTGCCCTCGATCTGGAGGAGCCGAGACGTGAAGCCCGCGATCCAGTCGCCGCGGCTGCTGCACGGCGTGCTGAGCTTCTACTCGTCGTCCAGGATACTAAGGAGCTCCTCGTTAGTATCGACGACTCCATACCCCTGATCAACCTTTGGGTGTCTGCCATCGGTGGCATACAAGAACCGCCATCGTCATTCTCACCCTCCCGATTGCTGCAGGCCAGCATGCTGGTGACTGTGGGGGATACGCAGTTCATCCTGGACCCAAACCAACCTATGCAGATCGGTCCAGATTTCACCTTATCCCTGTATATGCTGTTCCGGGGACATGCATCTGCTGATGGGACCGAGGAAGCATACGGCGTTGAAGAAGGACAGAGGAAACCGATGTGGCAGGAGGTCATCCACAAGGCACGAGTGAGACTCTGCCGGGTACCTCTCGAAGCAGACCTCTCTATGACAGATGGTGCAGGGATTAACAGACTCCGTGCCCGCTATGCTTACCAGCTTCAAGTTGTGGAAGACCTAGAAGATGGAAGAGTTCACACCTTTGAGGAGGGAGAGCCACAGCCCACACCTTACGATGGCGTATCTCTTGCAGGTATCCGGGAAGACGTTGCAATCCACCAGATATCCAAGATGTTTTATGCAGATGTTGGAAAGATACTCAACATCAACAACGACGACGGTGCCTCGAGCAATCCTGTCCTGCTCCTGAAAAGGGATCCGCAAGCTCTGCCAGTCAAAACTGCGCCAGGTCCGAGTGTCCCAGAGGATCATCCACACTTGATTGAAAATATAGAGGAGAGTGCCGCTTCTGATGATACGTTATCAGAAGGGAACTCACAAGACGACATTGACCGCCAGCTCCAGCAAGAGATTGAGCGCGGCGACATAATACCTACCTCCGCCTTGATGCCCCCGAACAACCGGCAGTCAGCAACGGTAAAGGACGCCTGGCGGTTACCGCAAGATCTCGACCCGGAATGGATGGCACTTGAAGTGTTCGAGATAAACGACGATTCGGACTCGACAGATGAGGACGAGCCGACTCCAGACGAAGACGTCTCAGACCCTGGCAGGCACCGCCGTCCAAGGCACTCGTCTCGCCCTTCGGTGGATACGAATCTTGTCACACAGATGAACCGAATGGGCATCGCCTCGTCGCGCCCTTCATCTCGTGACTCGCAATCAGAGCCACCCGCACAAACTCCAGTCATCGCACGGACGCCAGATGGCGTCCAACAGCACGACCCTCCGCCTACGGCCCTCAGCCCGACTATGATAGAGCGCTCCCCGTTCGGCGCGATCAAGACCTCGCTGTCACTCCTCGAGATGCTGCTGCGTCTGACAAGCCTGCAGGAGTTCGAGCAGACCACGCACCTGGCCATCCCTGACCACGTCTTGAAATTCTACCTTGGCGAGTCGGCGTCGACGAGCGGCCTCCACGGCAAGCAACGCTGGGCGGCGGGTGCCGAGGCCGAGAGGAAGGTTGGCTTTGATCCCTACGCCGACCCGTCTGGCTGATGGTCTCGATTTCTGGACTACATACTACGTCTATCACAGTCTAGTCTGAACAGGCGCGCATGCATGGGTGGGGGATAGCGGACATAGACTGTGTGCTTACAAAACGCGTTGGGCATAAGCACAGGCATTGGCGTTCCTGGAGACATGTGAATTATAACTTGACAATGAGATAGATGGGACATGACACCAACTTCAGCAACCCAGCGTCTTTATCAAGGTGACTTGGGCAGCGCAAGCCTGAATGGTCTGACATATATGTCATGAACATAATGACCAAAGGCCCTATCCATCCCGCATAGGTCCCGGCTAAGCTGGCAGACGTCTCCCTAGGTATGGACTCCCTCTACAGAGGCGTATATATGTCAACATCTAACCAGAATCTCCCATCGTACCACGTCTCAAGATTCGGAGTGCTGGATTCCCAGCTTGCTTGAGGAAAACCGCTGTATTTTCCGGTAGTCGTACCACTAGATTCGTTCGTCAGGGACATCTTTCATTTTTGCCAAGTTGAGTCCCACCCGGTAAAGGAGGCAGGCTCGAGTCCGGGGTCGGAATTCTTCGTACCATGCCTGGTCGGTGGGCGTAGCTGGTATCGTAGATAAGTCCCACGCAGACATCAAGTCCAAACAGGCTATCAGCATGAGCATCCTCTCTACTACTTGCGTGAAAATCCTGAAAACTGCAGGTACCTCATGGCAGGATCACGTTAGCATATAGCAAGCATTCCACGTGTGGTTTGTCAGTTGCCCATCCCAATAACCATATGACCTTTTTTTGGGCCAAGATGTCAGATAAAGGATGGAGCTTCTCTTGATTCTAGGGAGCTCTCGTCCCCTCGAGTATACAGTAGATACACTTTGTACAGATCCAGTATCATACACCCGGCCGCCCAACCAGCACGCCCCTTCTCTACTGATGCTTCTGCACAACAATCACGACCACAGCCATGACCACAGCCACACCCGCAGCACCAGCATGACCACCACCACCAACCCTCCCGTCCGACTCCTACTTCCTCCGCCCAGACACAGCCGGATGACTCAAGTTCGCCCGAGCGCCCGTACCGAGCTTATGGATCATCTGGCGCTTATCCCAGACGGACGACCTGCCCTCGACGACAGCGACGATCTCCTGCCCGAAGCGGGTGGCGAACTGGGCGCGGCCGCTGCCGGTCGACTTCTTGCGGTTGACGACATCCAGGATCCACATGACGGCGATGCGACGGCGCGCGCGCGCCGCCAGCGGCTCCGGCAGTTCTAGTGCTTGCCCGCCGCCCGCCATGCCCTTCATGTTCTTGACGCGCACCAGCGGCGCCACCGAGTCGATTGCCAGCGTCAGGTAGAGGAGCGGGTTGAGCGGCAGGTGCGACGCCGGCGGCGAGCCCGGGAGGAGAGGTCGCAGGGGCGACACTTTGGGCGCGGGACTGGTGCGTAGGAAGTTTAGGATCAGGGACATGTGCTGCAGAGACGAGTGTGTTGGTTAGCTTGTTTGATTGCTTGCTTGTTGCTTAACGACTTGGGTCAGTAGGGGGGCTGTTCGTACCCTTTGCGCCTTGCTCAGCTTGCCGTCCCGCATGAGCAGCTTGGTGACCTGCTCTATTACGGGATGGTACCGGTCCTGCAGCTGCTCGTGCTTGCCCGGACGCTCGGGCATGCCGAACTTGAGGCCCTCGCCGTCCTCCCCGTACATGTCTTGGCCGGCCGCGGCTTGCTCGAGCGCAGCCAGCGCTTCGGCATTGAGGAAGTTGGGGGCGAAGATTTCTAGCGGCTTCGCTTCGTACTCTGCAGTCGAGGGGGGTGGTATCGAGGCATCGTCCGAGGGCGGTCTCGTGGTTGTGTCATGGGTCAGTCCTCTCCTTGCCACTGCTGCTGCTGCTGTGAGAGCTCCAGGCCGACCGGGGCATGATCGCGTAGGTCGCGTTCGTATGGCGAGACTCCGGACGGAGCCCCAGGGGTTGATCTTTGCGGACATGTTGTCAGTTAGGTCGAGGTCCTCCCATCGGTGTCCGTGAACCCGTATATCATTCAGACTTCGTTGTCGTATCCCGGTCGTCGCTGTGTCTTCGAGTTCCAGATTGCTTCTGACAAAATTTAGGGATTTGACGATATCACGGCCAAGGTTCTTCCGGGCAGGGCGAGGACGGGAGTCGGAGTGGAGTGGACCCGACGTGGTTGGTCCTGTCTGGTAGCTTGAAGTGAGTTAAGAGCTGATGACCTAATCAGTATCACATGCGCCACAAGCATACCATGTACATGTACATCTCTCGGATGTTGAGCCACAGCTGTGCACCAGCCACCAGTACTGCCATTCAACTGTCTCTTTTCCGTTTTCTTCATCCCAAGCCTTGAACAATCCTCTCAAGACGGCTTTGCCACCAACGATGGCGGCGAACGACATGTTCATTAGAAAATCAAACTCGTCACCCTACCCATCAGTATCTGCAGCTCCTTCAATGGACCAATCATAACCCTGGACCATGGCACCCCCCTTCGCAGCAGTTGATCTCCGCCAATCATCAAACCTGTTTCAACCATCGTCAAGTTTATTCACCCCAGCGTACTATGTATGTATGTATGTGCGTACTATGTATTTATGGTCACCTCCTTGCGCGGCTCTTGTCCGATCCCGGGCGGCGCAGGATGCAAGGGACGAGGTCACTCACATTCGTTCAAGCACAGCTGCCCTGACAGCCTGCGTTGCAACGAGTCAACGACTTGGCTTCTAGAAGCAGAAGGTGTGTCTCGGCAGCACAGCAAACGTGCAGCAAGTGCTACGTTCTGTATAATAAGCAGTGTCAGTAAGCACGTGGTGTAATAAGCGTCTCATCAATCTATATACCGTGTCGTCGTCGGCGGCGCGGGTCATGCGCGGGCGGATGTTACATTCTTCATCTCATGTCCCCTTTTCTTGACCGGTCAAAAAAAAAATGAGCTTGCTTGCTACCTGCCCACACCTAGCTGTCCCAGACGGTTCAAGTGGCACAGGGTACAGATTCCTAATCCGAGAGTGGCGCGCAAGCCTCGCAGCTCAGCTCTACAAGCCTCGGTTCGGGCATTGTTGAGCTGATGAGGCGGCGGGGTCGTTGATTGTAGTCAAGGATACTACCTTGAAGCATTCAGAGGAGCATGCTCACCGGTAATCCTTCGCGAGGCTAGGGTCGCATGAAGCGAACTGAGGAGTAAGCAAAAGCAACTTCATCATCCAAAAGCGGTGTCACTGCTCAACGGTTCCGAGAAGAAAAAAAGCAACTGCATACAGTTTCTGATCGACAACGTTCATGCAACCTGCATTGTTCTCCTCATCTCTCGCCCTTTGGACCGAAATGTTTCTTCTTTCCGACTACTTGTTGCCCACGCGATGTCGGCTGAACCGGCCAAGAAGAGGTGGTGATTATCAAGACCATGACGCGCACCCTTCCCTGATCTCCCACGTGTGTGGGGGTTCACTGGAATCTATTTGTGCGAGTCCGCTCCGATGGTAACATCCTTGGTGACAATCTCGTTGATGATTATTCAACAATTCATCAAAATCATTTCCTAATGCCGTCTCGAAACATCCTTAGCAAACAAAAAAGAAAAACAAAGTAACAAGGTACTGCTCCTATCCCAAGATTTTCCCCATCCATGCCCTGCCCTGCCCTGATGAACACTTCCTGGTAATGACCCCGGTCAATATCATGAGATAATCTCGCTACCAAACAATGCGCGCAGTGGATCGATGATGCATATCTCGCTACCAGACAATGCGCGCAGTGGGCCGATCGATGAGCTGAAACACCCCGGAGACGAAGCCCAAGGTACCACGTGAACCCATGAAAATGAAAACCAATCAGGGAAGAAAAGTGTGATGCGCCGTATCCATGCCTGGATGATGATCATGATTGATGATCATGATGATGATGTCTTCCTGTGTATCTTTTCCCGAGTCTCGTTTTGGTAGTTGCCGTGGGGCTGCCAGATCCTTTACCAAACTCCGTCCGATTGATTGGTATCGTACAGAACAGGAAGCTCCAGAGTCTTGAGAAAAAGGGAATGGATTGAATCGCAGCGCGGCGCAAGCATGTGAGGACGGCATAGCTGGAAAAATCGGGCAAGGGGTATTGGAACACAGAGTAGCAACCCATCCGTAGTGGTCAGACGGGAGAAAAAGACAGCTGGAAAGAAGCACACTGAATATACGCTGTTGTCGTGTCGGGGGATGCTGGTCGTAGATCACCAGCCGCTGCTGAGGTTTGAGTTGCTGGCCAGCCAGTTCAGCGCCACCTCGGCGGCGTCCTCCTTGGCGTTGTTGAGGTTTTTGCCGTCGTACCAAAAGCGCGCATCGATGCACTTGCCGTATACCGTTACTCTGCTGGACCAGGCTGTGCGGCCACCTGACGAGACAGTCAGTTCCATCCTTCGTGTGCTTGAACCGACACAGGTAAGGAGATAGTCGGGATGCTTACCTCGTCTGTCAGACACGAGCTGGTAGTCTGGAGGGTGGATCTGGTACTCGCGGCATGCCTCTGGTTTGCCTGAGTTAGCTACATCGTCATTGGTGTGAGGTGGCTGTCGACGAGGTGGGTAAGGCTTACCTTCTAGCCGGTCTTGCCAGGTGCTGCTCTGCTGGCTGCTGCTGCTGTGGTGGTGGTGCCGGTGGGAGGAGGATGAGGACGGCATGGTGGCGGTATTTGTCTCTGTCGGGTCTTGATATATGCCGTGAAGAGTGATATGTGTATGCCTCGCCCAAGCCCAATACTGATCCCAATGCCAATGCCAATGTGTAGAGCCCCGTAGATATCAGCTTCGGTTTGTACGACCGAGGTAGGTTCGGATGTAAGGGGCGAGTAGGAATCAAGTGTTGAAGACCAAGTCAAGGTACCTGGACAGGCGAATATCTTATACTCGAGGACGAGGTTGCTCTCAGCGGGGAGTATTGGGTCCGGAAGGAAGGGGAGCGTAGAGATATAGATAGGTAGCTGGGCAGCGCGACAAATGAGCAGACGGATAGAGGGACGACGGATACCCAGATATCACAACTGAGATGAGACTCGTCCGATCGTCTCCAAATAGCAATGTTTGGGCTGAGATTGGGGGTAGGTGAGAGTAGGAGAACAGAGATCAGAAGTGGTGAGAGACGCTGATGTGGCAGGAAGGGATTAGCTGGCGTCGTCGTCGTGGGGTTGTTTGCGCGATGGCGAGAAGCACGGCTGTGGAAGGGAAATTATTCGGCATAAGAGGCGGCATCATGCATCATATCGTGGACGGGGTGTGGATGGAGTGTAGCGTGGTGTGTGTCGTTCGTATAGTGCGGCGGGTTGATAGATGGGAATGGATACCTGGAGGGCTGGATACATGAACAGATAGGCCAGAAGGACGGATAGAGAGTGCGTAGAAGATAAATAGACCGTCAAGCCGTGTGGCACCCGTATGACAACGCGGAAGTATAGAGAATCAGTGTTGGCTGGCGGCGTGGGGAGGAGCAGAAGAAGTGAAGAAAAGACAGCGAAGAGAGCGACTTATACCAAGTTGTCACTTGTTCTTATTTGCCTTCCTTTCTAAAGAACGGAAGACGAACATCCAGAATTTGAATATGCCCCCCCCCTGCCCAGCGACCTGGCTTGATCTGCTCTCGTTGTAGTAAGTTTTCTTTTTCTGCTTCATGGGTTTTTGTCTCGAGACAACATATGTTCGCTCCGTCTTCGGGAGCTTGGGGGTTGGGCAAGCTAGGAATGTCGGACACAGAGGTACGTGAGCAAGGCCAGAAAAGGCAATGTGAGGTAGGGAACCTCGTGGGAGGCGGGATGCAGGCGGTATGGTACTTTGTTTGCAGGTGACATAAACACACAATGTATTCATTTCTGCAAGCATGCTGGCTCCTTGACGACAGCGACCCACCGCTGCCGAGCAGTTGGAGGAAGAAGAAGAAAAAAGGGACATTGGGCAGAGTCGCGGGTGCGCGCATATGTGACAATGTATGTATGTAGGTTCTCAATGTGCCAATTGAGACGATGCCGGCGAGAGAAGTACTGCTGCGATGAACCAGACTTCTCATTGTGAACTAGACGGGACGGAGCACGCGGCTTGTAACTGCTACATGTCTCGCGAAACACGCACGAACGACGTGCGCAAGCCACAGTCAAGCGACGTTGCTGTTACTGTTGCTGTTGTAAGCTGCACGTCGTCGAGCCTCCTTGCCTTCAGGGGCGCACATATCAGGTAGGTGAAGGTGTGTTCCGGGCCGGGACCATTTCCGCCAGACGTCGCACTGCATCAGTACGTTAGGTGGTGGAAGTGTACCCAAGGTTGGATTCTTCATCATATCATATCAAATGAGCCGCGGGGCTACACGGCACGCGAGGTAGTAGTAGACAACGGACGTGATCTCCAACGGACTGCGGGACGTAAAGGGATTTTCTGCGGCCAACTAGCCGGGCAGCCAGTCAGTGAAATTAGCCAGCAACATAGCTTACTCGGCATCGAACAGGCCAAATTGTCCTGATTCCGTGATATATGATAGTAGGTATTCGGGATGAAATGCCAAGTTGCGTGACCGTTCAGACCCAATGGCTTGGAAAGTGGCCGAGCGCTACGGAGACGGTCGCACGGCTCTGCTGTGTGCGGTCCAGATCGCAAGGAATGAATTCCCGAGTCCTCATACTGCAACACATAATGGCACTCGCACATTGTCTGACCTTGGTTCGGATAGTGCCGAGTGTGCGAGGGATGTGACATCGTGGCCCGTTTGCAGGGAGGCAGAAGCATGAGCTCATTCAGGCATGTGGGTGATCCATGATTTCAAAGTTCTTTTTCCCGACTGGCACTCTACATCGTGCCATGTGTCCGAGCGCATCTCGGACTGGAAAGCACCTCGTTTGATTGTGTGCAACACCTCACCTTTCCTTTTTCAGACCTCTGAAGGAGGAGCATGAGGAGGAAGCAGAACAACCTGGATGCCAACCGGGGCTGCCAGTGCCAGTGCCAGGCTATCAGGATACTGCGCGATCGGGTTGGACCCAGTTGATCGGACTCGCCAGGGTCCAAGCGCAAAGACCCGTTCAGATTTGCACCAATAACGGCAGGATGCATAACGACAATGCCATAAACGAAACAAAGCTTCGTTTGCCAACTTGGCTGAGATGGCTGGCAGCCTCACCGTTATGACCTGTCGGATACTTGTTGGGCAGGAACGGGTTGGATGATGCATATTGGCCGTTGGCGCCTATCCTTGCGAGGAGTAGTCCGAGTTGTCAAGCTGGAGATACTGACCATCAGCTGTCTCATGATGGTCGCATGGCCGGGAAACTGGTCTCGACCTGAAAGTTACTTTCTCCTCTCTGATTGCCTTCTCTTCGGGCGAGTACATGATCCTGCGGGTCGCAGCGGGCAGCAGGCAGGGGGCAGAAGACAACAGACAATGCCAACAAGTAGGTGGCGCTCGAGGACATTCGCCTCGACAATCAGGCCTTGTATACATGGCAAGTCAGGCTCACATACTTACGAGCGAAGGAATCTCGTCACTTGACCCATTATGTCATCATCCAAGTCTGATGATCCGTTCTTCATCGTCGCGCTGGATGGTGCCCAATGACGGCAATGAAGCCCACGCCAGATGCAAAGAAGCGAACCCGACTTCATCGTGCAGACTTCGCGATCCACAGGCGATTGGAGGCAAACTGCCGCTTCCGTTATTCATCAAGAAATATGATTTACCATGAGTCATGGATGGTAACAGCGTGCGCAATGCCGGTTCGGACTGACCTTTACTCCATGTCGCCTAGGCTTTCGCTGCTCATCAGCCTCGCTGCAGCTTTACAGCGACTCCCCAGCCTGTCAAACAAGCATCCCTTGTCGGTCGGTCAAATAGGATGGTCCATATCGTTTTGATTTGCAGACAGAAGCAGCGATGATCCCGCCAGTATGGATCACCTGTCGGATGCTAGTGTGACATGGAACGGCCTGCTCTTGAGACACGCGCCAACGATATTGCTGCGTGTTCACTGTACACGAGGCTAGTGTTATCAGTAGGGTTCTTCGAGACGAATCCACAGTAGGGCTTTCAGCACGAGCCAATAGTTCCGAAGCAACGTGGTGCGAGGAAACATATTCGGTGATACAAGTAGGTCAATGGCCGGGTTTCTGGAGAGCAAGGTGATAAGTCTGCAGTTGTTATAAAGATTTCCGCTGTGATGAAAGGAGATCCAGCCAAACGGAATGGGCAGATGCTCATTGTAACGGTCCAGTGGGTGATGCACGGATAGCAGTATGCAGACTCGTCCAAGTGATGGCGATCAGGCCGGTGAACCAGAGTGTGCCAAGTGAGGGTACGTACGGGTACACCGCGGGTAATCCTTCCAATATCGAGAAGTTTCTTCTCACTTTGCTTCTTCACCTCTTCCCTCACGGTATCTCCTTTCTTGGCACAAATAAGAAAGTCGACAGACCTGCGTGAATATCCCAGGACAAGCAAATTCAATGACGGATCGGGAGACGCTATAGCGGATGCTTTGCGAGACTCGGATGCGTCGCAGTTGATAACATGTGAGGGTGATCGCTTCCCAGTGGAGATGGTGGTCCGGGATCTCATCTTGCAGATCTAGTCAGATCTAAGGGCTGGCACAAACCAGGTTATAATGATACATGCCGTGCGCATGTCTCCGGATTATCATTCGATGAACATCTGCTTCTGGCCGACAGAGAAAAGAAAGACATGTTCGGCATGCCGCAGACATGAAGGGCCGAGTTCGGCAAGAGAGCCGTCAGACTTTACGATCAGCAAGCGTAGAAGCCTGGTGAGTTACTCACCTAGGTGATGACTTCTTGATCGACGGCTGGGGCATCTGCTGTATGGACTGCCATCCCATGCCGCGCGACCGGAACCTGGTAAGGGTGGTAGCAGGCGGGAGTGGCAGGTCTCCAGCAGATGAACTCTACTAGGTAGCATGTCTGTAATCTGCGAACATCAGAATGTGACACGGCGTGAAAGCCAGAGAGCCTCGTCACCCGTCACCCGGTAGACGGCCCGCTTCACATTGCTGAATCGGACGAGTCACAGCTGACAAGTGACGGCGCAACTCTTGATAATTCTCCGGTGCAACACAGCGAAGCATTCACGATTTTCGAGATTGGTTGGGAGTGACGTAGGTAGGCAAGATCGCTGCGTTGATGTCTGACATGCCAGGGAACAAGTAGATAGTTGACATATCACAAAATACATGAGTCTCTGACCGTAGAATGCAAGCTGCAAGCAGCGAGCCGGCTTGATATTGGGCATTAATTGGGGTGGTTCAGCAACAGGTCGACTGGCAGAATCTTGCAGGACGGGTGAGATTTTGATTTTGGCTTGGAAGGTACAAATCTGGGGAATTGGCACCGTGCACTGCAGCCACTCCCGTCCCGCATGGAGCTAGGAGTCGGGGTGTGGGTATCTGCTTCAAGGGGTATCCCTAGACAGTCCCACCTGCAGCCCTCGGGGCCGAGTGTCTTTAGCGCAGTCCCGGCAGAACTAAGCCCCGGATCCGGAGGTCGGCTTTAGCCTCCAGCTGAAACCCGGTCTTGGCCCACAGTGGAGTCACAGTTCAACGGCAACCTGGGGTTTGGAGCCGCCATGATACCTCGGCATCTCGACTTGCCCCTACTGCTCAGTGCTTACTCACTCATGTGACCTGTTCGCCGATGGCCTTACTCTCATCCTCACTTCATATTGCTTTATACTTCGCTCTATCATATCGGTTCGATTTTGCCGCTCTTCTACAACTGCTGTCACACTGCATTGTTTGAGAACAGTGATCATTCACACGCCCCGTGTATAATCAACAACATACCACAGCCCGGACCCAACCGCCAGGATGCCATTTAACACCGAGCTCACCCGCCGACTGGGCATCAAGATCCCCGTCGTACAAGGCGGCATGCAGCATGTGGGATATGCTGAGATGGCCGCTGCCGTATCGAACGCCGGAGGGTTGGGTATACTCACAGCACTGACTCAGCCCACACCCGAGGACCTGAGGAATGAGATCCAGCGCTGCAGGAAGATGACCAAGAACCCCTTCGGCGTCAACATCACGCTGCTGCCTGCCCTTGCGCCCCCAGACTACGGCGCCTACGCCCAAGTCGTCATCGACGAGGGTATCAAGATCGTCGAGACCGCCGGCAATAGCCCCGGTCCAGTCATCTCCAAGCTGAAAAAGGCCGGCATCATCATTCTCCACAAGTGTACTACCATCAGACACGCACAGAGCGCCATAAAGCTCGGCGTCGACTTCCTCTCCATAGACGGCTTTGAGTGCGCGGGGTGAGTAACCGTTGCCCAACCTTTGCCTGACATTCTCTAGCTTCGCGTCATCGCTGACTCTCTCGTGACGCCGGTGAAGACACGTGGGCGAGTCAGACATCACCAATTTCATCCTGCTCAGCAAAGCACGTCAGACTCTAAAGGTGCCTTTTATCGCATCGGGAGGCTTCGCAGACGGTCAGGGCTTAGCGGCTGCGCTGTGTCTCGGTGCTGAGGGCATCAACATGGGTACACGTTTCATGTGCACGGTCGAGGCGCCCATCCATCAGAAGATCAAGGAAGAGATCGTCAACGCCCAAGAGACCGATACGGCCCTGGTCATGCGGAGGTGGACAAACACCACCCGGCTGTACCGCAACAAAGTGACTGACCAGATCGTCAAGATTGAGAAGGAGACCAAGACGGGAGAGTTCGCAGAGATCGCCCCGTTGGTAAGCGGAAAGCGAGGTCGGCAAGTCTTCTTGAATGGTGACCCGGAATTCGGCGTGAGTTGCACAGTGACGACATTCCTCTTGCGTTTGAACGCTAACCATGACATGTTGATAGGTATGGACTGCTGGGCAGGTCATAGGCCTCATCCACGATATCCCGACATGTGACGAGCTTGTCAAGAGGATCGAGAAGGACGCGGAGGAAACGTTGACCGCAAAGCTCTCTCTGGCCAATCCGAAGAGCAAATTGTAGACTGCATGTCGCCTTGGTCCTACTCCTTTAATGTACAAGCTTTCCATTGGACTAGTGGCGTTATGGCAGATCCTCTTTTTCCAGTCGGGTTTCGATTTTCTTGCGAGCATCTGCCTCAGTAGAGCGCGTGCACTTCGCGCCGTGGGTTGACAGAACTCAATTCAACCAATTCGTGCGAGTACTAGTGACAGCGCGAGAGTACGGCAACACACAGACTGAGATCATTCAGCTGGGTATTGTGATCCATATTGACACTTATTAACATGCCCATTTCATCTAAATTACATCATGAACGGGCCATGCGACTTGGGCAACCCCCCTTTCAGGAGGCCGACACCCCAGCGAGCGACCAGGACTGACAACAGCCCATCTCTGCCATCCATTGGCGACCGTGAGATTACACCAAGGTTCCAACAGCTTTCATGCTCCATGAGTGACGGCACATCATCCGTCTAGTCACAGTTCTCCCTTCCTCGCATATGTGTCTGAGTCCCGAATCCATCAACCGGCTCGTTAACACTGGGATGCCTTCAGGATAGAGAGCAATTCGCGTCAGACAAGTATGATGATGATTCATGTTCTCATTGAGCCATCGTTACGTAGCATTCGGACTGGTGAGACTGCGGAGCGAGCGCCATGGAGACTGATTCGTACATCGATCCCTCACCACCCACCGCCCAGTACCACCAACAAGCCACTAGAGCCATGAGGTAGCTCCTGAAGTATCCAAGTAGTAGGCTCGACACAGCTTGCGAACCTGCGAGGCAGTCGAGTGACTGTTCCGCGAAGAAGCTGACTATAATAACCCCTGAATAGCTGATGCATGCAGTGCAAACTACACTGTCGACCGTCTGCCTGCTAACACGGACGTGTATCTCGTCGTACGAGTGGCGTCCCTTCGTGGCAGAACTAACACACCGCTCACACGGCCTCTCCTCGCACGCGTTGGAAAGACCAGGCTGCCCTGGTTGCTACAGGGGCACCAATGCTGCCAGAAGGCTATCCGCCCTCATTTTTTCGCGACCTTGTCTGTGATTAACCTGTTGATATGCCGCAGTCTGTCATGTGATATCTGAATATGCTTAGTGAGTAAGAGATCATGCTCTCATACATATCCAGGTAGCTAGCTGATTAGACATGAGTCAGATTCTCAGCCAAGTGGTGTTTTGAGACGGGTTTTATGCGAGTAACGATCACAGTCCGTCTACCCTTAGCTTGGACCGACCCTCGACCACGAAAAAGCCCAGACCTCCCCAGTCCAGTCACTCGTCCGCCAAGACGACGAGCTCCTGCGCGACAAGCGCCAACCGCCAATCGCCAATAGCAAGAACAGGAAGCGCATGGACAGTGGTTATTGTGGGTAATACACAATTCCACTAGGTCGTGGTTGCTGGTCTGACGGTCTGCATCGAGCTCAGGCCGGCGAAGATCGCACCGTGCTCGTATCTGCGACTAACTTATGTGCTCGAGCAAAGTCGTGCTCTGACAGTGGCGGAAAACTGTGACGGCGTGAGAGATAGCTTCGTGCGATTCGCTCAGGGCTCTGCCTCTCGAGACGAGAGTGGAATGGCTGCTCGATGCCACACCATCCATCCACCTTTGCATACTTATGGGACGAAGATGACGGCATCATCGGCGAGGACGAGTTCGTAGAGCTTCTGGTGCAGCCTCATCATACCAGGTCGTGGTCACGCATGCGGTTGACACCAGAAGCCAAGATTATCTCTCCAATCGAAAACCGCAGGTCAAGCTAAAGTCCTACCTACCAGACGACATCGAGAAGCACTTTGACCTGTACATACATTCCTTGCGCGCGCTGATTTACAGTGGCGGGAAGAGAAAGTCCGAAGACTTGGATCGTCTGGAAGAGGCGGCACAAAAGCTTACATATGGAGGCACTTTAGCTTTACCGTTTCCATCCGACCTTAACCATGCCGACCGAAATCGCTGATGCTGGCGAGCTCAAATGGGGGCCATTGACAACGAAAAATGGCTGCTGGTTCTCCACATGACATGACATCTCGCTCCTGCACTAAGATGACATTTAGCGAAGCAAGCGACGAGGACGTTCGTGCAGTGTTAGATAACGTTACTGCCAACGGTCTTGCCGTGCGACGAGGAGGTGTCAAGCTGAATGTGCTTGCTGTTGCTCATCTCCGTCTTCAATGGTCTGACTGACTACGAACGACGATTCCCTGGGGATTGGATGCGTTCAGACTTGGCCAGATCTCAACCTCAGTCTGACCATGGTCGTCAGCGTTGCTGAAAGGGGCTTACTTGATTGCGAGCCACTTCAGGGGAGGACCCGGACAACTCACTCTCGAGAGGCTGGGCATCCATCGTACAAGGTAAAGGAAGGACTTGGCCTAGTTGTACATAACAGAGCGGTCGGGTAACCATCGATACGATCCGCGAGCTGGATCCAGACGATGGTTACTCTACAGACTAGTACTCTGATTGCCCTCTGACCGAGACCTCTCGGGCTTGTGTATGATCACCTCGCCTCGTCCCGCCATACACCTTCACCTAAAGCCATAGACCCCAAAGCCGCCTCAGCAGCACCCCTAACCTCCTCATCCGCACTCCCCCCAGCCAACTCCCCCAGGCGTCTCTCCCAGAACACCCACCGCGTAGCCCCGTCCTCAAACCGCCTCGCTCCATCCGGCATGCTCCGCCGCGTCCAGTCCCTCAATCCGTCTCTTACTACGACCAAATCATAAACCTCGCGTACGTTGTACTGGAACAGGAAGGCTACGGCGGGGATGTGGAAGTCGAGCACGACCTGGTCGTACGCCACGGCCTCGTTCGGCGCGACGACTTGTTGTGCATCATCGCTCCCGTCGACGTCCTTCTTGTCCGTCTCGAGTGCGCAGATGACGGTCCGGATCATCTGCCTGCTCATCCCCATGACGTGCCGTGCCACGAGCTGCGCCTCGATATCCCTGATCTTGAGGTAGAGACGGCGCGCCAAGGCCCGGGCAGCTGCGTCCGGACACTGCCGGCAGATCTGGCCCGGCTGTAGATCGTCGGGCCAGCTCAGGGCGAAGTAGGGGAAGCCGCTCCATGAGAGTGCATCTCCATGTTCATCACCGATAACTTCGCCCTTGTGGATCTTATCCGGGATCCTAGCGATGGCGTCCAGGAGCGCGAGGAGATCGGCTATGCGTTCACACGGCCACTCGATGAGCGCGGTGATGAGTACGAACCATAGGCCGTTCGACGCCAAGATGCCATCGGAATAGCCGCCGAGGTCCGGCACGGACGAGGTTGAGATGGGGCGGGTGATGTCATGAGCTGTTTCCTCTGCGTCTGTGTCGCCGTCGTGGAATGCTTTTAGTATGTTGACCTCGTCGACGAGCCAGCGGCGGAGAGATGGGTCGTCCTTCTCGACATGGCGCTGCTTTTGCCGGTCGAACCAGGCGGGATCAAGGTGGTGCTGGCCGTCGTCTTGGGGTAGTTTGAAACGGTTGTAGAAGTGGTGTGCTGGATCGGCGGGGACTCCGCGACGTCCGGTGAGCTTAACGATGGGCATCGTGGTGAGTGAGGGTTGACGTGTTCGGGTCTTGCTACTGTCAGTTCTAGTCGGAGTGTGACGGACCGGGACGAACTTCGAGACGGCGCTTCCATCCGTGGTGGCAACATGGAGCCATTAGTCCCCGAAGGCCTCGCTAGTAGGACCCATAGGTGCTACAAGTTGCTGCCTGGCCAAACGTCATAGCCGACCACCGATATACTGCCATCTCACATGCAACAACCAGCCTAATAGTCATAAAACGCGGGAAAGGAAAGCTGTGGCAGCTCGGGGCGATCGGTGGCTATTATCATTAAGGCTCCCCGTCCTTCCCGAAAAGTTACAACCATTATGGTTTGCTATATTAACAGTAGAGATCCCAATAAACTTATCTATCGTTCGTTAGCAAAACTCATCAGCACCGCTAACACATACTATAAGACCTACCAGGTCCGTCGTCAATCGCCCTTTGCATTCCCAGCCGGGGTTGCAGGGCCAGGAATTGGTCTTCGTAGAAAACCCACCCACCCCCCTTACTTACCCCGGCCCGAGTGCTGCGGCCGGGGTGCGCTCCCCTGCATACCTAGCATAGGTTGGTTGGCTGCCATGAGGCCACGAGAAACAGGGGGCTGGCTGACCTGATCAAGCGCTCGTTGTTAGGAAACGATGGCATGACGTGTCGTACTACAGCGTCTGTTGTTAGGGACTGAGTTCGACGTCATGCAACATCCACACACCTCCTCCAGCCTGTTGAACTACTTCGGAAAGAAAATAAACAACAATGAATCTCGTGTCGAGCGTGAAAGTGCCAGCCAGGGGCTACAGACCCTAATGTATATGGAACAGCATTCCTTACATGAGCAGATCACGAGACACCATCCCACGCAGGCAAACCACTTCGGTAGCTTACCCGCTCGCTGCTATTTATCTCCTGTTTTGTGTCTATGCTGTGTACAAGCATATCAGTCAAACCCACTATGCGCTATCCACACAGGTCCATGTGGGATGTCTCTCTAGCTAGTCACTGACGAGCATTTTCCTTCTCTCTCACCGCAGTGCTCTAATCTTATAGATAGGCATATTCTATCATACCCCACTCATCTTGGTGTTTCTCACGGCAGATCTCATAGGTAGCAGCATTTCTGTCAGCTTACCCAACATCTGGAGAACTCTAGACAAGATCTAAAGACACAAATATCGCCGGGAAAATTCGCGCCTATCCGCTCGTCGTGGTCGGCAGACATGCGTCCCACTGTCGGACGGTCTGCGCTATCCGAAGTTCAGCCCTTTAAGCGGAGTGGAACCGGGAGTAGCAGTTCCTCCCGGCCTTCGTACCGGCGTCGAGGGACCGTGACCTGGTGCTCCATCCACGGGCGGGGTGTCCGTCCTCGGGACGTCAGCACCAGTCCTCCTAGGGGCCTTGAAGTTGCATGCCGATCCCGTGACGTATATCTCCCGCAATATCGTCTCCAGTATGCCTGCCTCGCTGTACTCCTGGTATTTCCGGTACAGCCGCAGCGCCGTCCTCGCGTCCTCGATGGAGTCGTGCGTGTCCTTCTGGATCTCTTCCCTTAGCACAGCATAAGCGAGGAACTGCAGACTCAGCTTCCTAAGGCGTTCTTTGATGAAGAAGAGAGTACTAGTGTCGATCACCTGCGACTTCGGCACGTGAATATTGATGACCCGGAAGTCCCCGCTGAGGCCATGACCGAGGAACTTGCAGCCAAGGTTGAGAAGGATCCATATCTTCTTGTACGCGATCTTCAATGGTACCAGGTTGTGTCCCCTTGGGTTCGTCACGTCCAGATCCTCTTCGGTGATGCCCGAATAGGAGGTCAAGTAGTTGTGGACCTTCTCCTTAATAGTGATATAGTCGTCAATGAAAGGAATACCTTCATCCATACCACCGCCTCGAACGATGGAGACTCTGGCCAATGCGTGGAATATGGGTCGGATGATCTGTGCATCACCATCGGAATGCACCTCCATTTCAGACTGCGAAATCTGCACAAACTCGGTATCTATCGCAATGAGAGTATCCGGCCCAGCCGGCTCAGACGGCTCCAGCGTACGATAGGGTTTGTCTGCTCTATCAGGCCTTTGATAGGAGCATTAGTAACAGTTGTCACAGGGCGATGGTGGTACTTACTGTAGATCGAGATATAATAGCCTGTCATCGAGGTTCTTTTTCCAGCTCGAGTCGAGCTGGTTATTGGCGGTCTTGACCTGATATGTGAGGACAGACGGTGTCTTCCAGGTTGTGTTGAATGTCAAAGCCTCCTGGGAAGAGATCGGCTGCACGTGGAAATCATTGAACATATACCATTGGCTTTGCCCGGGAGCCACCGGTGCCGAGTGTGCAACTGGATAAAGGTCAACTTCTCCATGTGTCGGGTTATTCGATAAGCTCACCAGGACTTACCGTTCGCCATTGCGACAAGGTGGGACTCGTGCTGCAGACCGCCCTCGATGTTGACGACTAAACCAGTCAGGGAATACACCTTGATGTTATGCCTCCCGCGTTGCAAGTGCAATTTCAAGTCCTCCCCTTCATAACAGAAGAACTGGCCGTTGCCCGCAATAATCCCGATCTCTTCCGGCAGCCAGCCTGGTGTAGCCCAAAGGCGGCGATGAGCGTTACCATTGATCGCACTATTGATTGCAGTCGTAAGCATCAAAACATCCGGGATCCTTTGAACAGTCTTCCTGCTGGCCAGCGCCTGATACTTGAGGCAGTTGCTGCACCAGCCCTTGTTGGTCGTTTCACGCTCTAAACTAATCTTGATGATTTGAGAGAATGTCGAGCTCCGCGGCCGTGGGTTACGGGGTTCAGGATTCTAATACCCGTGAGTCTTAAAAATAGTGATCCCGGATGCACCATACTCACATTGAGAGGGTAGATCATATCAGTTACCATACTCGCCTCAGATCTGGTGGTTTCTATCCTACAGTTCATACACCTGATGGAGTTTACTGCGGACATGCGAAATAACTGGAAAACGTCAGTTGGCGTCGCTATTATCCGATGCGAGAGGCAGAATAGATCAATTACCTCTTCGAAAGTCTTGGACTGAGGTGCCTCAGCATCAGAGCTTTCGTCGTTCCTGGCCATCTTATTGTAGTTAACGGACATCCTTTCGAGGAGGAATTTCGCAAGGTGCTGTAACATCGTAGTGCGAGAGTGGAGCACGAGAGGCGCGCTGTCGAGTAACCCTGCCTGGCTCGCTGTTCGTAGGTGTCAGCAAATATCTATAACCCGTTGGCGAAGCTATTGACTTACCCTGTGGATGGTAGCTTAGGGTCTTCGTCAAATTGTATGCCTGGCAGGGCTCTCCTTCTGCTTTATGGAGCATGTCAAAGAGGAAGCCCGACTCGCACAGGAGACATAGCTCATCGACGCAAGCTGTAGCCGCATGTTGCAAAGCAATATTCCGGATCAGGGGAGTATAGTGCATCACTTGAAGGAGTGAGTTTGCATATGCGTTGACAATGTGATTCTGCAGGCCCGAGTACTGTGTCTTGTTGAAGTATCTAAGCTTGCGTATTAGCGTATGCTCAGCAGACCGACCTCGTTAGCTTACCCGAAATCGAAGTCGCCAATGCCAAACCTGCTGTACTTAATCTCAATAGTCCGATACAGTTCGGGCACTTCGGCCTTGCGACACTCCAGATTGGCATCGTGCGAGACTTGTGGAAACTCTGGAATGGTTTCTTCCGGCGCTGGTGTCCCTGCTGGCGAGTTGGCCAGATCCCTAGCCTTCTCGCTCAGGAATCTTGGTGGTCTCAGGCGACTCTTGGGACTCTCGCTGCTACGGGTGTCCTCGACCTGGTTTCTGAGTTGTGGACGGATGTTCTTGCCCCAATAGCCCCATTCTCTTTCTTGAAGAGTCGATAATACCTGGGGATCGATCTTGACGGGCGGAGCACCGACCGAGGTCACCATGTTCTCAGGCCATGCTGAGAGCAACGTCTCCCGGTAGAACGGCATGCCAATAGAGCTCAATGGGCTGGTTCTCTCGTCAGTACAAGACATGTCGGCAGCGCCCGCTGGAGCTAGACTTACGTGTCAAGAGAGTCAATGCCAATTCGTGCGGCACTGGCAGTGGCATCGGCATACTCTATAGGCGTGGCAAGATCTGTGAAGTGGAGCTTGTTCGGTGACCCCAAGAGGTGGATATTGCATTCCACATCTGCCATGGCTACTGCTTCTCCGGATGATGCTATCTCAATCATGGACACATACGATTGACAGTTCGCCTGATGGATATTACTGGTGTTGGGGTTCATCAGGTCGACCACTTGCATCTGACCCAGCTGGGTCACGACGATGGTGGTGGTGGACATTCTGGGATGCATCCGAACGTAGGAAGCGCCCGCTGGGAAGGGGATAGGAGACATGGAGACCATATTCTTTAGGTCGAACACGTTGACGAAGGGGTCCGGTATGTAGTGGCCCTGTTGACGCAAGGAGTAGCCGCACGTTACTATGAAGTCGTGTTGGGCGTCCATGTCATTCAGCGCGGAGGTATGCGGCTGCCATATCTTGAGGACCTGGAACGTTATCGGATCGAGAATGTGGACAGCACCTGTCGGCGTGGCAGCACATATATATCGGCTCCTTCGCATGCTGCTGTACTGGTGTCCCGTCGATACCTAGTAGTGGCCGGCTGTCAGCAATCGAACATTACCTGTCCACGGCGGAGGCCGTACTTGTTTGGTCACCTCCCCCTTGTTCGTGTCAATGACGAACATCTTGTATTGCTCGCCCGCGACCAGAATCTCGGTGGTACCCCTGGATGTAAAGCTCATGCAACGTAACGCTGTGAAATCTTCATGTCTATGGATGGCGCGAATAAGCATTCATGCCGGGACTCGACTCGCAGCTGTCAATGCGCACCTGATTGACCACAATGGTAGACCCCGGCGGTTCGCCATGTGCACGCCGCGGGGGCCGAGGGACACGACGCCCTTGTCGTTGAACAATATTTGTCGGACGGCGCCATCTTGGGACGGATGTATTCGGAATGATGTGTAGGGCTGCAGCTTGTTGCCATAAAAGGACATTACTCGACCGAACCCGTTGCCGGTCCAGAGCAGCTCCTGGTTGGTATCGAAGGCTAAGACGGTGGGAGGTGTCGGATTACCCATGGGGCCCGGAGGCGGATGCGCTATCCGGGCGACCTACGAACAAAGGTATACAGGTCAGCCTCAGTTAGAGTTCACGCATGAAGCTTGCGCATCCATCTCCATCGCCCATGCTGGAGGGACTGGCGGAAGGTGGACAATCTCAGTTTGGCGCGTCGCGAAGCCCTGCGATGCTGGGTGCTGGAGGTACTGACCTCGTCCCAATCTCCATCCATGTTGGCAACTGCTCATCGTCGACCCATAAAGATGGACGAGTTGGGTCGGGCGATCGCGTTGGTTGCTGGCGCTCTACACGCGGCGGGATGTCGATCTGGCCGTCCCTAGCTATAGGAAAGGCGGGCGGGCGGTGGGTGGTGGGAAAAGGACGTGTCCCGCGAATTGCCAAGCATCTGCTTGCTTTGACGTCGTCGCTGAAAGAGTGGAGTCCATTAAAGGACCCCTGCTTCGGAGTTAAGCTAGTCACCGCTGGTCACGACTTCTCACCACCCTCTTCACTACATATAAAGTGTCCATTCGATGTCATACACGAGTGTATTCACTGCCTGCAGTTTCGGATGAACCCCATACCTCCAGGAGCCTACGATACATATAGGAAAACCAGGCACGTGCCCTTACCCTTGGTAGTCTAGATTGCTCACATTTTACATCGATGGCGACACCTCTACAGAAGAAAACATCAACACCGTGGTCTCGATTTCAAAGGAACAATCACATATACAACCATACACCTCAGGAGCTCAAGGAATCCTTAGGTACATATTCTCATTCGTTCGGCACCAATCTATAGCATGTCCACCCTCGCCCTGACTCTGTCCACGGTGGAGAGCCACCATCAGTAAGTATTGAACACTCATCCATTCCAACGTCCAAATTGTACAACCAGCTCCGACTATGAGCTATTCCAATCCCATCCCACACACGTTGCAGTGTGGTGTAGCGTAGTGCGTTTCGCTTCGGCCCGCCTTGGATGTCGTAGCCACGACATTGCCCGGAGTTGAGGATGGCCTACTGAGAGGTTTCAAGTCAAGAAATGCCAATGAAGCGCCTCGCTTTAAACAACCGGCCCAGCCTTCCTGACCTCCTCCGTCGCTTCGTCCTCGTACTTCTTGAAGTTCTCAATGAAGAGCCCGCCAAGCTTCTTCACCTCCTGGTTGAAGCTGTCATTCCCTGCCGTCCAAGCGGTCTTGGGGTTGAGCAACTCGGCAGGCACACCTGGACACGACTTGGGCACGTCCAGGTTGAATACGTCGTACGTCTCGTATTCCACCTTGGCAAGCTCGCCCGAGTGGATCGCATCGAGAATGGCACGCGTGTACTTCAGAGGGCAGCGCTTGCCGCCGTGAACGTAGCCGGCGCCGACCCAGCCCGTGTTCAACAACCAGGCGTTGGCAGAGTGGTGCTCGATCTTGTCAGCCAGCATCTTGGCGTACCGCATGGGGTGAAGAGCCAGGAAGGGCTGTGCGAAGCAAGATGAGAAGGTAGCCTGGGGCTCGGTGATACCGTCCTCGGTACCAGCCATCTTGGAGGTGTAGCCCGAGATGAAGTGGAACATGGTCTGAGCGCTGTTCAGCTTGGAGATGGGCGGCAGGACACCACGAGCATCACAAGTCAACAGGATGATGTTGCTAGGGTGGTTTTCTGACAGGCAAGGAATCTTCGCATTGTCAATGTATTCGATAGGGTATGCGCTAGAGGTTGTTAGTCTGGATTTCGAAGAGGATTTGCAAACCGCAAACATACCATCTGGTGTTTTCCGTGAGGGTGGAATTGTCGTAGTCGACGACTCTGGTGTCCTGGTCAAAGACGACGTTTTCAAGGACGGAACCAAAGCGGATGGCACCGAATATATCCGGTTCCTTCTCGGCCGAAAGACCAATCGTCTTGGCGTAGCAGCCGCCTTCGATGTTGAAGACGCCTCGGTCACTCCAGCAGTGCTCGTCGTCACCAATCAGAGCTCGGTTGGGATCGGCAGACAGGGTGGTCTTGCCGGTACCTGACAGACCGAAGAACAGCGTCACATCGCCGTTCTTGCCCTCGTTGGCCGAGGAGTGAAGGGTCAAGACATTGTGCTTGATGGGCATCTCGTAGAACAGTACGGTGAAGACGCCCTTCTTCATCTCGCCGGCGTACTCGGTACCGAGGATGACCATCTCCTTCTCAGCAAAGTTAATGGCGACCGAAGTACCCGAGGTCATGCCCTCGGTGAACCGGTTGGCGGGGAAAGTGCCGGCATTGTAGATGGTGTAGTCGGGGTGGAAGTGCTCGAGCTCCTCGCGGGGAGGGCGGATGAGCATGTTCCTCATGAACAAGGCATGGTAGGCACGGGCACAGATGACTCGGACCCGGATTCTGTACTTCTCGTCCCAGCCGGCGTAGCCGTCGACAACGTAGATTCTGGTGCGGGTGTTGAGGTAGTCCACGGCTCGTTCGCGGTTGATCTTCCAAACCTATAAGAGTAATTATATCAGCGAACAATTCATGCAACTGGTCGGGCAACTGGTCTCGTGTCATTCGCGTCAGGTCTAAGGTTAGACACGTGAAGGCCCGCCTGGCCGCTGTGCCGTTGGGGTGCGCAATGCGGGGTGCAGCTGAACAGTGAAGGCGTTGCCGGATTGGAGATCTTGAATGACGCCGACAACAGGATCCTGCATATGGGCGAATTCGCCATGTGCAAACGGCATCCCAAGCTACCCAATTCCTAGACGGTGGAAGTGTGGTAATAAATGCCGCCCATCTCGTTCGGCCCCGGAGCTTGGACCGGACCACACACGCTTGGGGTCGGGGCTGTAGCGACTCATGCACTCGCAGCTGCGGCCATGCCTGTGACGTAACGGCTGCTCCTTGGAAGTGTAAGGTCATGAGGCACTCATGATGTAGGAAACGCGGGGCTCATAATGGAATGTGTATGTCAGGGTTTCCCATTTGCCCATGATGGGGGGGGGGGGGGGGGGGGGGTTGAGGAGGCAAGCATCATGACAGAGAAAGTGACGACAGGAAGAATGAAACTCGAAATGTAAACGCGCAAGGTCGTTGATAGTCCTTACCTCAGGAGCCATTGGCTTGTTGACTGGTCCCCACCTGTGAAGCAATGCATGTTAGTCGCCAGTGTACCTTTTGAAGAAGAGTAGACTCGACATGGCCTTACCAGATATCCTTTTCTGACGACGGCTCCTGGACGATTCTCTTGTCCGAAGGCGAACGACCGGTCTTCGCGCCCGAGTACGCCGTTAATGCGCCGCTCGATGCGATGGCCGAGCCCATCTCGTATACCTTGACACCAAGTCAGCATGCAGTTTCTAGGGGTTGGGTCCCGGCCGTGCGGGCTGTCTCACAAGAGCATCTTCGTATAACGCGGCGACGGAGGGGTTGGGGATCTGTAACTTTTGTTAGCGGCAGTGTCACCTATACCTGGTAGTCTCAGATAACTCACAATAGCAACTCTGTCGTAGTCGATGTGAGCCTTCTCGTGCAGCTCCTCCTCTATGATATTTGTGTTAGTCGCCCAGCTGGCGTCAGAGCGAGGCAGCAGGCCTGGGTATGTATATTCCTACCAAGTTCCGTGTGTTCTCTCTCCTGGTGAGGCCTAGAACCGAGGTAATGTCAGAAACCAAGTTCCGGGTTATGCTTGACAGACGAGGTCGACTTACTCAACTCCGCCAGGGTGAAGAGCGGTCTTGTTGACCTTGTTGTTGTCAATCACTGTGACCATGGCTGTTAGAATGCTGGGTCTGTCAGAGTAGACAGAAGGGGAAGTACTCTTGTTGTTTTGCAGTAGAGACCGGGAGAGTCCGGAGGAGAGCTGTTGCGACTTGGGGCCTTTGACTGAGGGATCAGTGTAGGGAGAAGCGGTTCTCTGGATGGGGTCTGCCATGCTTCTTAAGCTTTGCTGAATCGTGGGTTTTCTGGAGTAAATGGAGTAACTGGAGACGGCGTTGATGGCAGAGTTCCACTCGGTGGTTAACGGGGAACTTGGATTTCGGAACAATGGGGCAGTTGGGGCAGCAGGCGTAACGGTAGCAGTACGGGCTGGACGGGCAGAACGGGTAGTATGAATATAGTTCGGGCAGCTGGAGCGTCTAGTTTTCTCAAGTCTGCTAGGCGTGGGCCGAAACCGAGGATATATAGGAACGGCGATGGTGGTGGAGAATGTGAGGCTTGTGCGAGACATTCCACTGGCCGATGGCGGTAGCTGGCATTGACTGGGCACTGGGTCACGAATTCAAACCGGAGCAAGGCACCTGGGAACCCCTGCATCATCGGGAAGGGACCACGGGCGTGAGCTGCTGCCACTAACACAGTACTAGTATAGACAGGTACGGGTGCGGGTGCGATGATGGATGTGGTGTCTTTGTCCTGTCGTGCCTGTTCACCTGGGCAATATGCTAGCAGATGATGCCAAGGTGGACGTTGGAACGGCGGGGGACGTTGGTGGGAGGTGGGCGGCATCAGACTGATGAATGGACTTCCACCCTGCCAGCCTGAGGCCTGCGTGGGCTCATTGGTCAACACCCAAGATGGCATTGCTACCTACCTAGGTACTGATGAGAATGAGCCATTCCCGTGTTTTTCCTCGACCCGGCTTCTCCAACTCCCCTATCCCCCAGACGGGTGGCAATTGGTGCAGGCTAATCAGGAGTGCTGCCCGTCCGTTGGTTGATGCTACCGAGCGTTTTCGTTGCCGCCACTTTCACATGTGTCATATGTACGGTCCTTCTTGTTTGGGGTTTCGGAATCCTTCTGGAAGGCCGGCCACTTCCATACAATTATCTTGTTCATATTGGAGTATCCCTCCTTACCTCTCGACGAAACACGGAAGAGCCAGCCAGACAGGCAGTACCTAGGTACCTAAGGGGGGGGGGGGGCAGTCTCCAATTCCTTATTGGGGGAGAGCACGAGGGGCAATTCCCAAGTGGGAGGAATGGCAGAATGGAGGGGCAATAGAAGGGGCGAGGGGCCGCTAGAAAACAGGCGGGGCAGATGGGATACTAGGGAATACGGAGAACTGCACTAAATCCCCTCACTTCGCCAGCTGTTTTATTACTACTAGTCAACCCAAATACTTACACGCAACGATCCATCATGTACAGACTCTCGCAGCAAGCTCCTATGTTAATATGTACTATACTTCCAGGCTGCCAGGTTCCATCATCATCCACGTTTCCGGTATTTTCCATTGAGCCGAACTCGACCTTCAGACAACAAAACTCCCGGGCCCTTCGCTATCTTTGGACACTTCATGTCAAACTGTTAGGTAACCTGTGCTCCTTACATGTACATATGCAATCCGACTCTTTCCTGCCGTCCTACCATGGCAAGCATGGCAAGCGTGGCAAGCGTGGCAAGCGTGGCAAGCATGGCAAGCATGGCCTTGCGGATCACAGCCACATCATTCGCTGGTGGGCGTCTCTGCATCTCGTGCGTTTTTGAGCCGCCAAGCCCCTGGAGATCCAAGTCGTCCAACCAGCGAGAATCTCCAACCAGGGCGCCGTTGAGATGAGGCGACCAACGGTCCAACACGAGTATAGTCGAACACCGCCCTATCTCTAGCTTGCTACCGCCCCGCAACTATGGACTAGCACAGGGCCAGCCATTCCGACATCTTCCGTCTTTCTGGGGAAGACTTCAACTACACATGTGCAACGTCGCGTCAGCGGGTTCCTGTTAGAGCTAAAATCTCATAGTAGGCATATCTGGTAACGATAGCGCGTGTAGATGGGTCACATGGCTGTTTGAACCTTGTCCTGAGTCCTGAGACTTCAGCCACGATCTGGGCAGCTGCCGGGATATGCGTAATGTGAGTCAACTTGGACGTCACGATGCGACTGACGATAGCTTCTGAAGTTGTTCAAAGACCCCAATTGGGCAGGTTTTACGTAAGACAACCTCCGTCCCCCTCATCAGATTCAGGAAGTCGACGACGGAGATGGCATCATGACATGCCCTCGCCTTGGATGAATATTACTTCGTCGTGACGCCAAGTGCTCTGCTGCCAACTGTATAGCGCTCCACGTTCGGCCAAAGTCGGAATCCAAGCAGTGCCAAGGAAGAGTTCACATCCGTCAGGGTCCAGACTCCAGACTCCAGGACCAAGGTGACCCCGACATTAAGGCTCTGTGTGGAGAAGGCCTCCACTCATAAGGACGAGCAATCGACAATCGGGATTCACCCAGACAATCTCAAGACCAGGCACCACATCTGGGACTCCGTTTACCCGGGAACCACATGCCGATCCGATCCGTCCCGTACAACGAAGATCCAACGTCATTCTAGCTACGGCCGCCGAGGTCCCGTGTATATGGGCGGCAATCACAAGACAACATTGTCCCGTCGGGTTCGTGAGCAGGAGATATCTCGGCTCATTTGTATGCTGCAGTTATTGATATACCCTTCCACCTCTTTGCTGAGCACGGCGGGAGTCTTCGGCATCTATGTGTCAGAAGCTAATCGACCAAAGGTAGCATCCCGAGGCTTCTTTTGAAGGACCATTCCGCTCCAGAAGCCTATCATATTCAGCACTGTCTGTCGTTTGTTTGGCACAAGCCACCAGTATGATGCTTCCCAACTCGGCAGCCCAGTCAGCTCGAAGCATTCATTACCTGCCGTCCCCAGCGGGAAGCCTGGTCTGACACCACAAAGCATGGTGCGAGCATGCCATACGCTGAGATGCTTGGCCAACCTCTACAGCTCTCCTTTCTAGTAGGAAAGGATCGTGGTTTTCACAGTCTAGGGCATACGCATGCTGATCCTGTTGGGAGCGAACCGCGCCACAATATGATCACCCAAGCTCACCTCAGGGGTTACGAGTGAGCACTCAAAACAGCACGCGCATGGGGATCGAATGCCATCAGAACCTCTGCTTTCATTCAAGAAGCTTGTGCCTCAAACGAGCGTTCTGACTCAACGAGATGGTGTCGAACAACCAACCCTACATCTGCTCCACCGCAATATTCGTCGTGACATTTCCCCTAGTAGCCCGGCTATACGGGCAGACCTCCTTCGCCTTCTCCACCACCTTATCAATATCAGCCTTGTCCAGACCGCGGATCTTGATCTTCATGTCGACGCGGATGCCCATGTCGAGGTTCTTCATATCGCCGACCAGGTGCACGGTGTTCTCGACGATGCTGTCCTCGGGCGTGGTGGGCATGCGGATGCCCAGCGACGCCGCCGACGCGTTCATAGCCGACTGGAAGCACGCGCCGTAGCCCGCCGCGAAGAGCTCCTCCGGGTTCGTCTTGCCCTTGTCGCCGGTGCCGCCGAGTGCTTTGGACATGGTTAGGCCGACCTTGAGGTCGTCGCCTTCGACGTGGCTGGAGATTGAGGGTGTCTGGATTAGTAAAGGTAATGGCTTTTTGTGTGCTGTCGGATGCGTGTTGGGAGGGATTCGGTTTGTGCGACGTACCCGGTGCGCGCCCCCACGACCTTGGCATGTGCCGAGTAGAGGACAGGAGCCGAGTCGGTATTCAGGAATCTCCGTCCGGCAGACTGTATACCAGCTCTCGAAGCAAACAATGCCGGAGCTCGACGAGCGAGGGGTTGTACGGCGCGTAGGGAAGCCATCTTGAGGTATAAAGACCGTGCAATTGAGCGGCCACTCGAGTGCTAGGTCGTTGGTGGAACTCGCGAATAACTTGAACAAGAAAGATTGAGGGAGAGCTCCTGTAAACTATCTAGCTCTCGTGTAGACTTGTAGGTGTCACCGAGTGACGTATATGACCTGGGGAAAAGAGCCGGACCACCGGGGCCCGGACTAGCCGGCTGCCGCGCGGCTCTAGAGCTACGTGTTCCTGACTAGTCCTCACATAAATTGAAGGGAAAAGATTTGGGGGTCTTGTTATATCGGTGAGACATGCAATCTTGGATTGGCGATTCTGACATGCCGCGTTCCCGTCTGCTGAGTCGACATCCTAGGTAGTCGCCCTGATGTCTGCCCGTCCCTCCCGGTCCCGGCGGCGGTCACGGCGCGCATGGCATGATCCACCAACTCGATCCGATGGTCGCCGCCGCCGGTCGTGGCGGGCTGCAGACTTCGTGCAAAAACGGTATATACCTAGTCCCATTCGAATCTGGAGGGAGTCAGATAAACGAATGTCGACTGCTCTTGCCTCGGAGACAACTCGCTAGTTACATCCGGTCACTACCGTACCTATCTTGTCCTAGATCCTGAAGCGGGCCGGCTTCGTGCGCTGTTGCTGAATGAATCATTCTCCCGGCACCGTAGACAAGAAGTCCGCGGCTGCCGTTCCCATCGATACGGTCGATAGCTGGTCTAAGGAACCTGGTAATTATAGCGTGCTTGTTCTCGAGGTTTTCCGCGGATGCTGCAACGACGTTGTTGATAATATCGTGGAGTTGGGGACATATGGAAATGAATAATTTTGTTCGAAAGGCGTCCTCTTGTCAATGTCATCGACACAGGGTCACCGTTCTCCTGCGCATCTGGACGCTGAACATAGGTAAACCGTGTAAAGCCCTATTAGCTGTAGTTGTAACGAGGAAGGCCTCGTCGACGCTTGTAAGTTCTACCGGTTGATACCCATGGGGTTTGGGCGGATCGTAATATATTTGTACGAGCCCAGGCACCTCGTCTGAAAAGTATGTATCGAGAAGAGTGGTAGACGCACGCCGACATATATACGGGCACAGGTTCGATTCCTGTCAGCGCTTGCTTTTGCACTCGAGCCCCGTCTGTCTCTATCCGTCTAATCTGTATCTCATCAGGAGAGGTCCAATACTTTGCAATAACGTCTATTCTAAACTGTTCTATATCAAGCAAGAGCCAGTACTTGCAAGGAAAAGATGCCTAATAACGTCAAGTACACAAGAGGCCCTACTTCCCCTATACACATATATACACCCCAAACCCACCCCCTCCCTCCCAGCCCTTCATCCATTCACCCATCTCACCTCATCCCCCGCGACACCGCCGTCACATTCATCACATAAGTAGTCAAAAGCCCACTCCCACCACAATAAGCCGTAACATCCCCAGCGCAAGTCATGGAGCAACTCGCATCCGTCTGATTCCTAGCCGCCGCCGCAATCGCATTCCCGCCATAGCACTCGCGCGCATACTCCAGCCCAGCATACCTGAACCCATTGCCCGCCGCCCACGCCAGACACTGTTGCACCGTCATCCCATTCCCCGCAATCATCCCACCCGCCAGCGCCCGCGCGCCGGACGGCTCCGCCACGCACCCGTGATACGTGTAATTAGCATTCCCCCCCACGACGCGCGGTGCGCCGTGCGCCTTCGACGCGTCGGCCGAATACCAGACCGATATTTTGGAGCGGTCGCCGCAGACTTGGCTGCTGTTGCCCGAGCACGGGATGGCGCACTGGTTGTCGGTTGTGGCGGGCGTGGTTGAAGGCATGAGGGAGGCGCCGCAGTAGCACTCCCGCCCGTACTCAGTGCCGAAGTAGGCGTAGGCGCTGCAGTTCCCGGCGCAGGACTCGGTCGTCATGCCGTCGTAGGTGTAACCGCTGACTGTGGGGCGTGGGGGGCCGGACGTCGATGTTGAGCTGCTGGAGGTTTTGACTGTGGATGTGGTTTTGGAGGAGCTGGGGCGTGTAGTGGAGAGGCTAGGGTTTGAGGTTGTTGAGGAGACTGAGCTGGTGAAGGAGAATTGAGGTGGTTGAAGGGACCGAAGTCGCCGAGGTGGAACGCGTTGAGCTGGGCGTCACCACAGACGAATTCGAAGTAGAAGCCGACGAGGACACGGACGATTTCGTGGGACTAGAACTAGAGGTTGAACTTGAGAGGGCCGTCGAAGACGACGAAGATGACGAAGCCGGTATAAACCTATACAAGTTAAGCCGACTGCCCGCCCCGCAGTACTCATCACCGTTGCCGCCGCAGGGGAAGTCGCAATCGTCCGCCGGAGCCGGGGTGCTGCCCGTGTTCAGGACGTTGCCGCAGTAGCACTCGCGGCCGTACTGGACGCCCATGAGCGCGGTGCCGTTGGCTAAAGCGCTATGGCAGAATGCCGCGCAGAGCTCGACCGTCATGGCGTCGTTGGCGAGCGCCTTGAGCGACAGGGCGCGCATGGACGTGGCTTCCGTCACGCAGCCGACGTGCGTAGTTTCCTGCTCTCGGGACGATGGAAGGGCCCGTTGGCGTCGGGGCTGTGGTTGAGGTGGTTGTTGTAGTCGTGGCTGAACTGGATGTTGACGCCGTTAACGTCGAGGTCGAAGAACTCGAATTTGGCACTGGCAGCGTATTGTTGAGCATGTACAAATTCAACCTATTGCCAGCGCCACAGATCTCGCTACTGTTGCCACCACTATATCAAAAGTCAGCATCTCAACCCTTATACAGAAAGCGGCACCCGGGATCTCATACCATGGCATGTTGCGATTGCCCTGGTTACTGACCAGTACACTTCCCGTGCCGAGGGTATTTCCACCTAGCAAGCAAGCAAACGGGTCAGCACGAAAGAGACGTCTAGTTGGCAAAGGGGCGCGGGACTCACAATAGCATTCGGCGCCATACTCAGCGCCAAAGTACTGGAAACCCTGACAGGCCGCCGTACAGGACTCCAGCGTCAGGCTAGAAGAAGAAGGGACAGACTTTCCGCTCAGAGCACGCACGCCGCTGCCCTCCGAGTAGCACCCCTGGTACGAGTAGCTGCCGATGGTCGGCGGGGCGGCCGGGCCGGACGGCGGCAGCGACTGCGCAGCACCGCCGGCCGAGAAGATGGAGAGGAACTGGCCCCTGACGGGCTGGCCGTTCCCGCCGCAGGTCTGGGAGGGATCCCCGCTGCAGGGAAAGTTGCAGTCGACTTCCTTCGTGAAGTTGGAGGCCATCACGTTCCCGCACCAGCACTCGACCTGGTATTGCGTCCCCGCGATGGCGTAGTTCTTTGCGCCACAGGCGGCAATGAACTTCTGGATCGTGTTGTTGGTCTGATCTGCGTAGACCTCCTCCTTGAGCTGTCTTCCGGGGTTGTTTCCGATGGCGCAGCCCTTGTATCGGTAGACGGCAGAGCCATTGGCAGCCACGGGACCGACCTGCTCCGAGACGGCGTTGCCGGTGAAGTTGATGACCTGCTTCCGAGATCCGGGTCCCCGGAGTTCAGGGTCCAGACTGCCCAGCCGCCGTAAGAATCGACATTGGGCTGGGACTTTAGGGGCGAGCAGTACAGGTCCGCCGTTGCGTTCTGGCCGGCCAGAAAGCACGGTGCCCTCGGCCAGGTCGATGTTGTTGGCGGCCCCGACGATACCGCTCACGCCGGACGGGGGCTTCGACACGGTGACGGAGAGGGCGGCGGCAGAGGGTCCGCCAATGTTCGTCAGCCTCATCTTCCGCGGCGAGGTTGTGGCTTCGGTGACATTTCCGAAGGTGAAGGGGACACCGCTACTGTAGTTCACCCAGCCGGTGCCATCTGCACTCTGGAACTCGATGAGCACCTTCGGATAGGTCCCGGACCGGCCCAAAACATCCAAAAACCCGGAACCGCCGTCGGACTGCACACTCATGAATACTGCAGAGTTGCCACTGGTCGATGGGTTATAGTTGATGGTGACATATGAGGAAAGCCCGGCGTTGATTGTCTGCGGCAGGTTGTAAAGAGTGAACGCCCCAACTCTAACAGCGCTGCCGGTCACGTTGGGAGTCATCCAGGGCCCGGTTTCCGATATCATCGAGAACTGGATTTTTTTGATGTTCAATGTGGAGTTGCCCAGTATTCTGAGGACTGCGGACTGGTTGACACCAGTGGGCTTCTGGCCTGTGATGATGCCGGCGAACGACACGGTATTGGGCGAGACCGCGAGCAGTGGTGCTTTCGAGTTGCCCGTGCCTCTAAGCGTGACTGGCGTGTTGGAGGTGTACCCAGTCGACGCACTGGTGGTGTTGATTTGTGCGTTGCTGGAAAGGGGTCCGACTTGTTTGGGAATGAACGTGGCCTGAAGGGTGAACGACGCACCTGCGGCGAGATTCAAGGGGACAGTCGGCGGGTTGGATAAGACAAAGTTGGCATTGCCAACCAGGCCGATGCTAATGACCTGGGTGTTGGTGTTGGCTTTGCAGGTGATGGTCTGAGCCGGTGACGTCTTGTTGATGTCCACCGTACCAAAGCTCGCCGGCGGGGTACAGTTCAGGGCGAGGTTGACGGGAGAGCCAAACCCGTAGATGTACCCCTGATTACTTGCCACGTAGCAGGTGCCGTCCCCGAAGACTGGCCGCCCGAACTTCATCGACCCTGGGACGTTGAACGACTTGATCATGTCAAGTGAACCCTGTGCGTTGGGTACTGCCTTGTAGATTCGTAGGTTCAGCCCTTCGACATCATAAGTCCACAGTAAGCCCGTCCCAGATTGCCCCCCAAGGGACGTCGTCGTTCCGTGGCCCACGCCGAGAATGTAGGCATTCGTCTCGTTGGTATCTGCCACGTGAGTGAAGGCCACGTTTCCACTGCCATCACACCCGAACTTCCAGACGTGCGTCGGGTACCTGATCACGTTGATGTAGACGTAGCCTCCATCAAGCGGCATAACGCCTGCACCAGAGTACACCGAGTTCTCATTCAGATACTGCTGAGGCACGTTGTCGAACTGATTCGGACCCATCTGATACCCGCCCAGATTGTCGAGGTTGAGCCAGTAAGTCTTGCCTGACTTTCCTGTTACAACTCCGATGCGCTTGGCATTGGGGCAACTGAACGTCGATGTCGGTAGAAGGACAAGCGGGGTTGTACCTAGGTCCTTGTCGGCACCGTCGAGTTGCGTCTTCTCCCACGGCATGAAGAAGCCAATGGGAGTGATGGTGCCGTCATCATTGACCCTTGCGTTGACAGCGGCCTCTTCGAGTGACGAGGGTGGTTGCCTCCCTCCGACAGGCACTCCGTGAAGCTGCGAAGCGTACCCGTTGCCTGTTGCAAAATACATGCTACCCGCCTCGTCGTATGACAGGCCTCCACCACTCATCCAGACACCACCTCCTCGGACGGAGACGTCCTCGGGCCCTCCTTCGGTAGCAAAGGCTTCAACAAGAGCACCCGTATCTTTGTCCCACCCGAGTATGGCACCCGTAAAGTTGTACTGGACACAGTGACTAGCGAACGCCGCATATATATACTGTCCAACCTGTAGAAGTCCCGGTCGTTGGTTCTGGTTGCCAGAGATAAACATTCGTCTTGGGTTGTTGCGAAAGATGGCCCCTTCCAGGGATTTTGGAAAGCCTGCCTTACTTTGGAGGGTGTTGACATCGACCGCGTGGAACCAAGACTCCCCATTGAGCCTGCCACTGGTGAATCCAGATTTGTACGTTTTCGTAACGAAGTACAGTGTCTCTGTAGATGGGTCAACGACACCAGTGCCTGTGACACCAATGGTGGGATTGATGTCGACGCAGCCGTCCAGGTCGCTTGAGAATGCAGAGTTAGTATCAAGTACTCTTTTGTTTGGGTGGGAATGCTGTAGTCGAACGCCGATTCGTTCCCTAGTATTCACGACGTCTGAAAGGCCAAGAGGAACACTTACGATGCCAGAAATTGTATGTGAAGGTTCCTTGACTGAACGATGCTTCCCGTCTTCGAATCCAGCTGGTACAGATTGTTCTGAGTGGTCAGGACGTAGACGTATTGCTTGCCACTGCTACTCAGAGTGTAGACCAGAGGTTGAGAAAAGACCTGCTCGGCGCCCAAGCCGTTGTAATTACCGGGCAGCTTAGTCCTGAAAAGCTGGCCAAACTGAGGACTGCCTACGATGCTAGGGTCCATGTTGTGATTGTCCTGGTAGCCTATTCTGCTGTTGTCACCGTCCCACGTGATGGTGTCCGAGGAGGCGAAACTGCTGACGTGTTGTACAAAGAGCCAGATGATACCTACTGCCCGTTGGGTCATCTTGGAGCCCGCCATGGTGAGGGTCAATGGTGAGAGACACGAGGACGAGAAATGTAGAGATGGCCGTCACGTTCTCTCGGATGAACGTCACAACTTTATGAGAAATAAAGGCAAGGTAAGCAAGTACATGGCAAAGTAGGATAGAGCAACGCATAGCGACAGTGGCGGTCTTTTAAGCCGCAAATGAACCCCTTCAAGTGATTCGGACTTGGCTCTTCTGGATCTGTAGAGAGGCTGGGGGGCTGGGGGGCACAAATATGGTGCGGATACGAACATTCTCTTCAACGGTGAGGGGTGGCCCATATATTGGGGCGCCGGGTACATGCCTCAGTGACGATAATGTGCCCAAATGAAGGTAATGACATGTAGGTATAGAAGCTGAACAGCATTATGGCGAAGAATGGTCGCCTCGCCAAGTTGAGCTATACCGATCCAACATTTCCTCGGGTCATTTTTAGTTGCCGCACCCAAAATGCAGCGGCGGACTCTTCCGCACAAAACCTGAGACACTGACAGTGCGTGACATTCGAAGACGTCATCTGTCAAGTAGGAGCTCGAAGTGAAGAAACTTGTGCTTCAAGACTGAATATCGTGTGGTCGCCTTTCGTGATGGAACCTGGGAAGTACACAATAACAGGTGTAAATGCCCCATGGAAGACGTGGGTTATTGTCCGACTAGGGGCCTCCTTTTCGAGTCGTGCCTAGATGGAGCCAGATCCCCTGCATCTCGCCCCCTCCTGTCCCGTCCCGTCTGGCATGGTTCAGGCCATGCAAGGCGGATGACTGGTTTGCTCCTACATATTGGCTCTGCATAGGCATCAGGCAAGAGACATGACGGGTGCGCTGCCCGGGATGCGCTTCTGTGAGGGGTTGTCCAGTGGAATGGGAATATAGATTGCGCATTTCGGCCTACATTGAAGCCACACGACGGCGGGTAAGGCGTGCAGCATGTCTCATGAAGCCCACCTCGGTCTGGATGTTCCGAGCTTATCGCGCGTGGGGGCATCAACCGACATGTCGCACCTGAAGTCCCAGCCGGCCAGCGACGACTAGTGCGAGGAGCTTTGGGATGACATCGTCACACGTGTCAGGGCCCGACACTGAGAGACATGGGCCATCATCCTGAGACCTCCCTACAGGGACTTGGGTTGAGAACTTTCGCGGTCATTGTGCATGAACAATTGTTGCCCCTTCAGGGAAGGAGTACTCCACGAAGAAGGCCCATGTGACTGAGCTCTGATATGTGCTTCTTCACACCAGGCAGTCCGGCAGCCCCATCTGCCGACGCACCCAGGAGATATTTCCCCACCACTCCAACACCAGCACCGGGTGTGAGCGCTGCAAGACGTCCGAGATGCCCATGGCCAGTCGCTTACCCAGTTTACGCGCCCACCAGTACTCTTCGTCGAGCCGGTCGAGCAGCACGGCCCAGTGCATGATGATTAGTAGCGCCATCGGGTCGAAGTTCTTGAAGGCTATGGCAAATTCATGCCCGGCGGCACCTGGGAGAACGCAGCAGTAGCCCCTGAGCACGCCCCGGGCATCCTCGGCGAAGCAGCGCCCAAGGAATATGATGAGACCCGAGTAGGGTTTCGTCGTCGTTGTGGAGCCTGCGTCAGTGTCTACAGACGTCTCATGCATTGGGGCATGGTATCTGTCGTTGAACGCCGCAAGTCTAGCGAGGGCAGCCCGCGTATCGGAACCCAATATGTCCATCGAAGCGTTGCCCTGACTGAGGTATGCACGGATCGGGATCGGGCTATCGAGCAGCCGCTCGAAGTCTGTCTTGGCGATAGACACGCTGCCGTTGAGAAGGTCCAAGGTAACAGCTAGACCCGATAGCAGATTCTGCTCGTCACCTTCGTCAAATGCGTACTGTAAGAAGGCGACGTTGATGAAAGCTGTCATGCTTGAAAATATGTATAATATGTGATGGTTGGTATGGTTGATGTTGGCGAGCTGTGGCCTGAACGAGCAGCTGGCCTTGTCATCTGTTACCAGCAAAGGTCAGCCTCTAATGAGTACACGAGCATAATGTGAAACTGCAACTGTCCAGATGAAGCCACGATGGAAGGTACGCCTAAACAAGCTCCCAACAAGACACAATACCCATGTAGCCCATGAACAACTTACAGAGTTCCATAGCCACATGGAAATACCGTTTCCCCTCCTCTTTGCCCACTAAGGTTGCCATATGCAGCGCCGCCATGACGAGAATGCCGTTCAGCAACCAGTCGTACATGAGCGCCTCGCGAGGCAGGATGACCTGCATGTAGTGGAAATCCTCGGGGATGCTGCACAGGCTCTTGTCTAATGAATAAAAACATGCCGTGTCAGTATTTGAACCTTAAATCTACAGTATATGCCATGCAGCGCCCGGAAAGCCAAGATTGTTATACCTACTGTCAAAATATCAGTATCAAAAGCTGAAGGAAAACATGCTAGAAATCAACACTTGGGTTTTAAAGCAACATGTTTTTATACGGACCAGGTACTAGTTGACCACAGGTGTAACAATTCCAGTTCAAGCAGTCTGCTCGACGGCCAGAGCTGCTGAGACGATAACCCGGCGGCCTGCTCGCCATTACACAGGAGAGACCGGTCGTCGGGGGAGCTGCCTGACGAGGTCCCCTCACGATGCAACAGCTGCTGCTGGGGCATCGCTTGGTTAACGGCCGCCGCCGCAGCCCAGGGGTATTCGCATTTCGCGTTCCGCAGCGCGCAGTTGTTGCATGGCGGGCCTTGCTCGTCGCACTATCGGACGGGTAAGTAGTGACGATGCAGCATTAAACGGTGCGGGCGCGGCTTACTTTGGTGTGCCATTTCTTGCAGTTGATACAGCCGCGGCGGGATTTCTTGTGCGCTCTTCTCTTCTGCATCATCTCCAACGAGGGTTTGGAATTAGACATACATCGAGTGTCTATAGGACAGCGAATCCACCTTATATGGACTTGAATGACTGAGATTCCGAGAAAGGCGTTGACTCGGGAATCAGCTGGCTCGGTTAGCACACGAGATCGCCACGAGCACGGGTCTCCCATTCGCCAGCAGCCAGCCTATTGGTGTTGTCACGTGGTCTCTTGGTGGGCTGAGCGCTAGGCGGATTTGATGAGCAGGGGCTGAGCTCAATATCTCTCGGTTCTTCACATTGACATCATAGTGAGACATCGCAAACGGGCTTGATAACCCACAAACTTAGCTTAGATGAGTCAAGTCACCTTGATTTGAAGTCAACGGGATGCTTGGTGCAGGCTATTGGCCAGATTTCGCGTTCCTACTCCGAGGGCCGAGCACCGCCCGCGGATCAACTTCCGGTTCAGGTTGCAACGCTGGCCAGGCGTTTTCGAGCTGAAAATGCGACTGAATGCCTAGCACCCTGTCATAACATGAGTTGTGAATGCCCATCCAATTTCGGGCATATGTCAGATGGAAGGCGAATAGCCCAGTAGCCGATCTTTTGATCGGGGTATTGTAACCCTGATGTTGTGGTGGGCAACTTGAAGCCATCTGGTTCAATTAGTTTCTCCTCACCAGCAACGAAGTATCCGGTCGGTACCGCGACACGATACCAACAATGGTGGGCAATGTTCCCTTCCTGCGAAGAATTGTTCGAGAGCATCGATCTCACGGGGTGCGCTTCTTATATTGTCCGCCCTGGTCAACGTGGCAAAACTAACAGATCGCGGCGGGAATCTTTCGGATCTGCTCTCCTAGGTCATCGGAGATATCGTCGGTGACATGGCAAATGCAGCAACCATACCAGCCGGCCATAGAGAGTACGTCAGGGTACAATAACCGACAGCGTGAGGTATTCTTCCCGTCACTCTGGGCGAACAGCTTTGCGGGGTCTGTCTTCCAAATGGTCGAGTACGCAGACTCAACGTGCATTGATAGACACCTACTAAGGATAAGACTGCTCATTAGGATGAGAACATTCAGATGGAAACTTCAGCTGGTCGTTCAAGTACCCACCCAGGCGACATGACCACGCAGAAAAGTGTTGATAATAGCTGCACCACTATGTTCTTGGTAGATTCGCTGGAATCGAAACAGGATAACGGGCCTTCGCAACTCCCCTCTGCCCACGGTCGTGCGATGGGATTGCGTAACACGGGTGCGAATGTTCAAAAGAGCTCTCCCACACAGGCTGCGCACCATGGTGCAACCGGTAAAGTCGAGTCGATGGTTCCCGGTCCTGCGGATGAATCATTGGCGACTGCTGTTACCGAGCGAGCTCATGCTCGAAGAACCGGACGATCCGAGGTAGCGGGCATCTTGGGTCATCTCAGCGCAACTGGTGACGCTTCGGTCCTTATTGGCAGTATACCGACCTTGAATGAAGTCGTGGCCACGTTCTCGTGTAGGATGGGCGGAGACAGTCTCTGGAACCAGCTCAAACAACAAGTGGATGTTGTAGCCCAGGCTCCCATTCTAGCGCCACCATGGTCTCCTTGTCGGACTCGTAGTAAATGATGCACCTGCACACGGCCATGACAGGACGGAATGGAGTATCATGTCGATTTCCAAGAGCTGTGGCTTGCCGTCTGACCACACAGACACTGCACCCCTCTCAGACAGTGATAGCGGTTCCAGCACTGGGACTGCAAGTCAAAGCCGCCAGGGGACGAAAGGAGCCACAGCTGCCACAATTAATAGCCGGTCTCCGCAATCGGCACCCACATCTTATCTTAAAAAGCAGGCCGTCGTACTGCCCGCATGTGATGAATGGTTCGTGCGGGGTCGCCTGAGCTTAGCTGAGATAACCCATCTCCATCTCCTCGTTGACTTTGGGATTTTGGGGAGCCCCCGAGGCACCTTTGACGCCTTCGCACGCTTCGGTTTGCAATCACCTTGGTCACTCGCTCCCGTCGCATACTTGCAACGCTCTGTGCCAGCTTTTGCGAGCTGAAGTGTTACACTCAGGGAATCACTCGGCCGACGTGTAAAGTACGAATGAGTGGTACTGCTGCCCATGACGCGTCGCACGACCGACGAATGGCCGGATCAGAAAGGACGAGGTTGTCAAATAACATCCGACGATGCTAGTATCTGCTGTGACCTACGACTGGCAGTTGAACAAGCGCCGGTATATCTTCCGGCAGAATGTTCATGATGGCTCTCTCGAGATGATCTGGGATGCGCTCTCTGCCACCCGTCGTGAGAGTCTAGCTACACGGACCGCTGACCATGTCGGACAACGGCCATCATCTCGAATAAGATGCAGAGCGTGGAGGGATGCTATCGCCCGCTTAGTACAGCTTTCTGGCTAGGTAGAGAAGCGTAATTGCAATAATAGAAGGGTAGGTATATACTTGCGTCGCCATTAATGTAGCCCACAAACATAGGTGTAACGACAAAGAGCTTTGAATAAGGACCGGTGGTGATTGTTGCGAAGGTGGTGGTTAGGGTAGAGAGGGTCATGCTTAGGGCTATATAATAGGTAATCGTAGGTACTTATAGTAATCTATAGGTAAAAAAATAAATCATTATAACACGTATTCTTAGATTAACCCTTACGGGGTAGGTAGCGTTATTCGTTAAGTCATAAATATTAAACTAGAGTCACGAATAGTAAGCTTAATAAGGGTAACGTAGCATTTTTATTATTATACAATCTAGGTACTTACTACGTCGGCAACTCGTATAGATCGTTGATCACGAGCCATTAATGAAGGTCGATCATTGCTCACAGGCCGAAGTTCTTCTTCAACGTAGCCGCGTTTACATCTTCCGGCCCGTCACAAATACAAATCATCTTGTAAAGCGCGGCCGCACCCTCGCGCATCTTCTGCTGATTGCCGAGGACAAGTCTGATCCCGTCACCAAGTTCGTTACACAACGCGACCGAGGGTCCCAAGAACTCTTCGGCTTCTAGTCTTAGCTTGTGCCTCCTTAGCTTCTGTGCCGACGTCGACGGCTGCCCCTCGAACAGCGCCTTGTCGTTCTCACGAGCCTGAGCGAACATCTCTTCGTACTTGTCCCGTGTCGCCTTGTCCATGCTGGGGTCGTTGGTGTTGCACACGGGACACTTACACTCGAAGCCCCAGTTCTCTCGCATGACTGCCGCACGGTTGCTCGTCGTTGGCAGCATGTACTCGATAGTGATCTCCTCGCCCTTTTTGATGTCCCGTCTCGCCCTGATGTATTTGACCGCAGAATTGGGTTCGCTATGGGCAATGCCGTTGCTACAACATGAGTGGTTAGCGCGGGCCAGGTCGAGCCACAAACCGCAGAAACCGTCGACAATGAAGCAGTTAGTCTTCATGATGAAGTTCAGCTTGATGTAGTCCTCGCGCGAACTTGGGTTAGTCGTTTGACTATACATGACAGTGTCAACCATCCTGGCAACCAGGGCTTCCTTCGACACGGGGACGTAGGCGTACAGCTGGAGCACCTTTGCCTTGAATGCAGTGCTTAGAGCGTCGAATTGGGTCATGAGGTAGTAGCACGAATTCTGCCATGCGACCCAATCCAGGTTGGGGCACTGGAGGATGGCGTTTCTCGGAGAATGAGCGTCCCATGGGGTATGTCGCGAGTGAATGGCTCCTTCTACACATTCTGGTTGCTCTCTGCAGGTCGTCAGATGGACGATGGGGGCAGCCCTAGGCACAGGCGCAGACATACCTGGGCTCGACCTCTGCCACGGCCTACCTGCCGTGTTACCAAGATTATTGTTAAAATAAAAGAAGCTTCGGCTCCTACAAAATACAGTAAGTCAACTAATCAGCAGCCCATGATTAAACTTACAAGCTTAACCCCATGAATGGAGACGTTGTGCTGTCCTTTTATAGTGGCATTTGAGTACATGTCTGTCCCGTGTACTTTGAGCCCCTGCAGGTCCATTTCTTCCACCCGTGTCAAGGTCAATCTTACGTATGAGGCGGCTTGTTGAACGCTTGAACTCTGACAGAGTACATGTGATAGCAGTGTCTTTCTATATCTAAGGTTGGTGGCAGCCGGTAAAGACAGACAAACAAAACAACACCTGCTGGGAGCTAGGTCCTCCCCTATGCATCTCCCAGCTTTTTCCGAGCCTATCCTTCGTTGGCACATCACCCCTATGTAGTCCCGGCGTGTATTGACTGCGATTGCCGCCGTGATCGTCTAATACCCTACAGGAGGACAGTACACAGCCCACGTGTAGTCCTTATCCTCCACGTTGGCGCACATGGAACCTGGACCCCATATCCCTACCACCCCCTCATGTCCTTCCTCCAACTGCTTGCTTTTCCACAACTTTTGGTAGCCTGCGGAACAATCGTCTTCGCTCTTGAAGAGATAGAACTTGCAGCCGTCTACCAGATTTGCTTGGGCTGATTTCGCGTCTTCGGGGACTGTATCACAAATGTCCGTGAACAAGCCCAGTACGTTTACGACTTCGCCTGTGCAATCGGAGCTTTCCTTCCAGTAAACATAACCTGTGTCGGGCACGTCGGGATTCTTTTCGGAATGCACCAGCGCCGGAAGAACGGCCAGGATAGCAAGCTTGGAAAGGATGGCTCTGGTGGCGACCATGTCGAGTGCGGAAGGTTGATCGTGCAGGAACGTGTGGTTGTGTAATGAAGGACTCGGATAGAATCGGTGAAGCGAAAGTCTTTGCAGATGTCGGGGGGTATTGTTAAAGCAGTTGGGACTGGTATGAATGTGGTATGAGAGGTCTGGATAGAGAGATACAATATGGGCTCTGATGGGGTAGTTCGACGCAGAGGTGCTGAGACAGCTCTCTATATAGTGAAGTTGGGCGACTGTTTCCATTTGATAGTAGGTTTTGTATGTAACTCCACAGTTCGGTTAGCAGGGAACAGCCATTTAGGAAGGACAGTGCAGGCGGTATTACTAGAGGATGATCAACCCCAGAACCAACCCCGGAATCAAAAGGTGCACCAATGTAGGCTATAGTGTCATGCAGCGGCAAATATTACATAAAATTCCAAGGAGGATTAGACGGGCGCCGGCGTGCTCCTACCGAGCTTGGCTGCAAGGGCCGGTCCGCAACCGTCCCAGCTCTTGACTTTGGGGAAGCCACACAACATTTGGCCGTGAAACGTGCCCCTGTTTGGGTCGAATATACCATGGAATCAATGGCTTGCCGTATTTGCGCAACCGTTACTGCCTAATGATCTAGAACATGCCTTGACGCATTTGAGTCCACGTTGCTGCCTAATGATATAAAAATAGAAAACGCTCATTGTGGATATATCTCCTTGCATCGGGCTTGCCCTTATAAACCCCAGGTTACAATAGTAGCCTAGATTTGGCAATGACGGGGGGCAGTTGAGGACAACGACAACAATGCAAACAGACGTCACTGTCTCCTTAAGCTACGAGTCTATCCCATTGACGCCACTCATGTGGAAAAGCACAGAATTCCCTTTGTAGATCACAACAACGATTTCTTTGGTCCATGGCAACACTACTTAGTTGTCCCGAGGACAGGTCTTGGACCCCAGATAACTCTGGCAATTGTAGCTTCCAGCAGAGATCAAAGGCGCCGTGAAAGACCTGTAGACAAGGAAGTACTCCGAACTTAATAATTACATCGCGTCCCCCTTCCCATGTTGTGACGTTATGAGGCCGAATGTCTATCCACCAACGGACCAGCATTCAATCCAATCAAGAATGGTCCCACAACAAACAGCACAAGCCGCATTCGTTTATGCCAATGGGAGACCCTACACCGAGAAGCCGAGTTCCACAGAGCCGCGCTTGTGCCCCGATGGAAGTACATCCCCGAATATCATCGAGTGGCTGGACAGACTCGACGACCCCGTAACCGAGTCCCTGCCAACAACCACACCACCGCCATCACCACCACCATCGCTAGCAGCAGCAGTAGCGGCGTTAAAACTCCCGAACCCTCATCGAAACCGCAAAGGCCTATCCCTGAACACCAATTCTGTTTCTCCCCCGGCTATCCCCCCAAAGAGCCCGCTCAGGGCTTTGCAGAAGGGCATGAACGCACTGAATCTCACGGACGTCTCGAAGCCAGGGGGGAACTTGGGGAAGGTTTCGTCGTTGCCGAGGAGCAAGTACTTCGCGGCGAGGAAGGCAGCTGCTGAGGGCCGCGGCGCAACGATGGCGTGGGGTGGACGGCCGGAGCACTTGAAATAAGTTGGGGTGTTTGATGAAAACGGGCGAATCTTGTCACCCATGCACAACGTATCCAAAGTAGTATGTATGTGAGCGTCATTAATTATAATTAATTTATACTCCGACTGGGAGAAGTATCTAATTAGTAAGTGGCTATGCAGAAGAACAAAAGTTAAGCGATGTAGGATTGGTAAGCCGTGCTGCGACCAAGGGGATAAATGATTTACGCACAGATCAGACAGTCCAGTACTTCAGCTCTTGCGAAGGTAATTTATATTGGGCTGGCCAATCATGGACGTTGCTGGCTTTCCAGGTAAACTGCCCATGTCAGCGTTTCGTAGACATCTCACCTTCATTGATCTCGCGGACGAAGTTCTGGGCATCCTTATGGTAAGTAACGCGGTATAGAACCGAGTCATGTAGACACCCACTTGATGTCACTTTGATGTTCCTGCTAGCACTTTATATTGAAACGTCTCTTAGATATGGTGAAAGGCTTGCCTCCATTGAAGGCATCCCTGATTTCTTCTGCCAAAACTGATCTCAAACGTGTGCCAGTCGGCGTTTAATCACACACACACATACACACACACACACACACACACACGAAGAACCCCCTCCCACTAAATAGCCTTAACCCTCCTCTCAAACCTCGGCAACCTCTTAGTAAACCTCCCCGGATCCTCCCTTGCCCCTTCTTTCCAATACTCATACTCAATCCACGCATTCTCGGGCATCTGCTCCTCCATAGCCGCCATCCACTCGCCCAGAGCAGGCGACAGCGGAATGACGCCCGTCTCCAGCACATACACATCCCACAGCTTCACCAACTCCTCCAGCCTCTCCGGGTGCAGCTCGGCGAGGTCGTGTACCTCCCCGGGGTCCTTGGCGAGGTTGTACAGCTGCCAGCGCTCCGGGCCTTTCGGCTTAGGGATAAACACGATCTTCCAGTCGCCCTTGCGGCACGCGGCGCGCCCGCACGTCTCCCAGCCATTGATGAAGTCCTTTTCGTGGATGCTGTCGGCTTGCTTGGTTAGGTACGGCACCATGGATTTGCCTCTCATGGCGACGACCTCGCGCCCTTGGTATGTAGGTGCCGGGTGCTTGACGCCGGCCATTTCGAGGATCGTCGGTGCGAGGTCCATCACGGTTGCGAATTGGTGCGTTATGCTCCCGGCCGGGATCTGGCCGCTGAAGGACGCGGGCGGCTTCATCATGTACGGGACTCGTACGCCGCCCTCGGTCGTGTACGCCTTGTACAGCCTGCTCGGCGCCGTGGCAGCCTGTGCCCATCTCGGGCCGTACCAGATGAAGGAGTCGCCGTTGCCGAGGTTGTCGATGTGGTTGTTGTAGTACTTCTGCAGGTGCTGGATCATAGTACCCTGGACAATGGGGTACGCCTCGTAAGCAGCACCTTCAGCGCCGTTGTCGGAGAGGAAACAGACGAAAGTGTTGTCGAGCTCGTCGATGTCCTCCAGATACTTCACGATCTTCCCGACATTAGTATCGATGCACTCAACCATGCCCGCAAAGCACTCCATAGCCCGGCACGAGTTCGCCTTCTCCTCCTCGCTCATGTCATCCCACTCCTTGACCTCGTCGGCCACGACCGGATGCGGCTCGACGTCCTGGGCGACCATACCCAGATCCTTAAGCCGCTGCAACCGCTTCTGCCGCAGCGCCTCGGGGCCCTCGTCGTAGACGCCGCGGTACTTCTCGATGTATCCCTGCGGCGCCTGCAACGGCCAATGCGGCGCCGTGAAAGGCAGGTATCCGAAGAACGGCTTGTCGTCCCCGCCGCCGGTCTCCTTCCAGTCCCGCAGGTACTGCAGCATCTTGTCGCCGTAGCCGTCGGACGAGTACCAGCCGTCCGGCAGCTTCTTGACGTACTCGCCGTCCTCCTGGTGCAGCGCGATGAAGCTCATGGTCATGAACTCGGGGATCTGGTCCTTGCCCTCGAGCTGCGGCTCGTATGCGTAGTGGTTGCTGCACGCGGGCAGGTGCGCGAAGCTGCGCTCGAAGCCGCGCGCCTTGGGGCTGCGCTCGGGGGTCAGCCCCAGGTGCCACTTGCCCGCCATGACCGTGTGGTAGCCGGCGTCGCGCAGCATCTCGGGCAGCGCGGCGACCCTCTCGTTTAAGTAGCCCTCGTAGCCGGGCATGCCGCGCTGTACCGACGTCGACATGGTGCCGCTCGGGTCGTTCTGGCCCGAGATGTTGGTCCACTCGATCAGGTTGCCGAGCCCCGCGATGTGGTGGTCGGTGCCGGTCATGATCATGGCCCGCGACGGCGAGCACGCGGCCGCGGCGTGGAAGTCTGTGAAGCGGATGCCATCCTTGGCGAGCTGGTCGAGGTTCGGCGTGTTGATTTCTCCGCCGAACGGCCCGATGTCTGAGAAGCCCAGGTCGTCCGCCAGGGCGATGATGAAGTTGGGTCGTTGTCTAGGCGCCATGGCTCGGTGGTCTATGTAACTGTGTATTTGAGTATCTTCCAACAGGCGAAGGCTAAGGTTGTGACCGATGTGTGTGACGACCGAGGCATTGAGAATGGGGGGTTGGGGTAAATAGCTTCCCAGCTTCCCTATTAATATCGTCAAAAAGAGGAGGTGCCAAATCAGAATCCAGGAGCCCCAGTCCCGGACCACCTTATAGTCGCCTGACAGCTTTGCAACCCCACAGCGACGTCGCACGCAATCGTAGCCATTGATGTTGTGAGATCCAAGTCGCTTGTGCTTGGTGGGTTGGAGATTTCATTCAGACTCCAACCCCGTTTCAAGGCAGTCGAGTTCGCTAGACTCCGGCTTACTGTGCAGTAGTGTCCCCGAAGTCCACCATCGTTGCACAATGGGAACATGTATAACGCATGTCTCTCAGCAGGTATTGCAGGTGATTGGGATCATGCTTCTGTTGCACATCGTCCGCCACGACCAATGATTTACATCGGCTCGCTTTGCCCAGGCGTGCCCAGCTCATCGGCGTGAGGTCTTCTGCGCCTTTAGTGGCCTATCCGACCCCTCCAAGCTCGATCGCTTATGCCCACGATTTGTATCAACTCCCCTCAGCTCTCGAAGCTGCTTGACTTCCCTCGCCAGCTTTAGGGGTTTTGGAAGAGGCCCTCCGAGTTCGAGACCCAGAACCTCCCGCTGCTTGAAGAATTCCCAGCTGCGACGGAACGCGAAACTCTCCTTACCTTGGAGCGGACCCCGTTGCCCCAGGAACTTGTTGAGCTGAGGTCGCCACACACCATATAGAGCGGCCAACAACTGGTCTATGGTCCACTGACACCGGGTCACGAAGACCTTGATCACGGCGCGCACCTGGTCGCAGTCTCTGTCGATGGTCCAAGCTGCCTTCAGTGGTAGTTCGTCGTCTGATTCTACTTGGTTGCCTGGCGTCTTCACGGACCTCCTCGAGGGATGTATAGTTTCGATGGTTTCGCCCCAGCCGAAGTCCGATGTCATATTGCGGGCGGCGAACGCTGGGTTTGGTGCTAAGTCGATGGTGTCATCAATCGCGTCAATGAGCTCCTGCTGCTTCAAGATGCTCTCTGCTTCCTGCAAGTTGATTTTCCTGTCTTCACGGATCTGTTGGGCCTTCGCTTGTCTCTCCGGATCATCTGCCGATGGGATCTTCCTGGCCTTTGACTTCTTTTTGGCGCGCGATTTGGTCTCATCAACGTTCTCTTCCTCTCCTTGGCCGATGACAGCAGCATATGCCTCGACCTCCGAGGCGCTCAAATCCGAAAAGACAGCATTTCGTACATGTTCGCGTTTGTCTGCGACGACCTCGGTATTGATAGCTGCCATCAACCGGTCACGCAAGTAACAGATTGGGACATCTCGTAGCGTATGTTTGTGGTCCGGTCCTAGACGGCCGCCCTGTACCTCGAAATCGTCCCAAGCTATCGCTCCCCAGCAGCCGTTACTGCTCGCGCTGTCGCGCCATATGATCATGTTGTGAATGCGGTCAAGATCCTTTAGTTTGAGCTGTGACGCGGACACAAATCTCTTGAAAGGTTCCTCGCTCATCACAGCCAGGGATAGTCCAGCTAATCTAGGAGCCGAGAACGGCGTCTGTGGGTGGGAGCGTGGGCTGTCGACTGACCGGTCCCATTTGGGGATCTTTTTCTGGCCGGGAAAGCCATCGAAGACTTTGTGATAGACCTCGGTGCGACGGTTTGTGGCGACGTAGACGTCGATGTGGTCTTCAATTGCGTTGGCGACATCTGTCACATTTACGTCGGTGAGCGTATGCTCGGAGCCGTCAGTGCGATAGAGCTTCTTTGCCGGTTCGACATCGTCCCAGTCCTCTGACTCGCAATCATCTCGGCTGATGTAGTCATACTTGACCACGACCTCTTGGAATAATTTGACATGCCTCTTGGAAAGACCGGAGTGCTTTTTGAAGCGGTCGAAAAGGTCAACTCTCCACTGTCAACTTGCTACTCTCCCCGGCCATAAGTCTCCGAGCATCCCTGTTTTACACCAAAACACCCCAACTTTACGCGATCGTGATAAATCGAGTAAAATAGATACAACTTAAGTACTTATAGTACGTATAGTTAAATTTACTGGAATATTAAAATGGTTTATTTAAAAACTTTGACATCTTAAAGATAAAGGTCGTAAATGTTACTTTATTAAAGGTTAAATTTTTGATAAAAATAACTTTCTAACATATCTATTTTTTTATAAAATCTATCACATAAGGTTTTTCGTCTTATACGTGTATTACATGTCATTTAATATTATATAACTTTATTACGACTTATACAATTTTTCAAACATTTTTTATAGCTTTATTAAGATTTAAGATTGAAGATTTTAAACTTTACTTTTATATATCTATTTCTTAATATTTTAGTCGCTAAGAAAATAAATATTTAGAAATTAGTTACGAAAACTTCAGCATTTTCAAATATTAGTTTCTTATAATATCTCATTTTAAAAAGCTTTAAGTCTTTAGTTATAAAAGCGTAAATGTAGGGCATTTTGGTGTAAATGCGGGGATGCTCGGAGACTTATGGCGGGTCAGTGTAGCAAACCTGGCAACTCTGATGAGTGAGCGTGGTGCACGAACATCTTGGGAGGGAGGCATATCCAAACGTCTAGACTGTGCTGACGATTTGAAGCAGTTCAAATGTTGGGATGTTCTTCGTACCCGTGGACGTCTTGTGTTTCGTCTCGAAAGAAAGAAAGACGCGACGCGACTTTCTTTACTTAGGCTGGCATTACGTCATCAGCCCCCGACCGATTCACGGCTCCACGGCAGGCACGGGTCGGCGGGAGGGCAACTTCCTTCCAAGCTTCGAAACAACATTGGAGGTGGTAATTGACAACATCGTAGTCTGAGTCTGCCTTATAGTCCTCGTCACTCGTGAATTGTCATTGTCTTTAACGCGACGGTTTTCCGATGTTGTCAAGATGACCGCCGAAGAGTGAAGCCCGTACAAGGTATGTACTCTCTCACAAACTCTTCATCAGGACGTGCGATCCAACGAAAAGGAACAGCTCTTCGGTCGCAAACTTCGGTTACACCAGCCCTGCCTCCCAATTTAGTCATTTTGCCTATTGCTCGCTAGTATACGGTTCCAGCCCTTCCATCAACTCCTCCCACAACCCATCGTGCCACCCCATCATCTCCTCGTACTCTTCCTCTCTGCTGCACTTCCGGTACATCTGCCACCAAGCCGCGACGATCATATCAGCATACGCCGGCATCTCACCCCCATCAATCCACAGCCCCTTCTCCCTGCGGTAATGCGCGGCCAAACCCCCCAGGCTCACGCGGAACGCCGCCAGCACCTTCGGCCTGTCCTCCTCCCCGACCATCAGGTCCTCCCAGCTGTCGACCCCGAGCCGCCGCACGAACTCGGCCTTGGTCTGCTCGGCCGTGGCCGGGTCCCACGGATGCCGGTCCAGGATCATGCACGCGTTGGTGAAGATGGCGTCGACGTACTTGTTGAACGCGGACACGAGCCCCGCTGTGCCCGGGGCGATGAGCTGTGGCCGTCTGCTGCTGTTGTCCGCCGGGTACTGCTCGTCTAGGTACACGGCGATGTCGAAGGAGTCGCCGATGGTGCGGCCCGTCGCCGGCTCCACGATGACAGGTAGCGTGTAGAAGGGCTGCTCGTCGGCGTGCCAGCGCACGGGCGCGCAGTTGAGGCTCCGGCGCGTGCGCTCCACGTCTGGTAGCTCGACCCAGTGGGTGCGGTAGTGTACTCGCTTGAAGTTGAGAGCGAAACTTGTGGCATATGTCAGTACTCTGGACGTCAAGTTGGAGCGAGATGGGTATGAGTTCTCACCGCGTCTTCCACGGGTTGGGTGCGTAGCTTCTCTTCGGCGGCCCCGAGGCAATGTCGTAGAAGATAATGGGCTCTGCCATTGTGAGGTGAGCAGTGTGGTGGTTGCTAGTAGTAAGGTTTGTCATGCAATACACGGTTCTGTTGATATCGGAAGCGACGCTCTTTACGTATGAACGTGCTCTCTGGGCCTGTGGAGGATGTTGTCTATCAAGTATCAAGCCTCAGGAGACGAGCCTACGACTACTTTATACCCCAAGACTACAAAGCGCCGACAGACCTCAGTATGACTGTTAGTGTGCCCATTTCAGGTCAAGCGCAAGACTAGTGGAACTGAATCACTATGAATCATTCTGGTTCATGTTGGTGCGGTAAATTACCACGTGACATCGTCTGGTCCTACCTTTCCCCGTCAAGAGCTTGCATTTTCCCCATCGATCCATTGAAAAGCAGCACCGCCGCAGAAGAACCATTTACCCTAGACATTGCTTAAAGAGCTGACGTACACCTTGGCATGAAGCCGAGGCGATTTGTATGACCCGCCATGTTCTCCAGGTAGGCAGCCGCCGGTCGCAGTTGTCGAGTTGTTGTTATATCTAAAGGGGCACAAACCTCTAGCATCAGGATGCAGTGGAAATCGGACCTCTATGTAGGATGTTCCCAAAACTTCGCGCTATAGACCACCGAAGCGGTGCGTGATTTACCCATCCCTTTATCCGGAAATGCAGACCCAGTATTAGGGTGCGGGGTGAAGCATCCTGACAGGAGTCCATCGTTCAAAAGCCGACGAGGCCCAAGTATGAACCTTCATTGGGTTGAAGGTGAGATGCATGTGAAGCTATATACCATGGCGAACCTAGGTATGCTCACAAGAGTGTTCCTCGTCCTTGCGGCTCTCACACCTATTGCGCAAGGCACTCAGCCGCACGCGGGTAACTCAACCTACTACAATCCCATCCTTCCCGGCTTCCACCCTGATCCTAGCTGCATATCCGTCCCTAAGTGGAACGACACGTTCTTCTGTGCGTCTTCGAGCTTCAATGCGTTTCCGGGTATCCCCATACATGCCAGCAAGGACCTGCAGAATTGGAAACTCATTGGTACGTCTAACACCCTGATGGTGTTCGGGTGATTACTCACAATTATATATGCGAAGGCCATGTGCTCAATCGACGCGAGCAGTTACCACGTCTCGCTGAGACGAACAGATCGACCAGGTGTGTTCCCCGGTGTCTTGGTCTGTGGGAGGCTGGGAGCTGGACTGATTCTACTACCAGCGGTATCTGGGCACCGACACTGAGATATAATAACGGGACGTTCTGGTTGATTACTACGCTGGTCGACGATGACCGCGACGCCGATGATGCATCGCGATGGGATAACGTAAGAAGTTTCGCAACTGCTTGAGAACCCCCGATACTAAAGAGCGAATTAGATCAGCTTCAGATCTGATGATCCTTTTGACCCTGCTTCGTGGACCGTCGCCACGCACTTCAACTTTGAAGGCTACGATACTTCACCGGTATGGGATGTCGACGGCAGAACCTACATCGTCGGGTCACACGCCTGGAAAGTCTTGTGAGTCTTCCGTCCGTTGGGCATCAGTTGGGCATCGGTATCACGTCTCAGGGTCGTTCTGCTAACTGAGGAAAGCCCTGGCATTCAGTTAGCCGAGGCGGACTTGGACACCGGCGAAGTCGGCGATTGGATGACGATTTGGAATGGTACAGGGGGCACGGTAGGTCTGACTCGCAGTTCTGGAATCGGCAGCTGATGAAGAAACCAGGCACCTGAGGGACCTCATATCTATCTCAAGGATGGCTGGTACTACCTACTAGCAGCCGAAGGTAGGAAAAGAGTCCGTACAGCATTGACTGGTACAAGTTGATGAGTTCTGCGTGACAGGTGGCACTGGCCTGGAGCACATGGTCACGATGGCCAGATCGAAGAGTCTCCATGGTCCCTACGAGGACAATCCCCAAGATCCCGTGCTTACGAATGCGAACACGACCAGTTACTGTAAGTACCTAAGGTTAATGCGATACTGATATGGCAACAATGGTGCTGACTTTCGTCAAGTTCAGACCGTAGGCCACGCAGACCTGTTTCAAGATAACACAGGCAATTGGTAAGAGCACCGAAACTGTGCGCAGACTCAGGTGCTAACTGGCAGCGCAGGTGGGGTGTGGCCTTGTCGACGCGATCAGGGCCAGAATATCTATACTACCCCATGGGTCGCGAGACCGTCATGGTACCAGTCACATGGGAGACCGACGAGTTTCCAATCTGGTCTAAGGTCAGGAGTGAGATGAGCGGCTGGGTCATGCCACCTCAGGACATCGACATCGGCGGGAGAGGGCAAGTAGGCCGTCCGTCGTGTAAGAAAGCATCCAGCTGACTGTCCATAGGCCATTCATCGATGAAGGAGATGCCATCGACTTTGAGCCAGGATCCGAACTACCAGCGCATTTCACGTACTGGAGATACACGATCGCGGAGTCGTATACCATATCACCGCCAGGGCACCCAAACACACTTCGACTGAGCCCCTCGAGCCTCAATCTCACCGCTTTGGACGGCAACTACGCGGGTCCGAGTGGGCAAACGCTCGTTGGACGCCGTCAGCAAGATACCCTGTTCACATACAGCGTCAACCTTGATTTCGAGCCAGCAGCTATCGAAGACGAGGCAGGCGTGACAGTCTTCTTGACGCAGAATCACCATCTAGACTTGGGCTTCGCGATGCTTCCGGCGAACAGCAGCACCATGGCCTTTCCAGGGACAAACTCGACCTTGAATACCAACTCGACAGAGCTAATACCGCAATTCCGATTCAGAGGAATATCCTATATCCCCGTTCCAGACGATGTTATTGCGCCTATACCTGCGGCCTGGGTCGGCAGGACACTAAAACTCGAGATCAGGGCCAGCAACATGACGCACTACTCGCTCTCTGCTGGACCGGCCGATGCCATGTCTGAGATGAAGACCATCTTGGATGTGTCTAACGATGCAGTTAGTTGGGGGTTTACAGGTAAGAGCTTCTTGTGTTGTCTGGTGTTCGATATGGTGCTGACGTAATTGAATTCAGGGGTAATATTGGCCATTTACTGTACCAGCAATGGTCATCAAGGAAATACGCCTGCATACTTCTCGGAATGGAGATACACACCACAGGGGCAGTTCAGAAGCTAGCTTTGCGACTGTAGAGGAAACGTAGAGTATGAAGGGTCATATCACCAGGCAGAGTCCTGAGCTTGTCGCCGGGGCGTGTCTGCTGAGCGTCAACCCGGTCGAGAGACTTACACACAATATTCAGGCAGATAGTCGTCCACATCAACACCAAATAACTTCGGATGATTTTCTTGAAGCCCATGATAATCCTTCATAAACATACGCGACTTAACGCCATCAAGTCTCTTCAATTCCCTTAGATGAACCATTCTACCGAGGTCAATTCGAGCTCGACTGGGCTTGAACCTTAACTCCGTCGCCCAGGCCCCACATAAAGAATATAGTGTACCTAGGTAGTATGTTAACTATCTCAGGCTAGCTTGTATGCACAGACCAAGCGGATCGGATAAGCGCCAGAAGTGACTTATGTACATACATACATAGGACTCTGACGTCACCTGCAGCTGTGACTCCTGCCGCTGCAGCCTGGCCGGCGGTTACCCCCCTTCAACCACCATTCCTTCATCAACATACGACACGTTCTCACCAAGGGAACCGAAAGATTCTACCTCACCTAACAACATCTCCCCAATACCGCCACACAGAGACACCAAGATGTTCCACCTCACCGTCTTCATCCAGCTCTTCCTGGCCGCCCTGGCCTTCGCTGCGCCCATCGTCGACGAGACCGTTACCGCCAGCGGTGGCGCAGCTCCATGGCAGTACGGCACCGGCGGCGGGATCCTCGGATTCATAGTCTTGGTTCTCGATATCATCGTCTGGAGTGCGTACCCAAAACACCTCGCGCTGCGCTTGCTTTTCGAGAGTTAATGCTGACCAACCACCTCTCACACAGTTGAAGTCCTGAAGTCCAACCGTCCCGTTAGCCCCAAGCTCCTGTGGTGTGTGCTCGTCTTCCTGTTTCCCGTCGTCGGCATAGTGGTCTACTGGCTCTTCTCGAACCGCGAGGCCCACAACTCCGGCGGATACGAGCCCATCTCGTAAGCGGTTTCGATGGACACTGTGATCTCAGATCGGCAACTGATGGAAAGAGGAGGAGTGCAATGCTTCCTATCGTCTCAACTTGTTAGCGGCACCACGAAAAAAATGCGTTTTACTCGGTCTTGCCGCAGGGGATGTGCCTTCTCTGGCGCAAAGCAACGATTTCATTACGCATACGATATGACTTGGGCTTCGGGGAACGGAAACGGTCAAAGGGGAGCGTGAGAGAGAACTTCGGAAGTCGTCATCAGGCAGACAGGCAGTCAATTGGTTCTTTCTAAATGAGTCTACACTCAGCCCTCATAAGTCTCCGTACGCGCATGTTGGCAAGATTCCAGACCACCAGTGGGATAGTTGGAAATACTGGAATAAGCATACAGCAATAAGCAGCTCTAGGTTGATATCTTGTTTTTCATGCTTATTCCAGCGTGCTTATTCCAATTCGATAATTTTGCCGTTGTTTGCTGGAAGCGCCGCGTACGGAGACTTATGAGGGTTCAGTGTAGGGTCTTTCCAAACGAAGATCCAGATCACAAGGGCAAATTCGTCCCTCTCCCGAGGCCAGCACCCAGCCAAGTGAACAACCACCATGCGGACACATCGTCGACTGATTTGGTGCCACTGTGTAGGAACTGCCATGATCAAATTGGTTGTCGTCGACTGGTGGGAGCAGCATCGGGAGTCTGATGGCGGAGCATGGGGACAAGCTCGCGTTGCGAAGCTGAGTGTCTCGACGTGGCTCTGCTCATGCAGCACGTCAGTTTCGTCAAGGGTGGCTAAGGAAAGCATAAATGCTGCCGGGGCTGATCTCTTGAGGTACCCAATGCCGGAACTGACTGCCAAAGTGAGTACTCCCTTCCCCATACCACGTAGAGTGTGATACAAGACACCGTGGTCCCCCGTGGTCCCTCATGGCAATGGGGGTAGCAGGCCTTCGAATCACGCCTCACGGCAGATGAGATCCGGTCAACATGTGGGAAACGAACATGCGAAGATTCCGTCTGCTAGTTAGTCGATTGATGCAGGACCCTGTTGACTCTGTACCCTCATAATAACTACGGTGGGAACTCATGACTCGACGCGACGCGATATTCTCAATGATCCGAACATGCTGGAGAGGGTGAGTGAACCTGGCTGGCGTACTCCTCGCTGGAACTTACGCATGGCGAAGCGAACGAGGGATCGAGATTATCAAGCTGACATTGGCTCATGGCCATCTCATCCTCTGCTTCTACGCTTCCACACCACAGGTGGGACCGACGCGAAACTCGGAAGAGTAGTCGGGACCGACTCCGATTGACCCGCGGCTTCGATCCTCGGTCCAAGCTCCTGTTTATGAGTTCCAGACAGATGGTGGGTTCTCGAGTGTCCCCGAGCGGCGTTCTGATATCACATGTGTCGGGTATCCCGTGATTGGCTTCAGGGGACCGACGGGTATCGGGAACTTACTCTTTAGGCTCAACACTAAGAGATAGCTCCCGCTATTCAAGATGCTAGAGAAAGGTAAAAATGAGAATAGGTTCCGCACGGGCAGTTCTAGCTGAGGCGTACGTGTTGCTACACTGCCACTAGTTTCATGAAGTTTCAAGAATGAGACCGTTCCCGTCGACGAAATAGTTCAGTTTCACGGCCCGTGGTAGCATGCTCTCCCGAGCAGAAGGTTTTCGTTTTCGCGCCCTGATATATCGGACAACCTTGAAGACCTCCTGCTTGTCTCAAGTGACAGACACACGGGTATTCGACGAGGTACGATCTTGCCGTCAACGCTTACAGAGGAGACTAGGTGCTCTCGTTCCTTGACTCACGGGACGAGCCCAATCTTGACACTTCGCCAAGAGCGGTTATCCGGGTCTGGGCCAACTCAATACTGGTGAATGGATGGCTGTCAGATGCGACGGCGACTGTTTTATCAGCAGCTTTACCTTTAAAGGGGTTATCGGCCATGTGTCGACGACGCCACATGCTAATGATATGCGCAAGACCTCGACGGACAAGCGCCTACCGTAGCTACATCATCGCTAAGGATGGGAAGACCCTGAAAAAGAGTGGCTGGTGGCTGGCCTCCATAAGGCAGCCAGTCGCTAACCTCGGAAGATGGTGAGTCGGCCAGACTTCTCGGACGACAAGAGCTTTTACGAATTGATTCCCATAGCATTTAACCTCTTTTTGTGCGACAGGTATAGGCTGTTAACCACCCCGAGCTCTTATCTACTACTGGTCTCTTACAGGGTGTATATGGCTTTTGACCCCTAAATTCCCACTACGTGACAACCCTCGTCGTCCCGAAACCCATACAGACATGGCTAACCTCCTGCACATCGAGTCCAACATCCTCCCAGTAGGCAGTCGGTGGATCGTCCTCGTCGGACTCGGCGCCGCCCTCCTCATATCGTTCATCGACCAGAATGCCGTGTCGATCATCCTCGCCGACCTGGGTACCGACCTGAGGGCGGGCGATTCCATATCTTGGGCCGGCACTTCGGCACTCATCGCCAATACCGTCTTCCAGGTGTTCTATGGCAGGATATCGGACATCTTCGGGAGGAGGAACGTGCTTCTGGCGTGTATGGGACTCATGGCGCTTGGGGACTTGCTGTGCGGCTTTGCTACGAGTGCACCCCAACTTGTAAGGAATCTGCGTTGATTTTATGGTACTTGAGGCCACTTGGTCTCGGAAGTCGGATCAGATATTTGAGGGCAGCGTTCTCCCGGCAGATGAAGCGGTTACCCCTTCTCCGGGATGTTCTTGTTGGGACAGTACTGACATTAGTTAATGCAGTACCTGTTTCGCGGAATCGCCGGGGCTGGCAACGGTGGTGTCGGGGCTCTAGCCAACATCATTGTCGCCGACACATGGACCCTTGAAACACAAAGGCCCAAGTAAGCCACCCGAATCCTGTGTTCCCGCAAACCCAGCATACTAACGACGGGAATCACCACAGGTACCAAGGCATTCTGGGAGCCTTCATCGGCCTGGGAAGCGTCATCGGCCCGTTCCTAGCGGCAGCGATCGCCAACTCGTGGAAATGGCAGGGGTTATTCTGGGTCATCAGCACCATAACCTTCGTCTGCGGCATCGCCGTGCGGCTCACGGTGCCGGAGAGCGAGATCCGAGACGCGTCGGGCCACAGGCCGTCGGTCAAGGCCAAGCTCGCGCTGGTCGACTGGTGGGGGCTGCTGTCGAGCTCTCTGGGCATCATCCTCCTGCTGATCCCCATCTCGTCGGGCGGCGAGGAGTTCGCCTGGGACTCGGCGGTCTCGGTCTCGACGCTGACGCTGGGCGCGCTGCTCATGGTCCTGTTTGTCGTCATCGAGTGGCGCTGGGCCGCGATGCCGCTGCTGCCGCACCAGTTCTTTACGAACCCGCCGGTGTGCGCGATTATGGTGCAGAATGTCTTCATGGGCGCCGTGTGGTACTCCGGTCTGTACTTCATACCCATCTACTGCCAGGGCGCACGGCAGTGGTCCCTCATGCAAGCCGCCATTCTCACGACGCCGCTCTTGGGGAGCCAGGCCATTGTGTCGATTCTCTCGGGACTGTACATGTCGCATTACAATAGTTACGGGGGCGTCATATGGTGCGGGTACGGGCTCTGGACTCTGGGCAGCGGCCTCACGTTGCTGTGGGACGACACCACCACACCAGGCGTCGTGGTGGCGACCCTCCTCGTCATCGGCACGGGCGTAGGCCTGGTGTTCCAGCCGACGATCCAGGCCCTGCAAGCCCACACTGCAAAGGAGGACCGCGCAGCCGTCATCTCGGTCCGCAACTTCACGCGAGCGATGGGCGGTGCCGCGGGTCTCGCCATCTCGACCGCCGTCTTCGCCAGCCAGATCGAGTCGGGCGTCGCGTCCCTGCCTGCCGAAGCCCGGCGGCGCGTCACGGAGGAAATCATCTCCGTGCCGGACTTGAAGACGTTCACGGAAGACGAGGCTCGGACGGTGACGGGGGCTCATATCGCCGGGTCGCGGGCTGTATTTCTGATGTGGGTCGTGCTGATGGCCATCTGTCTTGCGCTGTGCGTCTTCATCAAGGACCGTGGCCTCACGCGAGAGGTGGTTGGCGAGAGTGAGGATACGGAGGATAAAGATTCTAGTGAAAATCGCTCAGGATCTACATCCCGTAACGAGGAAGTCGGTCCGGTCAACCAATTGTTTGCGAGCCAGGGCACTGGCGCGGATTTGGGCGAGACCTCGCGGGTGGCTTCGAGTGGTTCGTATCCGGATAGTGTACATGGTACTAAGAAGGAGTCTGCTGGGGAAAGGGTTTAGAGGGACACAAAACTTAGCGGTCATTGATGAGCTGGATGATGACGATAAATAGTGTTTAGATTTAGCCCAAATGCTGCCATTAACTGCTTGATATTCCTATCGCAAGTATCGCGTCAAGTTACACCCCAGCTCAAGGGCTTCACTAGCTCAGTCACCAGAAAGGCGTCCATGAATGCCACACATATTATTTCAACACGGAACGACTTCACGAGGACGGCACATGTGCACATCTAACAGAGCGATATGCCGAAACGGCAGAAGATATCGGCAGACTATAGACGCGATGGCGAGTATGAAGGTATGTGCAAGAAGCCAAAGGTATATACGGAAATGAATAAAAGTATGGGCAGGAAGCGAAGGTATGTGCAGAAACGTAGGAAAGAAGTCAGTCAACCAACCCGCCCCCGAGACTCCCCGTAGATGCAGCAAAAAGATCCCACCCACTCCACTCCAACTCCGGCCTCTACCTCTCCCCTCCTACCCATCCATGCCTCCTCACGAAGACAGGTATTGCGCCACGTAATCAACCTCCATCATGCTCCCATACCCATCCAGCGTATTAGCATTCGGCGCGCCCGGCTAAAATTCAAGATCTCGTCAGCAAAATCCCCATCTCCCAACCAGAAAAAAAGTCAAGTCACAAAGATAATCGCAAAGCAAGCACTCACCCAGTCCCCACCCACAGCAACATTAAGGATAAAATAAAGCGGCGAAGCCACCAGCGTATTCCAGACCGCTTGGTTGCCCTGCGTGTACGTTAGCATCCTGTCCTGTCTTCCAACCCGTACGGCCGTTTTCTAGTTCTAGATGAAGAGAGAAACGGAAGAACAAAGCTGGTACTCGAAACCGAAACCAAGGCTCAGGGTCTTTGTGATGGGGATGTTTCTATACGTACGATGCGCGCCCCCGTGACCTGCTGGAACTGCGTCCCGTCCATGAACCACGTGATCGTCTCGCCCGTCCACACGCTGGCGCGGCGATCCCACACGATGCGCCACGTGTGCCATCCCTGGTCAGGAATCGCAATAGACCCCCCAATACCAGTCGGCTCATTGCAGGCCCCGCCGGGGTATTGGTCGCAGTGGACGGTGCCGTAGCCCGTCAGCAGCCCGTTGACCGTCTCCAGGATGTCCAGCTCGCCGCACTCGGGCCACGCCGTGCCGTGGCGGATCGAGTCGCCGAGGGTCCAAAAGGCGGGCCACAGCCCGGCCTTGTTAGCCACGGCGTTAGAGCCGAACCGGATCTTGGCCTCGGCCATGGTCTGCCGGCCCGCCGTCGGCGTGAAGGTGTAGGTCGACTCGACGCGGCCGGATGTCCACGCGCCTGAGGCGGACTCGAGGGGCACGATCTGCAGCGTTGCGCCGCCGCTTAGCTGCAGGTTTTGCGTCGAGGAGGTGTAGGTTTGCCATTCGTTGTTGGCGCTGGTGCCGGTGATGATGTTCCACTGCGGCGGAGAGAGTCAGTCACAACGTCTTTGGGTGTGGTGTTTGGAAGTCCAGGCGGTCTTGGACTGCTTCTTCATGTCCGCCAGGAAAGGACGAGACGAAATAATTTGGTTGGCCACTCACGTTGCCCGTATTGGGCAGCTGTCCCGCGGACCCAGCAAACGTCTCGGTCCAAATAGTATTCCACCCACTATAGCCCGGTGCGGCCTCCGCAGACACGGCAGTCACCGCAGCGGCGATAGTCAGAAGCTTCGCAAACATGGTTCTATGCCACGCTGATAAAGGACAGTTGGGTGGGTATATAAGTAGGTACTGGTATAGAAATAAGCGTGTGTATATAATAAGGCTTCGTAGCAATATGTACAATATCGAAGTAATGGAACTCGGTCCAAGAAGTCAGTCAGAAAGGAGTGTCAGAAACCAGCTGTGTGAAGCATTGGTAAAATGAAGGGCTAAATGCGACGACAAGACGGCATCATCACGACTTGGTGGATGGGAAAGGGGGGATATCAGCCGTTATATACCTAGAGGCTCTGACGGCCATGCCTGAGGTGCAGTACAGCTGATATGAAAAGGTAGAGAAGGGAAACGCAAGTAGAGAGGTGGTCTTGCGCCTCGGCTTGCAACGCCCGGAGTGAGGTTCTCGTGGTCTATGAAGGGGCCAGAATGACCAGGGGACGTGCCTGCGTAGGGTGGCATCGCCACATCCGGTAGGGTCTGCGAGAGGAAAACTGCCAGCAATAGCGAGAAGACAGACCAAGACAAGGCACGCGCGTCGCATGCCACGAGCGACGGAGCGTGGTCTGGCCCGCCTACCCCAAGAAGTGATGAAGTCGAAAGAGAGACGGAGAGTCGAGAGTGGCCGAGAGGAGATTACACCAGCAGACCAGGACAGTCGGCGCCGGCGGACAAGGGTGCAGCATGTTGTACGTAACCTACCATAACCAGGGATCCTCGAGTTCATCGGGCACCGGATCGTGGACAGCATGCTCGTGGCATCAGACGTGTGCCTTTGCCGATGTACTGTGCATAACGCGCACACGCTGGGCTGGAGGGGAGTGGTATGACAAGAGAGAGCGAGTTGTATAGCATGGAGGTAACACATGCAAAGTGCCGCATGGCATGGCATGGGAACATGGGATCCATGTTCGACGTCAAGGCCACAGGTAGCACTCCGCGCGTGGCTATTGACAAGCTGTGTGACCCCTGAGCGTAATGAGCGGCATGGATGATGGATGGTAGTCGTTGGATGATATGAACGCTCGACGCTTAACTCCGCGACATGGAGTCAGTCCCTTCGTACCCCTGAGCGGAATCGTGGAAGGTAGATCGAGTAAGTGTGGCACTTAACGCGCCTGATTGGGACGCGGCGCCCTGTGATCTAGATACCTCTCTTCTTCCTTCTTTGATCTTTCAGCCGATGTCACGACAGGGGGATGATCAAACCGACGGGGAGCGCGTTCGACGTCGGCATTGGCTGCAGATCACCGCGCGACGTCCTGCCTTCATTTGCCGGATCTGCGTCGTCGACGCATCTGGGCTTGGGCCGTGCATATCTTGGGTAAAGAGGCGTTTCTTCCATATCATATATGTCATGTCATCAATCTGAAGATTATTCATCCAGTGTCTCGGATGCGAACGAAGTCTTTATCGAAGAACAGCCATAACAGAGGCGAGAAGACGCGAAGGTCAAGTGACGCAGGGCAGAAAGATGAGGTATCAGGAGCGGTGAGCCTCGGACCTGATCTGTTGATGTCCTGTCTCACGGCGGTATAGTAGTCCCTCGGCAGCATGTTCCCGTGGCAGAGGCCCCATGCGGTGGTCGGCTACACACAGTCATACCTGGACGGACTGACAGACGGACCGAGTACAGGTAAGACGCTGTACATGTCTTGGTATCGTGGGGTCGCAGTCTGGCAGCTGATCGCCAATTTGTACCTGCGCAAGCCCCGCGTGGTGTTGAGGAAACCGGGGTAGGAGATGGGGAGCAGGTGGGCGGCGTCTGATTGGAGGTGTTTTGCAAAGCAGTATATTGAGGAGTAATGAGAACGCACTGGTCCTGACTCATCAGATGTCCAGTCAAGTGTCAAATGTCAAATGTTACCAAATCTCTCCAACCCCAGGCCCAATAGGGAAGCTCGCAGACATAGAGGATTCGCAGACGACCGAGGAAGCGCCGCGGAAGAACATCTCCAAACCTGGCCTGATAAGTTTCATTTCCCTCCCCCAACTTTCTGGCGTGGATGTCAGTGTCATTTCGACAAGACAAGTGCGGAATTTCGGGACAATTGCTGCTTTCGGACACGTCGGTGACCAAGCCGCTGGTTCGATATGCAGGTACTGACTGCCAGCAGAGCAAGCGAGCACATGTGCAAGCAGGGCGCAAGAGATGGTCACCAAACCAGAAACTGAGCGAGTGCAATGGGCGATCAAGGTAACGTATCCTCTTAAACTAACATCAGCTTTATCGTCGCGCGCAAAAGTGACCAGCGTCCCTCGAGTCGACCATCACGAGACTCTGGTGCTGGTGATGTTGGCGGAATTTTTCGATTCCACCACTGCGGCCTGCCTGTCGGCGGAGACCAGCCCACAACAGCGTCCTTGTGTTCAGTTGGCCTTCCTCCTCATCGCTGTCCAACTGCTCTCGAAGCGAGTATTGGCGACCGCTATGGAATGCCTCTGCTATCTGCTCGCAGATACGCCAGATGCGGCGTCGTTCGCGGCTATCATCATCGGTCCCGTCATCCACAGCGTCAGCGTACTCGCCTTGTCCGCCCAAAGGCATAATGTATCTCTGGGTTAGTCCTTGACCTCCCACCCCTCGTCATCGAGGAGGTTCAGAAGCTCGAAGAAGTACAGCATATGGCGCCTGAAGTGCGACTTCCAGGACAGGTCGTTGCCCGCCAAAGCAGAGATTACGACCGGAGAAGCTTTCAAAAGTCTGTCGAGATCCTGGACACTCGTGGGTGCGGAGAGGTCGACTGCCCAGCCTGCGATTGCTGTTTTGACAGCGTTCCAGACGAGTGCCGAGTAGTATGGCTCACTAACGAGATATCCCTGCCCAATCCTCACAGTCCACTGCTCGCCGTCAGCGAGACTCTTGTGTCCATCATGGTAATCTAGACGCAGACATCTTGCTTCACGCCAGCTTAGAGCGCCCATAGCTTAGATGAGGCAGGGTGAAGGCTTGAGCCAAGAGCTCTATACATCGGTCATGAAACGAACAGATATGCGGGATATGGAGAGCCGTGATCGTTCATCTTCGTCGTGTAACGGCTAAACACCCGCTGCCGACTCCCATATTACGAGGTCTATAATAGTCCTTGGCCAAGGCGGACGGACCAAAGCCCCCGTAAATCCCGGGGCCAGACACAAGATATCTATCAATGAGTCAGCTGGCATATGTTACTCGCCCCTTTGGCACGAACTTCACTGCTTAGTCTGTTGGTCGACTGCAAGTAGGGTGAGTGGCTGTGGTCCAGTCGACGAGAGGGTTCGGTCCGCCGTGGCTATCGAGCACGGGATTCGTACCGTCTACAATGACATCACGATCATATAAACTCTCCTCCACCTCACTGCTGATTTCTGCTCATCGTCGACAACACCAGGGAGATCCACGTGAACCCCGGGCCAGGATGGCATTGAGAATATAATGGGTTGCACGGGAGTTGTGCCTTGTACGCCCGCCGCAGTCGAGATAAGGGTGTGCGCAGCGTCTTACTGACTTTAGCTCCATCGAAGGAGCTGCCGCAAATGGCGCAATATATCGTCTCCGTCATCATGTTCTGCTTCTCGAGAATGTGATAGGTTTGGTGTCTTATTAGTAATGTCCGAGAAGAAAAAGAGACTGGCGGTCCATCTTGCCAGGTCCAGCTTATACACACACACGGTCTGCCTCATGTCGAAGGCCGTATTACCCCCTTGGTTTCCTCAGCGACAAGATACTTAACGTCCACAGTACTGTCAAGCGGTCAAGCTCCCACTTTCGCAGTCGGAATCCTGTGTGAGGCCGTAAAGCTCTATAAGGTGCAGATTTGGGGGCGTGGTTGGAGATGTTGCGCGCTTCTCAGTTTGATTCGAAACTCTGTTTGCTTCAACCAATAGTCGCATTTGTAGTCATCTTAGTTTCTGAATAGCCGCAGTCCCTCCTCCTCAACCGACACGCCTCCCATCTCCTCATCCGAGTCTCCATCCTCGTTCAACGCCATCTTCTGACCGAACAAGGTCCCGAAGAATCGGTCGATAGCGCTCTGTTCCCAAGTCCGGCGGTCTTCCGGCGCCATGAAGTTCTGCAGTTTTTCATGGACGGTGAACCGCATCTTCCTGCCCTTGCTCGCCTTCGTGTCGACGTGCCGCTTGGCCTTTGCTTCTTTGACTGCCGCGTAGCGTATAGTCGCGGCTTGCATACCCGCTCCTGACGTCTCGCTCGTCCGTTGATCGACGAGCTCCTTTAGAAGAAGTTGGTAGAAATCGGCATCGTCAAAGATCTCAGGGTCTTCATTGACCTTCTTGGCAACCTGCACAGGGGCACAGGATCGAGGGGTCCGCGTACGTTTGACGAGTCTCTCTGGAGCGTCCAACTCTTCATCTAGTCGCACTGTGATAGGCTTTTCGGAACTCTTGACAAACTTGCGATCTGACTGCTCCAGTTTTATGTTTTTGGTGGTGCCAGACCATTTCTCGAGCACCGCCCTGCGACGTCCAATTGCCCGGCCCTCTACAGCTTCCATGTTGTTCCACATATCTTGACTGGGTGTATCAACGTCGGCGTGGCGTTTCCTCTTCTGGCCTGCTTTAGCCGTTTCAGGTTGTAGATTCGAGCGGAAATTGTCAATCGCATTCCAAAGCTTGACCGCGGCAGCTTCGGCGGCTTCGTAAGGGGCTTGTTCCTCTTCGGTTTGCTCAATGGAGTTGAGCGAGTTCACCGCGACAAGCGACTTCTGCATACGGATGCGGATGTGCAGTAGCGCGTCGAACGTTTTGCGCTGCTGTCGAACTGCCTGGCCCTTGGCAATGTCTTTCTGCAGGCCTTGTGTCAATGCGCCTGTCACACGCTGTTGGCCAGAAGTCAACATCTCTCCCATAGATTTCCGAATTGATGCGCCATCGACCCCCGTAGGTTCTTCGGCATCACTGTCACTTTCGTCCTCCTGACTCTCGTCGTCATCGTCATCCTGGCTCTCCTCGTCACTGGCGGCGTCGAGTTCTTCGTCTTCCTCGTCGTCTTCGTCGTCGTCTTCCTCCTCTTCGTCGTCGTCTTCATCATCTTCCCCGGATACTTCGGCTTCATCGTCGATCAGGCCACCGAACTCCTCGTCACCAAAAGATTCTTCGCCCTCGAGCATCTCTTCATCAGACCCTTCCTCATCGTCGTCCAAGTCAGAACCGGCGGCGTCATCCTCTGAGGACGACCCCATGTAGTCCGCAGCAGTAGGCCATGTCACACGCTTCCCCTTCCCCTTCTTAGGCGTCGCCTGCGAGCTGCTCCTGAACACGAAATCCTTGAACCGTTCCTCGTCGCTTTCGTTGAAGGCCTCGTCGCTGTCGATCTCGGCGTCCTCCTGGCCTTCCTGGTCGGCTTCGAGGTCGGCAGTGTCGGGGTCGTCAAAGTCTTCGCGGGCGTCTTCGTAGTTCGACGAAGCTTCGCCGTCGCTGCCGGCCTCCTCCTCATCTTCGTCTCCGCTACCATCTTCCTCGAGATCGGCGCGGCTTACACGAGCGCCGCGGTATTGGGGTCCGAGGGAGATTTGGTCTTTGCGACGGAGTTTGCTCTTGCTGCGATTTGAGGTGCTGTCAGCCTAATGCTATCATTGAAAAGGGTAAAGGAATGCGCCCTACCCTACGTTGACATAGTGCTCCGTCCCAGCGTCCTCGTCGACACTCAATTCTTCGCTACCGCTCGCGTCTTCTTCGACCGGCGCATCTGCTTCTGGGTCGTAGTCTGCCGGCAGTACTGGTTAGCTCTAGGCTCTCCACATGTAGATGAATGCTGGATGGGCGAGCGTACCTTGTACGGGACGGTCTTCCAATTCGGCGAACTGCCGAGCATGGCCCTTGGCTTTGCCCATATCTGCGTATTTGACAACCGTGACAGTTGAGATGACAGACGATTGTAGCACGCTGCAGGTGAGACCGTGAGAGTCGAAGCGCTGGTGGGGGAGCACTTGGAATTTTTTAGCGGGGAACGCCGGCAGTATAATTGAATCCACCGACGGTCCGGTGATGAGATCTCCACCGGCCGCTAGGAGCTCGAGTTGTGCTATTGCAATCCATATCTCGACTGGATCCCATCATAATACTCACTACAACGTGGTGTTGATCCTCGGGTCTCTTTTCTTTGTATTATTAGCATCTAGTGTGCCTGGTGTGGGAAAACGTCCGGGTTGAGTTCAGAAGACTTTCTCATGGAGGTGACCCTCCAGCGTCCAACACATTTAATTCAGGCTCATGAGTACAGACTTGTACGACACCGCGAGCGCAGCTCGACACCATATTCGCAATGAGACCACCAACAAATAGACTATTCAGTACGCTACGAGCACTCCAACATGAAAATCCACTGGTACTACATCCCCTCAAACCATCACACCAGGTCAACCACCAGAAGCCAGCTCACAACTGATCGTACACAGGGGCTCCCCCGAACCGGGTCTATCCCCCGCATGCAGCGCGGTCTGCCCGAGCGGCGCAAGATCAAGGACGTAGCCAAGGTCGTCGCCGTGTCATCGGCAAAAGGTGGCGTCGGCAAGAGCACAGTCGCGGGTTCGTTCAGTCGCACGAGTCCTGCCTGGTATACTAGCAGGGAAACTGACTGACAATAAGGTCCCTAGCAAACCTGTCACTGGCATTCGCGAGGATGGGCTACCGCTCTGGCATCCTAGATACAGACATCTTCGGGCCGTCGATACCCACACTCTTCGACTTGTCTGGGGAGCCGAGACTCTCGTCGAGTACGTTCACCCCTGCTATTCATGATCCTATACGTGTTAATGGACTAAATCTGGTAATAGACAACCAGCTCCTGCCCCTTTCCAACTACGGAGTCAAGACCATGTCGATGGGCTACTTGGTAGGCGAAGATGCCCCTGTGGTATGGCGTGGCCTGATGGTCATGAAAGCCCTCCAGCAGCTCTTGCACGAAGTAGAGTGGGGTGGTCTTGACGTCCTGGTCTTGGATTTGCCTCCTGGTACTGGTGATACGCAGCTCACTGTGACGCAACAGGTTGTACTCGACGGTAAGCACTGTGTTAGTCCTCTCCAAAATCTAGCGGGTTGCTAACAGTAAATCAACAGGTTCTATCATCGTGACTACGCCTCATACACTAGCCGTAAAGGATGCAGTCAAGGGGATCAACATGTTCAAAAAGGTCAATGTACCATTATTGGGGCTCGTCCAGAACATGTCACTATTCAACTGCCCACATTGTCATCAGGGCACAGCAGTATTTGGGTCTAATGAGCGGGTCAATGCAGTTTGTCAGGAGCAGTCCATCGATCTGCTAGGAGATATCCCCTTGCATCAGAATGTTGGCGACGACGGCCAAAGGGGTAAACCCACCGTGGTCGCTGAGCCGGACAGCGAGAGAGCTCAGGCCTTCATTGATATAGCGCAGCAAGTGGGTTCGAAGATTGGACTGTAAAGGTACGGGACAAGCCCAGAATTGTATGAACGTGTATATCAGTGATGTGGGCGAGCGCGCACCCGTTCCCGAGAATTGCGTGCTGGCATGTACACGGCTTTCACGGGCCTACTTGGCAATATAATGTGGTCGAGAGCATTCCGGGACTTGCTGTGTGGATTGCGCCCCGGGCAAGACGCAAGTCGCGTTGCGGTTCCTGTTCAGACAAGAATTTAGCAAATCAACCCTCTTGGCACTGGAGTCATCAGGATAGTGAAGAACTCTCCATTTTACATGGAACTGTATTCATATACTTGGGAGCTTGCGCCGAACGGCTGTGGCATCGATAAAGCGGGCAACGACTACGTTAGCATCCATTGTACCCAGACAGAAGGGAGACAGGAAACAAAGCTTGAGACACCGTCCGAACGCCCACGCCACTCCAAACCACCGAATTCCATGCTATGCAAACGACTATGCTGGTGGTAACCATCTGCAATCAGTATTAGTCGACCTCCTCGTTGGGTTGGTAGATGTGGCGGGTTCGAGTAGGGTCTTTTCGCATGGCTTGTCCTGAACCTGTGAAACCAACTATGGACCGGTTAGCAAATGACTCGCCAACAACTATCAGACTTTGGACTCACCTCTACCATGAACTCCATCGGGCGTGCGGAACATGCTATCCTTCTTGGGCTTCGGTCCCTTGGAGAACTTGGACTTGGAGTTGAACTCCTGCCACTTGTTCTTGCCAGACTCAAGCTCTTTGGTTGCCCTGATCTTCTTCGCCTTGGGCTTGGCGTCGCCGGCATTCTTCAAAGCTTCTTCCTTGTTCATCTGTGCCAGCTCAGGATTTATACTGGCAGCAGCGGAGATGACGCCGGGGGCCGAGGAGGTAGTGGTTGCTGGAGATTGCGACGGGGCGGTGAAGGGAGAAGCAGTGTTCACAGGTGTCCCGTCGGCTTTTCTCTTCTGCGCAACCGGTCGGATGTCCTTCGCCCGTAACTGTTCGGTCGTATCGTAGCTCTTGAACTTGACAACATAGATGGGCGCTGTGGAGGAGCCGGTGATAGAGGTGATGCGCGCAGGGTAGAAACCTCTGTCGCCTGAAAGCCATTTCGCCATGATGTTGTCATTGACTTTGTAGCTTATCTGCCCTGCGTCGACCTCTTTCTCCTCGACCGGGGCTGGCTTCTTGAAGGCAGGGTGGTTCTCGCGCGACCATTTTTCTTGGACGGGCGGTAGCGAGGGAGCTTTCGGCTTCGGAGGCGCTGCCTTGGTCGGCTTCAGTTCAGCAAGGGTTTCGTTCAGAAGCGCGAGCGCGTCATCTAACTCAGCCTTAAGAGCGAGAAGCTCTGCGTTACCGGCGTCATCTTTCAGACCTGCGTGTACGACATCAAGCTGTCGGTCTCGTCAGATTCCCTAGAGCTCAATAGTTTGAGATGGGGATGGCGTTACGCACCTGCTCGCAGTACTGCTTGATGTCTTCCTCGATGCCTGCAATTTCGCTCATGCTGACAACAGGCCAGTTCAGACTGGTACAGAGGTGGAATATTGACCAACAAAGAAAGCTGGTTCTGGGTAGAAAGAGTCTGGCTGTTGAGCGAAGAATGATTTGAATGTTTACTGTGGCATGGAAGGGTGCAGGTGGTGGTCTCAGCCCGACCACATGGTGCTCGGGATACAAAATTGCTTACCTAACATGAATTCCCCCCGCAGCCTCGGCGGCTGGCACCAAGCTCTGCCAGTTGGCGCCGATAAGCCCTTCTGATTCCGCCATCATTCCCGTCACTTTGGGAATTGGACGGCAGCTCTTCACGACACAAACCAAGCAGGTATCAGACTGTTCGCTCTCGTCCTCGGCCATTATCAACCAGATATGTACATGAAAGGGTGCAGTCGTCTGATGGTTCGACCGCTCAGCCCACCGGAAGGACAAGCTTGCATCACACAATAAGAGTAGACCGGGCTTCTCCTTGGGGGGCACCCAGCAATGTTTTGTCGGATGGCTGCTAATCATCTTGCAGGCCCCGAAAGACGAAGATAGCCTTCTGCTCAATGCAGGCGTTCATCCGCTTTGACTGAAGTGCTTCCGCGGGGCTTGCTATCCACGATACTAGAGGCTGAGGAGTTGCCACTGGGCGTCAGACATCCAAGGTTACACTCAGCCCTCACATGCCTCTGTCAGTCTTTGGATCTCTATGCTATGTTGATGATAATGAACGAGCACCCTGGAAAAAACAGTCTTGATCCAATATGCCATCCTCAGTCCTTATTCCAGAACGATTATTACACCTACAAAAAACACACCCTTTGCTGGCCGAACAAGGGGTGTATGGAGAGTTTCAGAGGTTCAGTGTCGCAACCTGTCAACGCTGCAAAATAGTACGATACCGCGGTAGGCTGTCCGCCATCATAGTCGCAACCAGGGCGATGGGTTGTGCACAGGGGTCGAAGCACAGCTCATAAGCTACCTTCGGTGCTGCGATGCGTCACGTGGTGCGCTTTCTGACCACAGGCTTGAGGAAACACCTCGCTGACGCCCTACATGGCAAAGCATATTAGGGCCATGCCCCAAGCACGGAACAGCAGCTGGAGCACAAAGCCAGTGTACGAGATCGATTGCCTAGTGGAATGCCCCAGCCAGGAAAGTCGCTGGCTCTACCCTTGACAGGACGAGAGGATCTTTGCACAGAGAACCGCGAGCCTGCCTCCAACTGCCCAGCCTCCAATGTTCTCCGTAACCCCTGTACTTGCAGATACAGCATCATTGCCCCTCATCTCGTATGTGGTGACATCCCGCGTGGGCCGGAGCCAGGACATACTAATAATATATCGGCTCGAGAGGGGTCGATTGGGGGTGGCTTGCCCGGGCGTACTGCTGAATCGAGTGTGATAACACCCAGCCTAGTGTGATGATGCGCTGAGACTCGGCTTCAGAAGTTCTGACTGATAGTGGCCTCCTAGATTTCATGACGCCTTTCGGCTCTCGGGCACCGCACCACCATGCACGCTGATGCTGTGGTGGCCTGGCGTGATGAGGCATAGCTACGAAGCTCCGGCCTTGGAAGAATGTTGAGTCCTTGACATTGGGGTCCGATACCTAGTCAGGACATATACGCCAGATGCAGCCCGCCCACGATCTCGTCCTCGAGTTATCCATGGAAAGGCTAATAATAAGTATCACTGCCACTACACAAATAGCACTCGGCCCCCATCCCGCGAGTGCGAAGTTTGCTGGTCCTAGTGGAGACGATGTGGGCTGGCTGGTAGGATATATATCCATTTCTCCTTTGTTTCAGTTCCTGTATGGCCTTCCCATCAACTTGCTCGAAATGTCATTTCTGTCAGAACGGCTCCTCGTCTGCTTCCGTTCGACTGTTCACTCTTCCGCGAATTGAATCCCTGTTGATGTCAGCAGGCTTACGGCATTACATCATGAACTTCACAGGGCATACGAGCCCAATCAAGGCGAACTGTTCTCCGTGGAGTCTGAGCCTTCACCTGGGAGGGCTATTTGTTGTGGGCCAATGTGCTTGGTCCACGTTCTCTGTCATGTCTACGACACGGTCAACAAGGACAATGTGGTCGTGCCTATGATCCCTGAGGTCCGTATACGAGGGCCCTGCGTCGACGTGATGGGTGTGGGTCGCGAGCAGAGCAACAAGGCAACCAGCTTCGTCACATCGTGCCAGCACCCTTCTCTTTGCCTTTATTCCACTTCGGATTGCAGGCTCGTGCAGTTTCCTACTGATTGACATCTGTTTCTCCAGATCGACAGTGCTCTACAGTTCGAACAAGCCACACGCTAGCGACCGGGTGCGCGGGAGTGGCCCCTCGAGGCCCTGTGAGATTTCGGTGAACAAAAAGGCCGACGGGCTTGCATAAGGGAAAAGCGACCATACGTTCGTCCCCAGAATGTGCAAAAACACGTGTGGCAGGACACTGCGGCTCTGGCGACGAAATGTCGGCGGACGCCCTGACTATGGCAAGCCCTGCCGTCCCTTCAATAACATACACTTGGACAAAATGGAGATGGATGCCCCGATATTTGGCTTCTCTGTTCTGAGAACTATCAAACTTCATCGACTGAGCAAACTCGGACGTCAATCGATCGATTCCTGGCCTTCTTCCCGCTCTGATCAATGGGAGACACCTCCAAGATGGACGATTTCCCAATGAGCCCGTACACATTCAACGACCCGCAGAGCTTTGGAGGCTTTGGTGTCGGCCTTCAATATGGTGATCAGGCGGTCGACCAGAACTTTGCAGATGTGTTCAATAATGAATTGGAAATGAAAGGGGGCGACCCTCAGTCTTTCTCCGAGCCTGTTCCTGCTCATCACGACTCAACACGTTGCTGCGGGTGGGTACAAGTCAAGACAATACAGCAGCACCTTACCAATCTGACCTGACCCAATAGATTCCGTCAAGGCTTGCTGGATGAATGCTATCAGTCACGCCTCTACGCGATGGCGCTTGAGTACTACTACCTCGAGGCAGAAGACCCTAGGCCGCTCCAGACCTATCGTTGCCTCATGTCTGCTTGTCAGAAACGGGACTTCAAAGACCCCAAAGCCATGCTACGCCACCTCAAGCACTGCACACTCTTCCCACAGGGCAATTTTTGGTGCCCGACGTGTGGTGTAGATGAGTCCTTCCGGACGACTTCGAAGAAACGGTGCTCGTGGGACAGGGTGCGGTTTGGCCAAAAACTCCAGAAGAAGGTTCAACATTACAAGGACTTCTTCAGAGGCCTCGCTGGGCCCTCCGAGCAATCAACCCCAACGGCCACGAACCAGGGGTCATGCCCAGCGTGCGGATCGTTCATCCCCTCAACAGATACTCCTGTCAATCACTCATTCAGTGATCGTCCTGGAACCTTCTGTAAACCAGAGCTACCAAACTCCCAGCTGGTATTCAGACTCCCAGCTGAACTGCCAGACATGGCCCTTGGTGAACTGCCAGCAATGGCCCTTGGTGAACATTTTATTGAGGGAGATTACCTTCAACTGCATCCGCGCCAACAATCAAAGGAGACATATTCTCTGTGCTTACCCTACCCCGAGCTTGATTGCTCCCCTCCCACCATAGTTGTCGAGCAAGCCCCGAACTTGATTTCCCCTTCGGGACCTTCCACGGCGTCGCCGAGTCGAAATGGAGTACATTCGACTGACGTGTCACCTACGTCTTCGGCCGAGTCCTCAAAGCCTACGACTGGCATTCAGATCCAGTGTTTCCAGCCCGTTGGTCACATGGGCTATTTCGGCCAAGACCAAGCAGGTTTGCCCGGTCAGCAACTGACACGTTGGAATTATGGCTCTTCTACCGCTAGTGTTCGACCTCCGAATGATGCTATTTATGGACTGTCAGCTGCGTTGCCGCCTCCTAGTCGGGCTCAATCCGTCTCTCGCAGCGAGCGAGTGCCATCATTGACCATCAACACAAGCCAGCTCATATCCAACATGGACACTTCCGCCTGGGCTCGTAACGTCCCTTGCTATGACGGTAGTGCATATGACCTGAAAGAAATGGAGACACCGATACTGGAAAATTACCAGCCGATGGCGGCGGCTTCGTCCTTTGACACCGGAGCGGGTGGTACTTCGAGCGCCGGCAGTAGCGCCTTGTCTGGAGCACACAACACCGCATCGTTTGATACCTCGCCCTCCAAAACAGCAATCTCATCGTCCAGCTCCGGGCTAGCACCAAGTTCAGTATTGACAGACCCTGATTTGCAATGTCATTTCCCGGGCTGCGAGTTCACCCCGAAAGGCAAGCCAGAAAATCTTAAGTCGTACATGCGGAAGCACCTAAGGACGCACAAGGATATCCACATCCAGTGTCCAGAATGCTACAAAACGTTTACGAGACAAGACAATCTGACCCATCACCTGCGCGCAGCTCATAAGAGGCGCCGTGACAGTTCTGGTAGTGACGAGCTACCAAGCCAGCAGAGGAGGAAGAGTGTCGCGTCCATCACGTGGGTTTAGAGGCATTTCATTTCTTTGTGTTTGGCTCTTGGACAGGAATGATGGAGACACCCGTCATCGAGCAGTGACGATTTCATGTTTTCACGATTTCATGTATCTCCTACCGAAGAGCTATCACCCTATATGGCGTCTGGACCGTCACTATGGCTGCATGTTCCTATGTCCGTATCATGACTATCATACCACATTGGCACAATCAAAGCTTGACTCGTGCTGTGCACATTGCGCAACCTCAGTGACTGTATTGCATCCATCGTGCCTTGTTGTATCTTGGATGTTCCGTAACGAACATGATGCGAACGGTTCCCCCTAGTCACAACAAATATCGTAACTCGTGAAGGACAGTCATGGAATCCCGAAGCACAGTAGGTACTTCATGCAATATCTCCTTGGGCGGCTGCTGAACGCACTATTCAATCTCTCAGCTTCACTTCGGTGGTTGGTACTCCAGTTATCAACAGCCTGGATAAGTCCATCCGATCTCCCCTAGGGGCCAAACCGGCTACACTACCGGGAATATGCGATTTTTAACCCTGGCTGAATGTTCTGACTCGGTTTGCCGCATCCTCGCTTCATAACAAGACTGATTGAGCCAACTCACAGGGCATAGCTTCAACAGAGCAAGACGAGATGGGATGTATCCGGCCCTTGTGTCTACCCGGTGACCCGTATCTTGACCTCTGAGATAGGGACTGTCGTTCTAAGGGTGCTCTTGAAACATTTACAGAGCACGAGAAGGGATACCGAGTTCGACCACTCGGTGAAGGGCTTGAAGGGTGGCAAGCAGGGACGGGTCGGGAAGGATGATACCAACCACCATACCGGAGGGACTCCTCGTATGTGGTAGATGACAGGAATTTCCAGGGAATAGCGTATGGACTACACCGTTTCGGTTGTGTCCATAGCATAAAAGGACTGGGAGTCTCTTGCCAAAGATCAAGGGATCCGTCGGCATCAGCTACGTTGACAGCAGTTCACCCTCACTCCGCACCCCTCACACCACACAACGAACGATAGCGACCTTATCATACAATATCAACACAGTTGCCTATCAGCAGCCTGTCCAAAACCGCTTCACCCAAAATGCGCAAGAACAGGTGAGCCCACAAGCAACTCAGCCATAGTTACATTCAAGACACGGACTCACACCATACCCAAGCGTGAAAAGCAGCAGTTCCTCAAGCAAGACCAAGAACACCCGCCCGACGACTTCCGACAGATCGGGCGCCTCCTCCCTCGAGCGATACGTCCTAGACCCGCAAACCCACGAACGAGTCGCCATCGGCAGGTCCTCTGACAGGCCCAGTGGCGAACAGATGCTGGGCCGGTGGGACGAGAGGTGGAATACGGCGAGTGGAAATAGGGGATAAGACGGCGGTGGATAGGGAGCGTGATGAGGTGGGCATTGAGGTCCCGATCTTTGTACTGGCTGTATAAGTAGGTACTATACCAAAGAGCCTGTTCCCAAATACTTCATGAATCACCGAAGGGATGCGGTTCCTGTGAACTCCTTAAGAGCAGACGTATATGATATTAATCAAGTAGCCCTGAGCCTTGCCTCGGTTGGCAAATATTAAATCATGGGAACGGTGGTCTGGGGAAATCCCCTAATCTGGAAGTCACGTTACGTACCAGCCACACCACACCAGCCACACACACTTGCTGGCACGGCCGTTAGGTCCTCTGCACTGAAATAAGCTGAGCCCAACATCATTCACAAACCATCCTCTTTCCACGGAATTGACAACCATAGCTCTACTGGCGTGAATCAACGAACGTGACCGTCTAGTTTGGTATCCACAAGACAGTCTCGAGGGTACCTAAGCCTTGGGCCGTCGGTATCCATCAGCCAGGTCGACATCCATCTCTCCGTTATTACGAGCAGCCATCGGTTCGATAGCTTGAAGTTCAGTCGGCCAGCCGCGGCATCATCCCATTCCATCCCCTCAATGTGGGCAGCCACAGTACGGCGATCGGTATGCGGGCTTTCTGATTCAATGCGCCACTGCGTCGTAGGCGGCCGCATCTCGGCCCTCGCTTCCGCGGGGTTCTCTGTTTGGAGTACGACGTCAACGACCGCGGCTGCATTGGCAGTTCTGACCACGTCGGGTGCCTCTACCACCCCACAACCTGGAATGATGTGAACTTTGCCGCAGTCCCAGACTCCAAGTGATCTTCTTGGACTCGGCGGCTATGGCAGTAACCTTGGCACTCTGCAATGCTAATACTTGAGGTAGAAAGACAGCACGTTTGGGGTCGCGTTCGGAATCTCAGGTTCCACGACTCGACCGGGACCGTCCACCGGCAGTAGCTAAAGTCGGGCGTTATCGTCTTCAGGGATGATCCTATTAGCGAGCGCGGTGGCTGTGACAATGTTAGAATCTGCTTGACAGACTCAAGAACAGCCGGACCTGCGAATACCGAGTATTCAATGCCGATAGAGTGTATCAGATCCTCCCGGACCCCCTATCTACAGTGCCGCCGGCAACCATGACCAGCAGCCCGGATCAGATCACCATCAGCACGCTGACGACACCACCTGGACCTCAATCCCGTCCACACGCCCAGACTGCGGTACAACGCCGATACGCGAGGTTTAGCTGCCTCGCGCTGTCTGCGTGACCCTGCCTGGTACCCTGTAAGCCTCCTTTATGGAGTGCATGCGCCTATGCCTCCTCGGGACCAGGCAATGGGCGCCATTCCCAGGACCGTCTCTGCGTCTAGCTTTCCCAAGGAAGGATACCGAATATTATTATCTATCATGTTACTATCATGTCATATCATATTCTTGGCCTTGCCCGGAAGCCAATCGGGATGGATGCAGCCTGCCAGTGCGGTACGGAACGACGAATCGCACGGAAGCCGTTGACTTCAGCCACTCGGGTTGAGTCGCGAGTGGTAGCCAAGGCCCAAGATGTCTGGCTCTCTGGTCGTTGAGTACAGTAGAGCCTGATGTCCATGCCATCAATCCATGGCTGTGCTACGACACGGAGGGAACAATGCCACGAGCGAGATGATGCCATGGTGGTCTCGTGGACAAGCTCGCGTCATGGGTGGTCTCGCAAAGGATTCGGATCGCTTCAGGAAGTCTCATGCGGGAGGGGAAGCTATCCTCGAGTGACACATGTCTTCGGCCGGCCACCTGCCAACTGATGTTTATGTGCTCAACTCCTCCATATCGGGTACGTACAACGCTAGAGAAGAAAACAGGTCTTGGTGGTGGCATACATACCTCCCACTGTCTCACCTCTCCAAGGAAATAGAGCCAAGACATATTTCCCCTGACACGACACCTTCATCACCGCGAACATTCATCTTCATCCACCTGCTCGCCATGGGGTTCTTCAACCTACCCCTGGAACTGATCGAGCTGATCTTCCTCGACGCCGTCAAGGTTCGCACCTTCAAACGCGCCATGCGCCTCCGGCTGGTCAATCGTGAGTAACCGCCTCTATTTATCTCTCAGCCCAACTGTGCCAGACGTCTAATCCCTTGATGCAGGACAGTTCAAGTACCTAGTCGACGATGCCATCTTCCGCACCCGCCTCCTAGACGATGTCGCAACAAGTGCGAACCTGGACGTGCGCAATGCCGTCTACCATACTGACGCGTGGACTCAGTATCTGCGAAGCTATCTGACGAGACTCATTTTCGAGGAGCGTAACTTGCGCTGCGTGCGCAGCCAGTATAGGCGCGTCGCCGCAAGACTATGCGAGGCATCGAGTAAAATGCAGTGTGTACAAGAGGACGCGCTGGACCTCAGGGCCTGCATCCACGGCCTCGGCGGTGCGGCCTTTTTCATCAATTCGACCCTCGAGACGGCCGCACTCCTGCAATCATCACCGCCGCCAGCGAACGCCATGTTGTTCAGCGATGCCGAGTTGGACACGCTGTTCCTCAATGCCGCCGTCTACATGGGACTACTATCTGTGGTCAAGCCGCTTCTGTCCGCAGACCCGAACGACTACTGGGCCTGTCCCACCGTCGCCGCCAGCAAGAAGCCGTGCCTGCGCAGCCTGCTCGACATGGCTGCGTTCCGCGGGGACCTGGACATGCTGAAGCACCTACTGGTGGTGAGCCGCAACGTTACGAAGGCCACCACAACCAGCGACCTCTCCCCCAACGCCGCAGCCCGTATCTTGCGCTACGCGGCCCTGGGCGGAAACCCGTCTACCATCGATTTTGCCCTCAACAGCAGCGGGCCTTCCTGCCTTGCCCCAGACCTCCCACCCCCGAGGGCGGCGTTCCAGCAGATGCGCCTCGCGCTCAAGGCCGTAGCCTCGCCAGCGCACTACCGCCGCGCGTGCGCGCTCCTCAACCCCGGCAGCCGTCTGTTCACGAACCGCGAGCACGGCGACGCCTTCTGCCGGCTCGCGGCGGCGGCGCGCTGCGGCCATACCGACATGGTGCGTTTCTTCCTCGCGCAGGGCGTAAGTCCCAACCCGCGCGCCGGCCGATGTCGCGGGTCTGGACCGGCCGCCACGCCGCGCGCGCGGAAGAGCTTGGCGGTCGAGGAACACTGCAAGTCCTTGGTCAGCGCCGTGGAGAGCGGATGTCTGGAAATCGTAGACCTGCTCCTCGCGCACGGGGCGGACCCGAACGTGTATCCCCCGACTGCGACGGCTCTCATGACAGCCGTGCATAGAGGCCACGGCGCAATCGTGCGCGGACTTCTTGATCAAGGAGCCCACGTGAATGAGGGGTCCCCGCCCCCGCTCGTCGTCGCGGTGCAGCAGGAGGATGTGGCATCCTTTCGGTATCTGGAGTCGCGGGGTGCAGAACTTACCCCTGAGACGGGTGCTGGCGCTATGGGCTATGCCGTGCGCCATGGCTTGGAGTCCATGGTGGACTTGCTGGCTCGTAGGGGGATTGAGAGGGATGCGGCGCTGTGCCATGTCCCCAGCTGGGATGAAGTGCGGTTTGGTCGGTATTTGTACCGTGGTGGTGAGGAGCCATGTGCGGTTCAGGCGCAGCCGGCACGGGTGGACGGGAAGGCGCTGATGGTCGTTGCTTGAGAAGCGGTAGGCTCTGGCGTCTCCCCTAGGACGCCGAACCATTCCTCTACTTGATCGCCCGGCGTGCCAGTGGATCTGACTTTGGTGTTGGCAGAAATTTACATTGCACAGCTGAGCGTCCAACAGTATGGGCTGCGGCTCGTACTCATGTATCAGAGGGCCGCGCTCTCCACGATAGACCGCGGATGATGGGTGGGAGTTCCCACTTTGCTATCAGTTTTTGGAATGCCACTGGGACATATCTGCAGCGCAGCAGCTCTAGATGGGCAGTACCTTGGTCACGATAACCCGCTGCACCGTCCTTTCGGAATCCCCTTTATCAGCGATGAGGCGCGGCACCCCCGGGGTAGACACCGCGGGGGCTTCGTATCATCATATACAACTATATGCATGCATGCTTGCAAGAGACATCGTTCTCGTCACTCATCACTCGACGTCGACGGTAGAAGTCGGGACTGTTGATCTGCAGTCACGGCCGCAGAAACCTCCATGAACATGATTGGGCGATGAAGCACAGCAAATTGTCAAGGGAGATCGATCTGCATCTGCATTACAAGCGATTTGAGCCTCATTTTGCCGCTTCTGGGGAGACTAACACCGGTTGTTAGTATTAGTTTGAGTCGAGAACGGCGTCCTTCGTCACCCATATACCCTTTCGACTCTTCGAGCTTCATATCTATTCACAGTTATATGTCAGGCCAAAGCTACAGGGTCGGCATTCGAATTAGGTCCTTGCAAGTAATCAGGACTATTGTGATATGTGATATAAACGCGAGAGTAGTTAAAGGTATAACGGACAAACCACGCGTAAGGACATTAGCTATTATTTTCTACGGCGGTCACCAAAAGCAGGGAGGCAACAACCGTAAAGCCACTTGCTCACAGACCCGGCCCAGTGTATGTGGCCGGGAACAACTACCGCTTAACCAACATGAAGTGACCTCCCTCGTACTCCTCGTTGCAGGCAACGAACAACATGAATCTGTCAGTGTCGCGCATGCCCCCCCTATCAAGAAAGCAGTACAGGCTCTCAAGGGATCCAAGTGTAAAAGTAAGCAGTAGTCACACAAGCCAGTACTGCCTGACTCGATTGCTTTCAAGTAAACAGATTTACCAAGTCTGGCGCAAAGTGAAAGTGCTCTACCATACCTGCTATCTAAAGGGTAGCCATAACCGAGGGCCTCTTCACCCTGGAGTTGAACCATGCGGTGCTTCAATACACTGAGGAATGTCTGATACCGTGCAGCGCGTCATGTTGTGACTGCGAGTCTCCTTGCGGTAGGTAGCCGATATATTCGTTTTGGTACTTCCAATTGCTTATGGTTACATAGCTCTGCGGGCCAGCCCACGTACTAGAATTGACAGACATGAAGACACCTTGTTCACATCGTAAGGGTTATGACATGGATCGCTAAAATGTGAAATTGGCACCGGTCTAATCAAAATTCATGCAAAAGCTTGCAGTAACACCCGTGTCTGAATTAAGACATGCAATTCTTGTCCCAAAACCCTAGTCCTAACTCATGACCGAAGGTATGGAAATCTAGAACAAATCCAGTCCCATTACCTGTTTCTTTCCTATGTACGAACGTCGAAGGAATACTACACTAATCTTCATCCACTCATAGAACAAACATACCGACTCCAGATACTAGAGCGGTGGCGGCGTAGACGACGAAGAAAGTCGTACCGTAGTTGAAGAAGGTGGGGGTGCCCATGGTACCGGCGGCAGCGCCCTTGGAAGAGCTGCTAGCAGCGCCACCAGTAGGGCTGACGACATCACCAGTGCCATCTGTTCCAGCAGCGTTGATCAGGCTAGAGCAGCTGCCCGTAGTCTTAGCGGCTTGAGTGGTGGCTAGACCAGAGAAGTCGCAAGCGCTGGCCTTGTTGGAGCTGTCCTGGGCATTGTAGTACTGGTTGGCAACAAAGGCGAGCTGCTGCTTGGGTGAGCAGCCAGAGATAGCACCGTATGTACCAGTGGTGGCGTTGTGCTGGATACCGGCGCAGTAGGCACCGTTGTTCGCGCCACAGATGAAACCAAACTCGGCTCCGTACGCGGTCTCGTCGTCCGAGGTGATGGTGCAGGACAGGGCCGACATCTCGCAGTCGCACAGCTCGCTGTTCACGTTGGGCGGGAGCGGAGAAGCAACAGCAGCCCAAGAAGTGCCGGTGGCCGGGCAAGCGGGAGCAGTGTTGGAAGGCTTGTACGCGCTCGACATAGTGATGGTCGGGGTAACCTTGGCCAGCTGAGACTTGAGCGAGGTGAAATCGGGTTCAGGGCTGACACTGTTACCATTGATCTGAACCAGACCATAGTTGTTGTCGGACTGGAACCACTGGTAGACGAGACCACCGGAGAAGACATCGGCCATGATGCCGTACAGGGTCCCAACCTCGGTGAAGGGACGGTGCGTTGGGCCGCCGGTGATACCGACATTGCAACCATACTCGGCGAAGAAGACAGGGACCGGGTAGTTGGCGAAGAACGTGTGGCGTTCTTCGTAGTTGGAGTCTGAGTAAGAGCTGTCTCCACACCACGAGTAGACGTTGTAACCCCAGAAATCAATGGAGGTCTTCTCCCCATCAATGGGCTCACAGGCGAAATAGTGAGCCAGCTCATCACGGCTTGGCACATCAGCAGTGGCGTAGCCGACACCTAGGGTGTTCCGGAGTTTCTGCGAGGTGATGAATTGCTTGGTGTCCCGAACTGCAGCCTTAACAAAAGCAGCAGCAGCAGTCTGGTTGCTGGCGCTGACGACTTCGTTGCCGGCGAAGAAGCCGATGACGTTGTTGTACTTGGCCAGGGCGGAGACCACTGAGGTGTAGCGGTTGTACAGGGGCACGTTCCACTCGGGGTCGTCGCTGTTGATGGAAATGCTAGGCTCACTAAGATCGGAGAGGACGTAGATACCGGCGGCGGCAAGTTGCTCCATGCAGTCATCGTGGTCTTGCGTGGGGTCGACGGCGTAGACACGGATGACGTTGGTGAAGATCTGCTTCATGAAGGGGATATCACGCTTGCACTTGTCCCCATCGGCCAAAGGGTCGGTGTACTGGGTGGTGGAGTCGCTGGTTCCATTGGGCGAGTAGTTCTCTTGGTAGGCAACACCCATCATGTAGCTATTGACCGTTAGCGGGTTGTCGAGGCAAAGACGAGCCAAGGCGGGCGGAGGATGCATCGTAGAACGTACAATTGAGATCCGTTGTTGGTGTAGAAGAAGTGCTGGCCGATGACCTCAATCGGGGGAATGGTGTCGTAGCTGGCAGCGAGAGCAGTGCCCGACAGAGCGGCGGCGCTGAGCGCGAGGCTCGAGATAGCTGAGGAAACCCTCATCGTGAAATGTGCGAAATTGTGTTGTGGCTGCTAGAAGTGTGTCGCGGTGGATGATCGGGGATGTGGCGGTTAGTGGTAGCGAAGGAAGCGGCGGTACAATACAATGGAAGAAAGAAGAATTAGTTCAATTGGATTGCCTCACCACCGATGCGAAGAAAGAAAAACGAGGGTGATCGGTGCCGGTAATGATGGTCTCGGGTGGGAAAGAATGTGGTGTGTTGTGAAAGGAGTCGGGAAGTGAACACAAGGAGGAGGATTTGAGAAAGGGAACAGTTGAAGTAAAAAGGGATTGGCCTTTAGTGCCAGAGCCCGGCCCGGTTTGGCTAGCACCAGCTAATAATACGGTCAATTGCCTATCAAATTGATTGATTGATCGATTAATTCCGAGACACGCAAGCGCACTAACCACTCACAGCCCCAACGTAACAGCGGAGTGGAAACCTGATCTGCAGGTGCTGCTTCGCCTCATTCAGCGGTCCACTGGCTCTAGGTACCTACGTACCAGTGCCACAATCAGTCAATCGGACCCCGGCAATCTATTCACTCCTCCATTCAGTCATTGGGCCTGACCGGGCTGGCATGGCACAATAGGAGACGAAGCCAATGTCGCTCATTCAATCACAGCTGCCCTGATGGTTGAACTTCTTTTCATAGCACATCGCTCACCAAGGAGGGAAAGAGATGCAACTGGCTGACCGTCGGATGGAAGCATGGATCGAATGCGATACGAATCAGGAGCAGCAGGAGGGTGGCAGTGTTCGCACATCACTCCAGCAGTAGCTGGGACCCCCTGCCTGCGTCTCTCACCTCTCACACAGTCCAACATTTGAAGCACAAGACAGCGCAGACAGCGTTCTGAAGCACAGGAGAGTGTTTGGCTGTCAGGTGTGAGGTCACCCACGCCATTTGACATTCAGGGTTCACCCAGGGTTGGTCGAGGTCTGCGTCGGCGGTTGTGAACGGTGACTGGTCAGAAGTCACACGCTCGACCTGCCCCTATTGGAAGCCCGCTGGTCGATGTGCGGTGCAACTGGTAAACGTCGTACTTGCGCGCGCTCGCTGTCCTCGAGTGATGAGCATGGGCAGTTGACGCTTGCTGCCATTGAGATCTTCCCGCTGATCATGATGATGTCCACGATGTCTCTGCGGGGCTCTGGAGCGCATTGAAGGGGTGGAAGGGGCCCGACTATTTCGCAGCGGTTTGGGCGGGTTCCAATGCAGCTTCCAGCAACGGTCCAGTGCCTCCAGTGGCTCTAGTGGCCAGGGCTCCCCGGCTCCCGGCCTGTCGTGGTGCCCTCTGATCTTGGCGGAACTCGGCTCTCTTGGCATCTAATATGTCGCGTTTCGATTGGCCCAGACCGGCCGGGCAATCCCCGAGCATCCCGCCCTAGTAGCGTCGCCGTTCATTTCAGTTAAATGAAGTAAAATGACAGTCCGATCTAGCAAAGCTTAGCAGCAACCAACCACTCCAAGACGCGATTCCAACACAAGCACGCCCAGGACAGACCATCGCCCGTTACTTGCAGTAGACCCCTACGCCGACCGAAAGAAGTGTCGATATTCGAGATGCCAAGATTGGGATTTGGCAGTTTGGCAGTTTGGCTGGACATTGGGATGGGTGTCGGGGGTGTGTAGGGAGGCGGCTCCTTGCTATTCTTGGACGTCGAAAAAGGGGTGCTCCTCAATCCGTCCACATTATTAATAACAAGCATGTCGGCCACCAGATCCAGAACCACATAAACTGTTCCAACTTGACATCACTGCCTTCCTTGGGGCCACTCGCGCGCACATCGCAACTTCACCACATGGCGTACTCGAAGGACTGACCCTGCCATATCGACAACTGGCCTCTGGTCAACATGCCAAACAGCCTTGCGCCTCAATGACAAGGTCCTGTCGCTGCTGAAGAAGTCGTCCATCAGAGTGTGCTGCATTACATGCGGTTTGCTGATACATGCGGTCTGCTGCACTACCCATTTGCGCTATGCGTTTGACAACATTCATCGCAACTCCCAATTAATCTTCAAACACTAGACTGCCCCCAAGAGCCCGGGGGCAGAGTGCGTCCCAATTGCTGATCAAACCCATTCACCGCCCTCCTCGCCAGCTACATCCTCGAAGGGTACGGCGCGGCCGGCAGTCTATAGACCCACCTGCACGGATCCGATACCAGTCAACGGATGCGATGTAAAGTCCCATCCGCCCGAGAACGCGGGGGGCTCGCCCGCAATTTGACGGTTGATGGGTTTAAGGTTGGATGCAAGGCCGTCTGGGGCAGCAGCGGACTACGTTGCTCATCAAAGGCCACTGTCTTGCCGACAAGTGTCGCGGTACGGCCAAGCGTTGGACTCATCTCGATGAGGAGTTGGAAATCTTGCTGAGAGATCTAGTCCGTTGGCGAGAGTGACTGGTAAGTAATGGTCGATGGTTCGATTCACAATGATGGTCGCAGGTATGGATGAGTGAGGCTGCATGTGAGGAGGCCGTCAACAGGCTGGGCATAGCCTTGACTCGGAAGTGCCACTCGTATCTGGAAACATTGACCCAAACATAATAGAGGCAGTGCACCATGTGAGTTGGCCGCCGTTGAGCACGTTTATCATGATTCAAGCAGTCAAGGTATAGTCGAAACGTGCTAGTTGAGACAACAACACTGCAAATTTCATGCGTGTTGTTATGGTTAACAAGCGGCTCTATACGATCTGATCTACTGTTTGCTACTGGGATCTACCTTTCGACTCGCGTGCCTCATCTGATCCAAAACCTGCTAACGTTAGTACACAGAAGCACAGATGCAGAGTACAGGTAATCAAGCAACGCCCCCGGAAACATCACAGAGTCGCAGTATTTTACACAACGCACAATCATCCCCTTTCCCCTACCGACGGGTTGTTCCATCGGTCTCGCAGATCCCAATGAATCGTCTTTGACATGCTGGCTTCCCTAAGTTTCATCGGCTCCATCTCGTGTCAATATCAGCACAGCCACCACGCCCCGGCACACACATGCCCAATCTCGCGTGCAGATCGCGTCAACTCGTTCCCTGCAGTCCCCCAATCGATGTTCTCCTCTCTCTCTGGCGTAATCTTGAAGGGTTGCTGAGACTCATCGCTCTGCTTCGCTTTCTAGTTCGTCGAGTAGGACCCGTTGCACAAGCTGTCCTGTCAGACCAGCGTGTTTGCGAGAGAATGAGCTACTCGAGGCGAGGTGAGACATGCAACCTAACCGCTGCCGATTAATAGCCGCTGCGCGCGTCTGCACCCCAGACGCTGTTCACAGACAGCCCCCATACGGTCTTCGTAGCAAACCCTGCGAACCCGTCACGATTTCTGGCACATAACGATACCGAGCAAGCAGCGAGATCGGTATATCATTCCTGTAATTATTCAACTGGGCAGCCCCCGACTCCCAAAGCACGCCTCCTGCCTTCCACATCCCCCAGCCCTCACCCTCACCCTCACCCTCAAGCCTCCCCCAAGCTCACCCTCCCTCCCTACGGCATAGCCTCCTTATCCGCCGCGCCCTCGACCCTTGCGACCCAGCCGACCCTCTCAAGCGCAAAGAGCTCATTATCCGGCCTCGCCGCCTCCAGCGCATCCGCGTCGTCCAGCACGCCGGCCTTGACGACCTTGTCGTCGCCGAACGACGCGCCGTCGCGCCACAGCGTGCTGCCGCAGTCGCCGCAGAAGTGCGACGTGATGGTGTTGCCCGAGTCGGCCGTCTTGGCGATGCTCTTGGGCGCGCCGCCGCGCAGCTGGAACCCGGAGCCCGCGACGATGAGGTTCGTGCTGTAGGTCGAGCCTGTGATCTTGCGGCAGTCGGTGCAGTGGCAGAGGGCCTGCGGAAGGGAGTCGGCGGGTCAGAGCTTGAGATGGAGAGAGGGAGCCATAAGAGGTTGCAAGCTGGACGTACCTTGGCGATCGCCTCGCCCTCGTACGAGATGCGGACCTTGCCGCAGAAACATCCTCCCTCGGGCATGGCTGGTGATGATTCGAGATTTCAATCACTAGATCCGAATGGTAGGGAGTTCAGGTAGGGTAGCAGGAAGCCACTGGTATCGTATCGTATCACTGGGAGGTTCGGAATCAACTCTGTGACGAGATGAGGGTGGGATTATCTCGATCCATCATACACATATATAGGTCGTAAATTCCCCGGTAGTCTCCTTCGGGATTTGCCCGCACGATCTGCCTCTGCGTGGCAGCTGGCCGACGCATCTCCGGCTCCCCTTCCGGAAGGCCGCGGGGGCCGATCACCACTATGATGCGGGGCGTCGCGAATGTACGTCTGTCTGCTGACTCCGTCACTCCGTACAGCAGCGAAACCGAGACTGCAAATGCTTCCCACGCGCGGGATGCTTCCGAGCTTGCCGACTGCGCGGTAACGCTCCATCGAATGAGGGGTTTCGAGGTGCCGCAGACATGTCACGAGGTGGGTGGACGGGGGCCACGTGAGTTCGCGGGTTCGGTGCTAGGTATTTGAGTTCGTCTTGGTCCGAGATTGGGTTGGCCAGGTGTTAGCATTCTACCGAGCGCTTGGATCTCGTTTTGAGTGTGCCAGATCCGTGTCACTTGGCGATGACGTATTTTACTTACCACGGCTGATCGTCAAGACTGGCGATGCCAAGTCGAACTGCCATCGCGAGGGGGTCTGAAATCGGTCGCTTGGCAGTCAGTGCGCGCCGCGATGAGGAGCTGCAGTTATACTACACAGTATTATTGTAGTAGTGTCTCTCTAACTCTCATAGAGTAGACCGCCATCTATGACTTGTCACACTTACCATCATGGGTCTCTCTTCCCGGCATGCCTATATCAGTCTCTGGATTCTAATGATATACTCATATTATTGGAATAAGTACCCAGCAGATTTAATCTAACGAGCCATTTTTATGCTGATACCAGAACGATTATTCCACTTCCGATGATACACCCTGCGGTTGCCGAACATGAAGGGACGGACACTTTTGGGAGTTCAGTGTATGCTGACGTTATACTTTTCG